CACTAACAGCAGGCCATGTAGGAGGAGAACAGAGTGAAGGACACAGCACCTCCACACTTTTATTCCCCGCAGGTTCACCCCAACACCACATGTGTAATATAAAGGTGTGGGGGGTGAACAGTGTGAAGGCACTGAAAATGTGTTATTTTATATGTTCTTCACTGAAAATGAGCAAAGGCCAAAGAATTTGAGGTTTAAATAATAATAAATTGCATCAATTTTTCTTTTGGTAAACATTGAAATGGAGTCCCACAGACCCAACATCACACAAGGGTTAAGCACATGTGATTAGTTTTTCAGCAGATATTTCTGAGAAGATTAGATGTAAGATAATCCAATTGCATGTGGAAGGAGAATGTGAACAAAAAATATGGAGAATCAGGGGTTTCCAAAACTGACAACCGTGAAAAAGCTGGTAGACCACCAAAACTCTCACTATTGGATAAACTGTGCTTAAACTTTCATCTATGAGAGAAGAAAAAATCTCCTCTTGCTTCAGATCTGAAAAAACCCACCTTATGGGTCTGAAAGGATGTGTAGCTGTCAATAAGCCCTCACTGAGGAAAGGAAATGGATACAAAGAAGAGTATATAGATAAAAAAGAAGAGTATTTGCAAGTGAACAAAGAAGCTGTTGGTGTTCTCAGAATAATGGATTGTCCACCCCAGAGTCCAGACGTCAACATCACTGAATGTGTTTGGATTATTTGGATCGTGAAGCAGAAAATGAAACCATCTTCTAAGACTGAACTTTGGAGGTGTGGAAAACATCTCTGCAGATTTCTATGAAAACATGAAAGCACGTCTCCTTGAAAGAATGGAAGCTGTAATAAAGGTGGTCAAACTGGGGACCCTCCGGGCCAAAGTGCTGTGGAGATTAGCATTTATCCTCATCTAACGCTCTGAATTCAGTTCATGAAGGCCTTACTAATCAGCTGATGAGCTGAATCAGGTGCGTTTAATGAGGCAGGGTGCTGAAGTCTGCAGTGTTTCGGCCCACGAGGACTGGAGCCTGACACGTGCAATAAATAATAAAAAAAAATGGTATGTTTAGTTGTTTCTGCTTTTTTTCTGACACTGAAAAATGAATAACTTGCACTTAGAGGCAGTTGGAAATTAAATCAGTCTCTGACTTCTGCACGGTACTGTATGTAGCTCTTTGAAGAACGTTTTTAGCAATGTTTCCACTGTAGTTACAAGTCACACAGAATTATTTTGGTGCTATATAGAACCCTTTTTGCTAAGAGTGTACTTACATTTAAGTAAAAGTGTTTCAACTTCAGTGAGATAAAAACTCAAGTACAAATAGAAGCAGCTGACAGAAACACTACCAGGGCAAAAATGTACTGACTAGCTACTGAGTTCTCTGTAGAACTGCAGTGGAACTTTTCTATCAGTATAGGAAGTCAGGTTTGATAGGCCCTGTTCTGTTTGTGGTCTAAAATAAACTTATAAAGATAAAGAGTGAGCAACAGAGAGGCATTCCAGGTGCTGAACCAACAGAACAGAATGATAAACACGAATATATTATATTAGAAACTACATGTGACCAAAATGGAACTGAACAATACTTCCTCACAAATCTACTGGTGTAGAAGTAAAATCATTATTAGACATCACTCAGAAAAGTACAAATACCTCAAAACTGTAAAAAAAAAAATGCAAATAGAAACAGCACATCATCAAACCCTCACCTTTCCCCATCACTACAGTCTGTATCAGTGGTGCTGTTGATGTAGCCTCTCAGGGCGCGCCATGCTTTCTTTTTTTATCCGCCAACTGCTGTTTACCTTCCTTCCTTCGTCTCTCCCCGTCAGGCGGAAAATTTTCTCCTCTCTCCCCCGTGAAAAGGCCTGCCTGTCATCGTCTCTGATGAAAGATCTCCCTGTGGCGCGTTAAACGGACTTTTAGTGAGCTAATAATAGAATGGGTTACGCTTGTCAGCACCTCTGTGTCGCGGCGATGAATAAGAAAATAAAAGCTGCCGTTGCTGAAGAGGCTTTTTTTTATATGCACAAGGCTCTAATATTTCCTGTGCATGTGGGGGTCATGGCGTCTCTCACAACTGTGAGGAGATATCGCAATACGACTGTCAGCTCTGGAGCCTATACTTAATATCTTTTACTCCTCAGCAATTTACGTCTAATGGCAGATTTTTTTTTTTACATAAAAAAGGCCTCTTTTGTTGTCTTCTGCTTCAAAATGATGTCTTAATGACAGGCTGGTTCTCACAGACCTGTTTATGGAAGGAAAAGAAATTTTAAAATCCCGGCTGAAAATTTAGCTAAGATTTGCTTTTGTTGCTAGCTTTCAGGCAGTCTAAACTGGTCTTTGGTGGGCATTAGCTACATTATTGCTGGTCTAAAATGACCAAGGTAGTTGACAAGCTGGCCATCCAGCTGGACTAGTCAAAAACATACCCAATGTTGGTCATCCAGCTTTGACAAGCTGGTCATGCTGGTTGACCAGCCTGGTCAAGCTAGTTATGCTGGTAGACCCACTATTTTCAATTATTTATCAAGATTTTTGCTGGTCCAAGAATTATGTGATTCATGCAGAAAGTTGGTTGTGATGGTCATGCTGGTAGACCAGCCTGCTCAAGCTGGTCAGAATGGTTATGCTGGTAGTTTAGCTTGGAGAAGCTGGTCATGCTGGTTGACCAGCCTGGTCAAGCTAGTTATGATGGTAGACCCACTGTTTTTAATGGTCATTTACCATGATTTTTGCTGGTCCAAGATGGTCAAGGGGGTTGACCAGCCAAAAATTGGTCATGATGGTCATGTTGGTCGACTAGCTTGCTCAAGCTGGTCAAAATGGTTATGCTGGTAGACCAGCCTGGTCAAGCTAGTCATGCTAGTAGACCCACTTTTTAATGATCAGTAATCAATAATTTTGCTGGTCCAAGATGGTCAGGGTGGTTGACCAAAGTGGTCAAGCTAGTTATGATGGTAGACCCACTGGTTTTAATGGTCATTTATCAAGATTCTTGCTGGTCCAAGATGATCAAGGTGGTTGGCCAGTGAAAGCTGTCATGCTGGTAGACGGTCATACTGGTAGACCCGCTACATGGTCAAGGTTGTTGGTTAAAAATCCAGCTAAGACCAGCTTTTGTTGATGTTTTTTTAATTGTCTAAGCTGATCTATGATGTCATTAGCTCCATTCCTGCTGGTCAGAGATGGTCAAGGTGATTGAGTAGTTGGACATCTAGCTGGACTAGGCGAAACTATACACTAGACTGGTCACCTAATTAAGTTGGTAAACCTACTTGGTCATGATGGTCATGCGATTGACCAGCTTGGTCATGATAGATACGCTGGTTGACCAGCTTGGACATGATAGTCATGCTAGTCATGCTGGTAGACCTACTTTGCCTATGATCAGTATCTGGAGTCTTGCTGGTCTAAGATGACCAAGGTGATAGACTGAAAATCCAGCCAAGACCAGCCTTTGCTGGTAGCTGGTTTCAGGTGAGTTTCAGAGCTGGTCTTTGATGGTCATTAGCTACATTCTTGCTGGTCTAAGATGTCCAAGGTGGTTGACCAGCTGGGCATCCAGCTGAACTTGGTGAAAACATACCCTATGTTGGTCGTTCGGTTCAACTGGTCATGCTAGGATACCAGCTTGGTCATGCTAGTAGACCCACTAAACTCTGGCCAGGCTGTTTTTCTCAGCTGGGAAGAGAAAATGGAAGTTGTTTTGAAGCGAGACATAAAAAATTGAACACATCTAAAACAATTATGTAACTCTAGGGCTGCGTCTAAAACCACACACTAGTGTACTAAACAGTGCACAACCATTACTAGCACATTCATTATCATAGTACATATACTATGTATACTGAAGTAGTGGATTTGGACACAGCCTTGGTCTACAACACTGTTCATAAGTACGTTTCACAGCCCACTCCTCAGACCCCCCTCCACCTACCCCTCCTTCCAGCCTTGTGCTTCGGCTGCTGTAATATGCTTTAATGGCTGTTTTATGATGATTTGTTACGGTCGGGAGTAGCTCCGTGTGGTCGGCTTTACTGGCCCCCAGGGCAGCCGCTCTTAACAGAGTGTTTTATATAATGGGTAAGCTGCCAGTCAGGGTTATTTGGTTGGTTTATGAAAGAAATAGGTGAGGCACCAGGCCTACTGTGTTTTGATGTGGATTACTTGAATATACAAGCTAGCTTGTGCTACCATAGCGAGTGCTGGAGGCTTTGTAGTAAGGCTGTGGCTAATGGATCATTTCGTTTAACCTGTTTCATTGACTAATTTGTTCAGTCTAGGCACTGGACACAGGTGGGTAGAGTAGAAGCATACTCAAGTAAAGGTGTTGTTACTTTATTTAAATAAAGACTCAAATAGAAGTAGAAGTAGCTACTAAAGGACATACTACAGTGGAGCGTCCAGCATCTATCAACCAATGAATATGTTTAAATATAAGTGTACATACTGTGCCAGCTTCCCAGACGTGGATTAAGCCTGATCTTGGGCTATGTTTAAGTGTCAGTGGAGATTTACCACTACAGATTCTTTTTAGCCTTGGTTTAGGCTTAATCTAGGTCTGGAAAACTGACCCACTGTCATTTAAAAATGATTCAAAATAACAAATCTATCAAAATATATGCTAGTATATGTAAGTCAGTGTGCAGTAATATAACATTTCTTATAACAATAATAACATTTTTTTTGTTTTAAGTGAAAATGAGCATGCAACTTCTACAGGGGACACATTCTGTACATTTTAGTGCACAGTTACTGTTTATTTGCTGAATAAAATATTAAATATCAGGGGAAAAAAATAAAGCGTTAAATGTGGCCAGTGAGAACATTATGGCACATTTTATAATTATTTTTTTCCCAATGCATCAAACCCCTTAAATAAATAGAAATTGTGCACTAAAATGTGCAGGAAAAAATGTTAAATTTATTTTTTTTATAGGGGACGTGGTACTGCATGTGTATTTGTGTGTGAACTATTCTATTTTACATTAATTTTTTTTTTCTCATCAGGAGTATCTGGATGTTCTGGGCAGGCCCATGGTGTTAGCTGGCAACCGGGCCAAACAGGTGCAGTGGACCAACGTCTACCAGGATGCTCTGGTGAGGAGGATTACAGACACCTTCACCCATGTCAGTCTTACTCCATCAGCGTGAGCATGAGTGGTCCATCTATTACATTGTATTACTAATTTCTAGATAAAAACACCATTGAGTGAAAACACAGTGAAGCATTTTATTTTATCCCCGATCTTGACTGATCACGATGGCCTGTATTAAAATGCTAAGGGTCCAGTACTTTGCTTATGGGGTGCTACACAGATATTCATTCTGCAGCATAGAGTGATAACATAATGCAGAATGCATATCAGGAAGTGAGTTGGTTGGCACAGAAACAGAATGGCCAAAACCTGCTTATCAGGAGCTTGCAGAGTGGTGAAGCAACCTCTGGGAAAATGAGGGAATCAGATACAGGCTGAATTTGAGTTGGTTGCCCTGTTCACCTGGGAAGAAAACACTAAAGACACTGATGCACTTATAAAGGAGTGACACGTGACAGTTTACAGATGCTTTCTTATTGGTTAGTACTGGTTCTCAGCTTTGGTCCTGGGTAGTCCGGCAGGGCCAGTAACAGGAATGCACATCTGGGGCCGACTGTGAGGGAATTTGATCTAAATGTGAACTTATTAAGGTTGGTGGATGTAAGCAAAAGCCCCCCCCGAATCCTTCCCACCACCCAAAAACAAAAAAAACTCAAAAGAAACATGTAGATGTATGTTGCAGAGAGCATTACATGCAGTAAAATCAGACTATGCTTTAGCTTTAGCAGACATCATTGGACTAGTGATAAAAGTTGATGCTGAGCTGCCAGCAGATGTAAGCCTCAGTTATGAAGATAATAGATACTAAATCAAACAGTATTCCTGAAACTTTCATTTTAAAGGTCTGATATCATGCAAAACCAAATTTTCAGACCCTTTAAGGAAGAGTTTGTGGTATGTAAACACAAAGTTTCAAAAACGTACCATTCGGTCCCCAGTCCATACCGTCCATATATGGGAATTAAGCTGCAAAAACAGAATATTTTGAGTTCGTTGTTTGTGATATCATAAAAAATTAAAACATTTAAATATCCGTCTACATCAGTTTAGCTGCATCCAATCAAGCTGAAGTCATCAGCAGTGTTTCAGCGTGGACAGTGGCGCCAATCAGAACAGACACCATTTACATATCGCTGCTGTTGGAGCAAAATCTTTTATTTCCATTTTTGTCATTTTTCTGTTTTTAACATTAATTAAAAGTACCTGTTGCCTTTTACATTGTGTGTAAATTTCATGATAAAAGGACCAAAAGAAATGACCCAAAATAGCGTGGGATTCCTTTGACTTACATTAAAACTAAAGTATGTTTTTCCTTCTCCTGTAAAGTTACCATTTTGGAGGTAGGAGGTTTTGCTCCAACAGCAGCGAAGATTAGTCTTTTAGGCAGAGTAGCAAAAACAGCTGGTTTAATTGTAAGGGATAAAGAGAAGCTGGAAAATTGTCATGTAAAAATGAATTACAGCTGTTTTTGTTACATAAACCCACACAAAAGTGGACCTTAGTGAAGGATATGGGCCCTTTAACTATCAATACGGCTTCCCTGGAGGAATTTGGGCGGGTTTTGAGAGGAAAGTCTATGGGCAGAGCCTTGTTTGCTGGAATCCAGCACCAAAATTCCTACAGTTTATTCCTGAACGTGTATTCTTGTTATGAGATGACATGTGGCCTCATGAGACCTGGCCCTGGACTGAACATACCCCTCACGTTATGATGTTTTTCCTGCTCTAACACACCTGATCCAGCTAATTAGCAAACCCTTCCTCTTGCCCTGCATGGGCATCTAAAAATGTGCAGGCCAGCTGTACTCCAGGATCAGGAATGGGAACCAGTTGGCTTGCTTAGGTTCTTAAAGCTGTTCTCTGGACAGATACAAAATTAATCTCTGGAGATACCAAATTAAACCACACTGCAAACGTGGAGATCTTAATGTTCATTTTATGCATGCAGTTGAGTCTACGCTCGCGATGCCTCCTTTCCAGCCTGTATGAGTGTCTTAAGACTCATTAGCAAAAATGCAGCCTCAGTTGTTAATGAAAGTTTACAGTAAGACTGTCCTTATAAATGATTAATGAATGGTTCAAAATTAGTTTATTAATGGTTATTATTTAGGTCACAACCTTAAAAATCATTTGTAATCAGTTACAACATATAAATAAAAAGGGCAACAGTGACTTGTTGCTTGCCAAGTAGTGACCCCACACTCATCTATACTGTTAAACCTCAGATCTCGCTGGTTACTTACAGTCGTATGCAAAAATTTGAACACCCCCAGTTCAATAACATGTTTGTTGATTTTCTAAAATAAGTTAACACCTCCTCTACAGAGAACACACTTAAATATGGATTTTGTTCGCAAATGTCGTTCGCAAAAAGAGCACAGTTTCTGTTCATTGGCTGAGTTTGACATTGTCAAAAAATAAAACATTAAATATAAAATGTGCCATAACTTTTGCACAGGCCACATTTTATGTTTTGTTTTTCCCAACATGTTAAATTCAGCACATAAGCAGTATTTGTGCATTAAAATGTGCAGAAGTGTGTTCTCTGTAGAGGATGTGTTCACTTATTTTCACTTAGAAAATCAACAAAACGTCATTTGACCGGGGGTGCACAAACTTTTGCACACAGCCATATATCACTTTGTCTTTTCCATCAGTCAAAATTGTACCTGTCAGCTTCATCAGATGTTCATATTCATTAGATATAACGGGTTCCTGCTGCTCTTTTTATTTGTGTTATAGCTGCATATTAATGCTTTAAGGTGGTACAAAGATTAGATTATTAGATGATTAGAAAATCATAAAACCGATTTTACAATTCATAAACCTTTTATAAGGGTAGTCATGTTGTAAAGTGGTACTGCAACTCATAAAGTTGTTGGATAGCTTAGTGGACAATCCCACCACCCATCACGCAATAGAACCAGGTTTGATTCCCTGTTTAGATGGGATGTAGGAAAGACTTTGGCTGCCGTTGTCATTCTTTTTGGACATGTGTGCTAAAAGTGTGCTGAGAGGCAAACGGATAGGGTGAAGATTTAGTATGCAAACCCCTCTTTCACCACCTCAGACAGTATCACTAACTGTACAAGGAATTCATGAAACTGGTGCAAAAGGTACTGGTACAACGTTTACGTTCTTCCTTGTGTTCATTTTAAGAAAGCACTTGATTAAAAACAGACTTGATTATTTCTAAATAGAGTTAATTCCTGTATTTTAGTTCTTATTACATTAAACATCTATGTCAAATCTACTTAACAGCAGTTTGCACTTAAAAAAGACTGTTTAGTCCAAATTACGTTATTTTAATTGAAAAAAAAACACCTTTTTGGACAGAATATGTACAGTTTGTCACCCAAAGGCTGAAAATGTTGAGATATATATTTTTTTTAACCACATGGTTGAGCCCCAGGCTAAAGCCTTTAGTTTGGCATTTTAAGTACATATCGCTAACAAAACACATTTCTGACTTCTTTGTTTGTTTCTTTTGACTGAGATATTAAAATTTCTGATTGTATTCCTATCATAATGGAACTCAGCATCTTTGTGGGTGATAAAACCACAGGCTGTTGTGTTTGTGCGGTTCTTTTGTCGTCTCTTCTCTCCACTAATAGACTCCTATTTTCACCTCTCCTCTGCTGCCTTTTTTCCTTTGTCACACACTTTTTTGCTTAGTGTGATTGAGTATTTATCTTTCCAGTTGCCATTGTCTGCTTTGTGCATCAGCTTCCATTGCTTTGTGATTTGTTTGTGTGTTTAGTCGGTGCTCTGTGAAAAGTAGATAAAGAAATTTGTGTAAGGTCAATTTCTTTTCAATTTGTTGCAGCATTTTCCTTTACCGCTGTTCTGAGGACGTTGAAAATCAGAATTATCCCCTGTATTTTTCTGTTTTTTCTCCTTAAGGGTTTGGGTCTGGTCATTACTGGGACGATGCCGGTCTTCAATCTCACCGCTGATGGGGACTCTAAGGTTATTTCTCCAATTCTATCACCAGTCACCACACTTTTACTGATTACCATATGTTAAAAATCATATGTTCATATGTATTCTTTCAGTGATAAGACATATACATTGTCTTGAGGGGTGCGCCTGAATTAAAAACAGAAGGAGACGTGATTTATTTCAGATGGTTTGGCCAGGGTCATTACTATTCCAGCTTGTTCTCTTAACTGAATGTTTCTCAGCCCAGAATATCAAACATTTACACGGAATGATCAATTTATGGATGTGAAATACAAAGAATTGGTTTTTGATTATAACATGACATTGAAGACGAAAGGGCATTTGAGACATGGTGCCGTAGACGTGTTTGTGTGGCTGATATTTCGTATAGTCATTCTGCCCCCTTGTGGCCAGATGCATTAGTGCATTCTCTCTCCGTCTGATTTTGTTTTGCAGAATCAGCTCATCCTGGGTGTCATGGGCGTAGACGTTGCCCTGAGTGAAATTCAGCAGCTCACACCGCGGTATAAGGCAAGTGATGCCTTATATATGCCTTATACAAAAGTCAGTTTATCTGGGAAGTAAGCATAAACAGTAAGCATAGCATTAAAATAAATGCACATAACATATAAACAGTACATTCTGACCTAATGTGTACTTTAATTTAATGCTCTCCTCAAGGAAGCCAAGTATTTACAGTGACCATCCAAAACCAAGTTCATTTAATCAGTCCTTCATTAAATGAAGTCAGGAGCTGTTTTCCTCTAACCAACACATTCATAACTTTACTGAAAACAAAAATACATTCTTTCTTTATGTTGTATTTGTGTTAATTTGTATGTTTCTACTGGCAGAAACACACTTACTGTCCAGATAAAAAAGTTAAAGGACGAATATCAAGGCTGAAGCTGTATATACACTTTGCTCTTCGGTCCATAAATGGAAACCAAGGTGCAAAAAAACAGCCAGTTTAGATTTTTTTTTGTGATGTTACAAAAACAAACATGTTTACAGATGTCCACCTAATTAGCCTAAATCAGTTTAGCTCTGCCTATTAATTCTGATGTCATGAAAAAATGTTTCAAACCACATACAGAACAAAATTCATTTACAAACATCAGTCTTAAAGGCACAGTATCAAAAACAGCCTGGTCACTTTTAAGGGATAAAGAAAGGTTGGAAAGTGGTCATTTAAAAATGAATTACCAGTTTTGATTTGTAAATCCACACAAGTGTAATAAGTACAAAATAAAATTTAAGAAAAATGTAGAATATAGGCCCTTTAGCACAGTACATACAGTGCCTTATGTTTTATGAACATTTGTGTGCAAAATTGTGAACACCCCCATTCAAATTACATGTTTTTTTTGTGTTTTGTTTGTTGATTTTGTTTTTTGTAGGCAGGAAACTTAAAAATGGCATTTTTCTGCAAATTCAATCATACAATTTCTATTTATCTGAGTTTAACAGATTGGAATAAAATTAAACACAAAATATAAAATATAAATATTCCATGCATTTTGTACAGGCCACAGTTTTTTATGTAAAAATTTTTTTATGTAAAAAAAACACAGTTGCATGTTAAATCAAATCAAATCCCATTTATTGTCACATCACATTTACAAAGATGCGAAGGTGAGTGAAAATCTTAGGTGCGTAGCCTCTTTTAATACTTAAATATACATATATAAAATATAAAATAAATTATATATAAAATATACAAGAAAAAATATGTATACACAATATACACATTAGTATACACACAGTATTACACCATTCCAATATATAGTTTTTGTACAGTAATATAAGTTATGAAATAAAATTATAATATGTACAGATGTTATATCTATCTATCTATATATATATATATATATATATATAACATTATACAAGATATGAATAGGAGATGTACAAGATGTCAATCTATATTGTGTCAATATCTATCATTATTGATAGTCTGCTATCTGTAGGGGTGTGTTAACCTATTCTCACTTAGGAAATCAACAAAACATATTTTGCGTATTTCTGTAACGCTTCATTTGTTTTCTTCTCCACACAGCTTGGAGCCAATGGGTACACATTCGCCATAGACCCTAATGGCTACGTTCTTCTGCACCCAAACCTGCAACCGAAGGTGAGGATGGGACAAAACAGGGGTTAATGTTAAGAATAGAAGGCTGGGGCTTTGTAACTGTAGGCCATCTGAGTGTTTGTGTTATCAAAAGGTCTCTGACCTTGGCAGCTGTTTTTTTCTGACTGTTTGACTTTGATTGGCCGCCTGATCTCCACCTCTTTTGGTAATCTGTCTTTGTCTGATTGGCTCCCTCAGATCATTAACTTCAGAGAGCCAGTCACGCTCGACTTCCTAGATGCGGAGCTAGCAGACAGCAACAAGGAGGAGGTAAACATGCATGCACTGTAGCAGCATCCCCACAACGTTACAGCAGAAATGAAAGGACGCGCTCCTGTGTGTAATGCGCGTTTCTGTCCATCAATCAGTCAAACTGACTTAAGTGATTTTAAACTCAATAAAAGAAGTGATAAAATGAAGCGACTCAGGCATTCTTCCTTCCTCTCTCTCTCTCTCTCCCTCTCTTTCTCTGACAGATCCGTCGGCAGATGATTGACGGCAAGCCCGGACAGAAGAAAATCAAGACGTTGGTTAAGTCTGCTGACAAGGTAGGACACGTAAACACAATCCAGACTGAGGCCTTTTGCTACAAAACCACACACTGGCCTCTGTTTGGTGTGGTTAGAAGCAGTAGGGGTGGGTGATATGGCAAAAATATAATATCATGATAATTCATGACATTTTCATTATGAGCATCATAATATTTTATCTTATTTTTTGAGGTTTGATAAGTTGGAACAGACAAAAATGAACGAGCAGTGCCACATTGAAAAAAATACCAACAAAAATATATAAAAATATAATGATTTTTATTGAACATTTCACACACTTCACTGCACATTTCCACAGTCCAGTTAAACAGGATTAATTACACTCTCTTTGTAATGAAACATGCAGTTGATCAGTGTTCTTTATGTACCGCCTACATCCACGATGCTCTCAGAAAAGCATATAATGACATGATATGACATACAGTGCTGTGTAAAGGTCAGAGACCACCCTTCATTTATATCATTTATAGTCAAAATGGCCATTAAATGTGTATTGTATATATTTCCCCTGAAAAATGAATAACTTTGCTGTTTGAGTGGAAGTTTAATAAATGAAGGGTGGTCTCTGACTTTTGCAAAGTACTGCAATCTATCATGAAAATCATCAATATCATCATATTGCCTACCCCAGTCATCAGTATAGAATTGTAACAGATTACACTCAGTGGAAAAAGGTTGTAGGGTTTTTATTTATTATTTAAAAACTGTTTTCAGTGTGTTAGTAAAGTATGTTACAGTCTAATCTGATCAGTGAAACTAGTTCTATTTCAGATCATGGAGTAACAGCATGTTTCTGTATTCTTTAGCGATACATTGACCAGGTCATGAGGACATACATATGGACACCAGTGGATGGCACAGACTACAGGTGACGAGCCCACTGTTTTACCACAGATTGAATTACCTCAGCAATCACGTCTTCTGTGCTCGGACCCTTGGTCTTGTTAATTATTTTTATATATAGTAAATGTGGGAGGGGGGGCTATAAAACATGGCTTTAAAATATGAAGACTGCTGGACCGGTGCTCAGAATGTGAACGTTGTTTCAAGTGCAAGAGAAACAAGTAGAGTTTTCTGAGGGGAAAGACTGGATTGTTAGAATGTCTGAATGTCTGTACATTTAATAAGTACAGCTGTATATATATATATATATATATATATCACTGTCATGGGAACAAAACCTCGAACCTCCAAAATGATAATTTTTCAGGAGGAGGAAACAACTTTAAATGTAAGTCAATGGAACCAGACTTTTTTCCAAGTAATTTTGGGCCACTTCCTTTGGTCCATTCATCATGAAATTTACACACAATTTAAAGGGCAACAGGCATTTTTAAATTAAAAAAAACAAACTGAAAAACAAAAATGGAGATACGAAGTTTTGTTGCGACAACATCGATGTGTGTATGTATAATAATTTTGTGATAATGATAATAATAATAATGATAATGCGAATATAATAATTTTACTTCTTTAACAAAAAAATATAAAAAAAACGAAAATGTACCAAAGTAATGACACTTTCATTAGTGCGCTAGTGAAGATTATTTTACTCATTTCAATATTTTTTCTTAAAATAAGCAAATTTATCTGCTTATTTCTGATTATCTTGGCAGGTCATCTTACTTGTTTTCAGAAATAATGTAGATAGTTTTGTTTGTTTCAAGAAATAATATTTAAAACAACTAAAATTATCTGCCAATGCCAATGGAATGACACTTTCACTAGATAAAATAAGTACAAATGTATAGAAATAGGCTAGATAATGTTCTAATATTCTTACAACAATCTCACGATGTTAAATAATAGATACACTGACTAAATTTAAGATGTTTTCACTTGCTTAGGTAGCATTTGTTACATGTTTTAAGTAATTTTATCCAGTGAAAGTCTTATTTCATTGGCAGATTATTTTATTCATTTCAAATATTATTTTAAAAAATAAGCAAAAGTATCTGCATTATTTCTGATTATCTTGGCAGGTAATCTTACTTGTTTTGAGAAATGAGGCAGATAATTTTGCTTGTTTCAAGAAGTAATATTTAAAACAACTGAAATTATCTGCCAATGCCAATGGAATGACACTTTCACTAGATACAATAAGTACAAGTGTATAAAAATAGGCTAGATAATGTTCTAATATTCTTGCAACAATCTCACAATGTGAAATATTAGATACGTTGAGTCAATTTAAGATGTTTTCACCTGCTTAGATTGCATTTTTTTGCAATAATGATAGGCTTCCTTGAGGAGAGGTTTGGAAATGGGTAAACCAAAAACATTGACATACGTGAAATCATGTCTTTTTGTATTTGTTCTACTGTTAGTGGTTTTCTGGTCAGGTAAACAGCTTTACTGCCCAGTAACATAGATTTTAAAGATGATTTTCTCAGGTGTTTAAGACTTTTGTACAGTACTGTGTTTGCATGAAAAACATTGCCATTTAGTTCGTTTACCTGCATTCAATAATCCGATAACTGCAGAAAATCAGGTTTTGTTGTAATCAACGCGTTTACATGCACTTAAGTAATCAGATAATGGGAAACTCAGGGTCTAAATGAGTCAGACAGTAATTAGATTTCTGATTTACAACCTGACAAACTCACAGAAGAAGACATGACGTAAACGTAACAAACTCAAACCCAGTGCTGCAGCTTTAAAAAACATTGCGCCACTTTACCTGAAAATATGAACATATGTCATCTAGAGGATGAAGAATATTTAAATCCATCATTTTGTAAAGCATGTTGTTTCAGCATCGCTCCAAAAGTGTTTTGCTGCATCTCGCGGCAACACTGCTCGCTTGTATCTGGTACTGCGCATTGTTCTCGACTGAGAACTCCGAAAGAAATCAGAGTAAGAGTTCACATGCACTAAGAAATCTGATTACTGAGCTAAAATCCAGCTGTCTTTATCAGATTTCTTAATCAGATTTCTAGATCGGAGTATGGTGTTTACATGACCTTTTTTAATGATCAGATAACTGCAGAAATCCGATTATGATTGGATTATTGAGTGCATGTAAACACGGATTGACTCAGAATTCCCATATCAGTGCATTAGTTAATGTAACTAATTACTCTGCACCTCTGTATTCAGTCAGTGATGCTCATGTGGTCCTCATGCGTCTCACTGTCTCTGTTCCGCAGTCTCAGTTTGGTGCTGCCCACCTACAGTGAGAACCACATCAGAGCCAACCTCAGCGACCAGATTCTGCAAGTCCAGTGTAAGTACTGAGGGTCAGGGCAGCCTCAACTGTCCTCCTCTCTTCTGCAGGAAAACCTCCCATCCCCCGGTCCCCTTAACCCCTTAAACCCTCCAGACCGGACCCCCACCCACCCCACATGGGACGTCTCGGACATCGCCGTGGTGACCAGCCCCAGCGTGGACTCTGAAAAATGGAAGGCCGTCAGTTTCCCTCTGTCTCTCTCCATCGACACTGGGGGGGGCACAAAAAAAGAATGGATGTATTCTTCTGTCGCCCCCCTCCTCCTCCCATCCTCTCCCCCTCTTTTCCTGTCTTCATGCTGTTCTGTACTGAGGGGATTTTTCTTTCCCTGCGTGGAAGAAAAGAAAAACCCCTTAATAAAAAAAAGAACAACAGAAAGGTGAAAGCTGTGGTTTTACTGTGTTTATTGAGTTGAAAATAATGGTGACCATGTGCTATTATTTTTCCTTTTTTATTTTTTTTTGTCAACAAAACTGCTCTCGCCTCTTCTTCTCTCTCATGATGATGATTCTGAAGCACCTCGTTGTCTCGGCTTCTTAATCTTTCTGTTGGGGACGTGTGAAAAGAGGCATGTTTTTCACTTCCCCCGTTTCCTGTTCTTCAGTTCTGCTCAGTTGTGTTTATGATTTGTGTTCAGTTCAGTTCTGAATGCTCTCTGTATTTATTCTAATCAGCTTTGGAATCATTTGCGAATAAGAACTCGGACAAAACGCCCCCTGATGGGCGAACGTCCTGAGCTGGAGCTGGAGGAGTTGTGGGTCTCTCTCTCTCTTTTTTCTTTTCTTTCTTTCTTCTTCTGCAGTGCTCAGTCTCTTTTGTTTCTTTCTTCTTTTTCTTTTTTCTTCCTGCGTCCATCTTTTTTTATTGCTTTCTTTCTTTCATGTTGCCATCTTTTTATTTCTTTTTCCTTTTTTCTTATTTCTCATTCCCCATTCCTCATGTTCTTTTTTCTTTCTTTTTCTTCCTTTCTTTCTTTCTTTCTTTTGTACTGACCTGTTTCTTTGTTTCCTTCTTTCTGTTTTTTATTTCTTTTTCATATTTCTTTCTTTCTTCCTTTCTTTCACATTTGTGTCTCTTTTGTTTGTTTTTCTTTTATTCTCACTCCACACTTATCCTTTCTTTCTTTCTTTCTTTCTTTCTTTCTTTCTTTCTTTTTTCTTTCTTTCTTTTTTCTCCCCATCTGTCTCTTTTGTGTTTCTTTTTTACTCTAACTTCTTCCTTATCTAGTCTTTTTTGAACAGTTCTCTCTCTCCTGACCCACTTGCTCCTCTCCTCCTTCTGCTTGTGCGCATTTCTGTTCATTTTTGTTTTTTTCTTCATATGTTATCGTGACGATGATTCCCGGGCCCAGAAATCTCCGCTGAGATTCCTCCCCTCCGTTCTTTTTCCGCCCGTGTTCTCGGCGGGAGTGTGTCGTTTGCTCTCTGTGGCTTTTTGTTCTGTTTCATGCTCATTTCTGTTCGACTGACTTGATTTGTTTTCCTTCTTTTGAGAAAAACAATATTTTTATTCAAACAGTCATTGAATAAAATATTGTCTGTGACCCCCTCCTCCCCCACCCGACCCCCCTGTTTCTTTTCTTGCTCCTTCTCTGACGGATCCACACAGTAAAAGACACCACGGGCAAGTATACTCCATATTGGTCCACCTCCTCTTCCCTCTCTCCCTCCTCCCTCGTCCCCTCGTTCCCTTGTCCTGACCTCCCTGCTGACCCCCACCTTCACCTGTTCCAGCCTGCTTGCCTCCTCTGTTCCCCTGCTGGCCTTGCCTTCAAGACCCTACTCTTCCTCCTACTCCTCCTCTACCTCACTCTCCACTCACTCACCCTCCTGCTGCAGCCCACGCACATCTCTCTCTCTCTCTCTCTCTCTCTCTCTCTCTTTCTCTCGGGGTCTCTCTCTCTCTCTCTCTCTCTCTCTCTCTCTCTCTCTCTCTCTCTTTCTCTCTTTCTTTCTCTTTGTCTCATTAACTCTTGCATTCTTATCTATTTCTTCTGCTTTCTTTTCTGTAATCTCTTTTCTCTTTTCCTCTTTCTCTTTCTCTCTCTCTCTCTCTCTCTCTTTCTCTCACTAACTCTCTTGCACTTATCAATTTCTTTCCTATTTTGCTTTCCTCTATTTATCTCCTTCCTCTCATTTCCTCTCTCTCTCTCTCTCTCTCTCTCTCTCTCTCTCTCTCTCTCTCTCTCTCTCTCTCTCTCTCTCTCTCTCTATCTCTCTCTCTCTCTCTCTCTCTCTCTCCCTCCCTCTCTCTCTCTCTCTCTCTCTCTCTTTCTTCAGTTCCTTGGCTTGGGGGGATAAGCCATATTCAGGTTTCTGTCACTTGTATCCTGAAGAAAAAGAGAAATGTTCTCCCTGTCACAAAAAATATTTGAATCACTATGTCTGCCCCTCCCTCTCTTTCTCTCCTCCTTCTTTCTCTTTCTCTGTGACAGTGTTAAACCCCCTCTATCCTCAAGTTTCTCCAGTCTTTGAATTTACTGGCCCCTGTGCAACTGACAAAGCAGCTTTAGTGACTGGACTGTAGCGTGTAGTTTGTTTCTGAGGTGACGTTTCATACAGTACTGTTCAACAGTCAAAATCACCCTTCATTTATTTTAATTCCAGTCAAAACAGCCATTAAATACTAATAAATAATAATAATAAAAATTACTAATAAATTAAACTCTGGAGTGGTCAGTCCATTGTTCAGCTTCTCTGTTTGATGTGTCAGTCTACTTTTCTCAGTGAGGTTCTTCTTGATAGCTACACATCCCTTCTGTTTAAGTGCTGTTTATCTGATGGGGGCAGTTTTGGTGTCTACCAGCTCTTCCAGGTGGTTGTTAGGAGTCCCGTTTTCTCTGTAGCTTTTAATCATTTTTGAAACTCCCATTTTTTTTTTCACTTACTTTCTTTTGACTTTCCCTTTCTTTAATAATCTTATATCGTATATATATCATATATCTCATGAAAAAAAAAACGAATAATAGCTGTTTTGACTGTAAATTAATTTTGATTATGGGTGTTCTCTGATTTTTGCACAGCACTGTATAACACAGTTTATATCTGCCTATAATTAGAGTAGAAATTGGGATAACCTTGTTTTAGTGTGATTTCTGATCTGTGCTGATTAGATTTTCAAGCTGCTGTGATTCTGTACAGAAGAACCAAAGTGTCTTAGTTTTGTTTAGGATTTTTAAATAGATGGGATTAATAGCTTTTTGACTTTCTAGTTTCCAGTTTACTCATTGGCCACTTGTCTTTGAAGCCAGTTTATTCATTAGTTTAGTTATCTACATATTTCATGTATGCTTAAATCATAATCTAAAGCAGATGTTGAATTCCTCTAGATGAGAGTAGTTCCTGGTCCGTCTCAGGTAGCTGCAGTCCTCGTGGTTTCCTTCAGGTCCTCTCTTCTTGTCTTGGTGACAAAGCGTGTGATGGCATCTAATTCGTTTGTCGTCCTCCTGTGACCCCCTGTGTTTCCATCAGCTTGACTCCTTCTGCCCATCACCCCCCAGACACGGCAGCGGCTCCACTAGATCCTCAAAAATTCTGACCCGGATGTGCAAGGCATTGTGGGCGGAACACTACCTGGGCACCTCAGGGATTAGAAATGCAGCGAACTCGATCTGACGTAGGAGATTGCTGGCGTTTAAATGCCCTCACTTCTCATACCTTCATAAAGACTGAAAAAGTACTGAAGTGTCACAGTGGAAAAACAGCCAGACACACATATACAGACCTGGTATTGATATTGGACAGTTTGACAAGTTGCCCTGTCACTTGCCCTTCACAATGCAGTGCACTTCCTTCGATTGCGTCTCGGAGAGATTCTCCCAGCCGTGCCGGTCTGAGGGGTGATTGCCTCCATCAGGACCCCTGCCTCACTCACCTCCCTGCGAAACAGTTGGCCATGTTGATGCCTGCTTGTCGAATGACACAAAACCGAGCCACTTTGCGGGCACCGCGTCTGAGAACTTGCGTCATTCCGGCCTGAGCGGCGAGGTTTGAGCCAGTTCTCCGACATCCAAAAGGATCAGAAAACAGTGAAAAATCAGGATTTTTCAAAGTGTTAAAAAAAAAACACTAAAGTCTTTGTGCGGCCCATAGGACTCATTTCGAGGCACCATATTGGCTAACGCTAGTCTTCCCCCATGACTCCTCACTGTTGCTATGGTAAACGTTCCCCTACTGCGTCCCCGCACCTTTCTGAAGAGCAGCTGCTGTTTTCTCTTTCCCAGAGTCCTCCCTCTGCTCGTCCCGCCGCTTCCCCCGATAATCTTGCCCCCTTTCTGTTGCAGATTTTGAATCTCTGCTGCCAGTCACTTTTGAATCAGAGGGACATGTGTTGATTGCCCCCAGGTAGTTCTGTGTGACTGCTTGTGTCCACCTTCATCTGTTGATTGACCTTTTTTTGTTTCTTTGTGCCAGGGGTGTCCAGGACTTGGTCCAGCACTGTTTGGCGGTTTCTCTGCAGTTAGTTACCAGGTTTAGTAGGTATGATGTTTGAGCAGGGAAACCACCGAACTGTGCTGGACTTGGGACCTGGATTAGACACCCCTGCTGTAAACTGTCATACAGCACCCTCGTAATGTCTGTGGGGTGTACAGTAGCCATTAGTGTGGCCATCATTCAAAGCGTGTGTGTTTTTTCGTGTTCCAGGTAATGCGTTTGTGTTTGGTTCACTATGTTGTGTCACTCTGTATCCTTGTTTTACTCTTCATCATCTTTGAAACTGGATAAGAGCTTAGTTTACCTTCCATCCCTGCGTCCTGCAGTTCCAGAGCTCCATAGCTTTCTGTCTCTGCATGACAGAATAAACAGTCTTATTCACTCATTCTCTGAGTTTACTGTGAAAGCCTTGGTTTGACTTGACTTGCATGTTGTTGAGCCTTTAGCATCTTTGGTGCATGTTTTTGTGCCTGCGCTTTTCTGTGATTAGTGTTAGGGTTCATTGTCTTTGAATCTGTATCTCTGTTCTTTATGCAAATAAGGCAAAACACTACAGATGAAACTTTTTAAAAAAACAATCTTTTCCAGCTGTTTAATGATTCAATTAGATGTGAAAAATGAGATGTTATCTACTTAAAAATGTAGTTATGTTATAACTGAAGTTCGGGGGGGAGGAACATGCCTGAAACCCCTCCTTCTTCCAATCTAATGCCCTATAAATTCACATCTTCACATTCTGTTCCCGTGATGAAGGGTTTGCAATCCCCAGCGCCACCCCAGCTCCTCAGTCCTACATCAGTCCTTCTACAGCTGTGTATGGCCTTCTAGCTAAAGGCAGAAGCTGCCCAGAACTCCAGCCCAAGTTCTCAGAGTTCTCCCCCTCCCTTAATCAGTCCTCCCTCATGCTACCACCACCATGTTGAAGGCATGGACTGAACTCACAAAATCTATTTAAAAGCCACAAATCTGGCCTTTGCATGTGAGAATGAAATTTTTTTTAATTTGTCTTTTATTTAAGTTAAATCTTATTTATAAAAGTCCATTTTATTGCAAAATCATACTCCTAAGAAATGATTTTACAGATGATTGAAATCTCATTGTTTTATTGTTTAATTAACAAAACTCTATACTTTATGTAGCATAAACCCAACTGTGAGCAACATATGAAGAAATGTTTCTGTAACATCCTTCAGAATATACTTAGGAATGAACATTAATTTTTTTACAATTTTCTGAATAGATGTATTCTAAAAGCTGAGATATTATGCTCTGAATGTGTGGAAAAGCTCAGTTTGAGACCGTTTTTAAAATGGGCCTAGAATTGCATTACCCAGTCAGATCTTAGCAAACATAAACCATTTGTGCAAGTGTTATTATTAGTACAAAGGAAATAGACATATGTGGGTAGCATATTTAGGTTCTACATTAAGCAAGCTGTTCACATGGATATGCCAAGTGTGGGCGGAGCTAAGCCTTCATTAAAGCTGTTAACTTTTGGAAAGTACAAGTAGACATGAGCTGAAATAAACTGACTGAACACACTGAAATAAATAGATTTCTGTTGACGTTTGACATTTTTATTTGAGTTTTCATATTTTTCACAGCTTAAGAGAAGAAAAATTATTGACGAGACCAAAATCGTCGCTTCAGCCTGTAGTGTCTTGCCTTAAGAAACTCAGAATTGTATAAATACGGCCAAATTTGTTTTTTGAGTGTTAAAATTCACTTTCCAGCCACTTTATTAAGGACACCATTCTAGTATCGGGTAGGACCACCTGCTCTCAGAGCAACCTGAATTCTTTGTGGCAACAAAAATGAACTCAAGCCCTTCGATCCGTGCCCACATGATTTTTTTATGCACCGACCTGCTGGCACATGATTGGCTTACTGGATAACTACTTGATTGAGCAGGTGAACAAGTGTTTCTAATAAAGTGGCCAGTGAGTGACATTACTGTCAGCATGCACTGTAAGACCATAATGATTGATTTCACCCCAAAAAATAAAATATTCTCTGACCTCTCTAAGTTGGCCTTGTAGAGAAGGGTGTGTGCATTGTGACTGTAAATCAACCTGTGTGCCTCTTAGGGAATACTGCAAGGACCTGGAGCTGTCCAACAACAACACGGAGTTCCTGCACAACTTCATCGCTCTGATGGAGAAAGTCACACCGGACTCCAAACAATGTGAGACCTTTAAACATTTCCAAAGTTTAGAATAACTGACCACTAACTCACGTTCTCTGCATGCTGCATTAGTTAGGACTGACCACACCTTCACTTACTGATGCAGTCATGTTGTGCCATTCCTCAGATTTAACACAAAACAAGCTGAACTTTTTGAGCAGGTGGCACTGGTGCTACATAAGTTGCAAATATTGTTGCACAAATTTACATTTACATTTTTAGCACTCGGATAAAACGACTGCATAAAATGCTTCTAAAAGTACTAAACTTAATAATTGGAACAAATTGTTGTAATTATAGCCGTAAAACAGAAGCGGCACGTAAAAAAAGTTTGTATTTTAACTTTCATTCAGTGAAATGTACAGATAATTCATTTTCTGCACAGTAATTCAGATCCCCCCACAAAGGGGGGGTCTGTTAGAACTCCAGTAGTGTTTTTTCTGTATCATGTGTGAGGAAACCCACACCAGCAGTAATGCGTTTATGGTTGGAGTCATATTTTAGGAAGTAGTCATTACATATTGTTATAACCTTTGAGATTACTTATTTAGATGTAGTGCACCTCATGGACTTGGCTTGTAACTCATTCACTCACTTATAGCAGGACAAAATTCTCCACAAGAGGGTGCTATTAGCACTCAAATAGCTTTTGATGCTTCATAACAGCAGTACTTTGCTTAAATGACATTATCCTCTGTCTTTAAATCATAAAGCATTTTTGGCTCTATGTATGATATAACAGCGCCAAACTAAACAACTTCAGGGAATTTCCTACTGCACAAACCTTTTGTTTACAAACCTATGGATCCGCTCTGTGGTGTTTCCATCCCTGCGTCCTGCAGTTCCAAAGCTCCATAGCTTTAGTCTTATTCACTCATTCTCTGAGTTTACTGTGAAAGCCTTGGTTTGACTTGACTTGCGTGTTGTTGAGCTTTTAGCATTTTTGGTGCATGTTTCTGTGCCTCACAAAATATTTGTCAATGAAAAGCAGACCACAACTTCTAGGAGCACTTGGACTTGACAAAACTGCAATACAGTCATATACAAACGCCCTGGACAGAATACGTTTGTTGATTTTCTAAGTGAATATTAGTGAACACATCCTCTACAGAGAACACCCTTCTGCACATTTTAATACATCATTACTGTTTATTTGATGAGATTAACATACTGCGGGAAAAAACAGAAAATTTCAATTGTGCAAAAGTTATGGCACATTTGTTTTATGTTTTATTTTCCCAATATATTAAACTTTGCATATAGAAAGTACGATTTGCAGAAAAAACGCCATATTTAAGCTTGTTCATTGTAGAGGATATGTTCGCTTAGAAAATCAACAAAACACATTTTGACTCTGATGGGGGTTAAAATGTGCACACAACTCTATACACATGCTGAGACACAAAGGGCTATTGTACACATGCAGCTGTCTTCTTTTTTGTATTAATAAAGGATTTATTTGACCTAGCGTGCGTGATAATATTGTCACATCATGCATTTGATCCTGTTGTTCTGCATCATTTATTTCAATTAGTCACTGTAATCATGCGCCTTTTGTTTAACCCAGGTGACAACTTCCTGCTGCACAACCTGATCCTGGATACGGGCATCATCAGACAGCTGGTGGACAAAGTGTGGAAAACGAAGGATCTCAACACGTTAGTGCACTAATGTCCACTTCAACCACTGATACACTGTATGCTCAAAAGTGTCCAGACAGTCCAGCTGATTAGTGAGTTAAGCTACTTTAAGGTGCACTCATTGCTGACCATAGTAATACCCTTAATTTCAAAAGAAACGCTGGATGAGCAGGTGTCTACAAACTTTTAGAAGTGAATAAAACTTTGTAAAGTTGAAGTTGTATTTTTGTTCAGCTGACACTTTAATTGGTGCACAGCTGCATAGTTTAAGGTCAGAGAAAAGTCTTTAAATCCATGCTTTCTGTCTGTTTGTAACTATGGTTTGTGTGCACATGCTCTCTCTGTTTTGTAGGTATGGATTTTTGGCCGTTTTTGCAGCTACAGATGGAGGCATCACTCGTATTTTTCCAAATAAGTGAGTTTGACATATCATAATCCACAGTTTGTGAAATAAGAGTTTGATGTATTATGTAAACATTATTAAGTTTTGAAATATATTCACTCCCCTAACCATACAGTTCATATGTGGAAACTAAGCTATATATATAATCACTGCTATTGGGACTAAACCTCCATTTTTCAGTTTTTGACATAATTGTAAAATGCCTGCTACCCTTTACATTGTGTGTAAATTTCATGATTAATGGACCAAAGTCCATTGACTTTCATTAAATGTGAAGTAGGTTTTTTCTTCTCCTGTAAAGTTACCATTTTTACCATCAGTCTTAAAGGTACAGTAACAAAAACAGTTTAATTCTAAGGGATAAAGAGAGGTTGGAAAATGCTCCAACCTGTAAATCTAGAATTGAACGCTTCATTTAAGTGGAACATTTATTTCTTTGTAGCTCGGTTCATATGCATTATACATGATAAATATGATGATAAATAAATAGATGCTATTAGCTTATCAACCTGTCTTAGTTCAAATGTGCGTTTTGACTTTTGGAAACAAATGATGGGTAATTTTCATTGATGCTTAATTACCAAATACTGGCTTGATAAGGCTTAATCAGGGAATTGTGTTGCTTTGGAAAATGCTGAATTCAAGCTAGTTACTGCTTAATAATGTAGTAATAAGCATCCAGTTAATTATCAGCAACTGGTTTGTTACGGCTTAAAAAGCTCATTTTAAACACATTAAAATACTGAACTGTTAAGATACATAAACTCACATAAGTGTCATAAGTGGATCACAGGGAAAAGCTATAATACAAAAACATGTAGGTGGGTCCATTATTAATACATGTTTCTCCATTGTTTAGGTAAAAGACAGTGTTTTGTCCTCTGTTTAGTGTCAGAGTTCAGTTCAGTTCAGTGATTTGTTCTGTGTTTATGTCAGGGCTGCTGAAACCTGGGAAGAGGATCCAGAGCCGTTTAATGCCAGTTATTACCGCCGCAGTCTGGACAACAAGGGCTACATCTTCAGAGCACCCTATCGTAGCCGTGAGTGTTTTTACTGTTTGCCTGCCTCTCCACACTCCTGGCATCATATGTGGTGTAAAGTATAGCCGAGAGGGGTCACTCTGAGCCGTGTTTGTAGCCACAGGAAATCCCCACATTTTGCAATGCTAACTGATATCAGTAACACCTGGAATTCAAGGTCCATCTAACCCAGTAAATATTTTTCTTTTACCTCTCTAAATAAACTTCTGTTTTGTTTGCACAGCAAACGCTCTCCTACAGGACCAGGAGAATGACACCATCGGCATCCTGGTCAGTACAGCGGTGGAGATTACAGTCGGATCCAGAACCATCAAACCCGCTGGTAATTTCATCGCTTGTATCTTAGAGTCTTACATGCCACAAAGTACTAAGTTCACTTTAAATTAACACTTGGGCTTGTATTCACATAAGTTGATTAATCTGTAAATATTAATAAAACTGCATAATTATTGTGAATGCTGAATGTTTGCACATCAAAACAAAAACATCTTACTGAAGGTAAGTCGCTTAGAGATTCATTAGAGATTCACACTGGATTTAAATCACGAATCTTGTTGGTAACCACTCAAATTACAGTTTAAACTAATCCAGCTCCAATAGGGCTCTAGTTATTGTTAAAAAGTAAATAAGTTAGCAGTAACAAGGTTAATGAACCCTCTCTGAGTATTACTTCTCTATGTTGTCTTAAGCCTGTTGGACTTAGTTTAACCTGGAGGGCTGCTGTAATTTGGGTGGTTACCGATGAGATCCATGATTTTAATCCGATATGAATCTGCCATGTCCGTAGCTTTTAGCTTCAGGTCTGCTAAGTGATAATTCCACAGTGAATTACCTTCTATAATTCGCCAAACTCTGAGCTGCCTCAGTAAAAATAGTCCCGTTCATATTAACTTTAAAGTAATGTAATAACAAAACCAGGTAATAGAAAACAGCGCCTCCATTTTTTTCCTTTGTTCGTCACCTCAGGACAAGACTTACAGCTTAATGGAGCTTGATTTATGATTATAATGAAATAAGATGTGAAGTGTTGCATTCTGGGGAGGGCAGTTTCTGGCACCATATTTGCCATTTAGCCACACGTTATTGCTTGTTAGTTTCATGCCTGTAGCATAACACTGACATAAATGTCCATGCAATTGTTTTGATTGAGAGTTTTTGGAGTAATTTGGGACATTATTCAGATTCTTTATCCTGTACGAATCGTCCAGTCAAATCATGCACAAAATACATAACCAGCCTTCTTGTGGTAAAACTAATCCAGCTCCAATAGGGCTTCACACACCTGGACAGTTTTGTTCTGTTTTAAGGAAACATTACTGTTTTTTGAGTTTATATGGATGATAAAGCATTCAAAACAATCTAAAGCAAATGATCCACATTTCCAGTCCTGAAGTTCTGAAGTGCACAAGATAGAATTTAAAAACTAAAGGGTGCTTGGCAATAGTGCTAACAGGAACATTATGTCTGTGATGCTTGTTATCTATCAAATATATCACTAAAACTGTAAAAAAAACAGTATAGTGGAAGGTCAGTGCTGATACAGATGATATATCATTCAGCACCAGTTCCACAGTATACTAATGTAAATCTGTGTAAGTGGATTTAGTGTGGACGTGGTTTAGAATGGATTAGCCATCCGCTGTGGATTAACATTTCATTTATCAACCTTCAGTTTGACCCTTCTGTCTTGTTTTGCCTCAGTGAAATTACAGAGCAGCGCATCTCTCACCTCAGGTGGAGGATTATATTTCTTTTAGATTCCACTAGTATGTGGCTTGTGTGCCTAATCTTAGCATTGGCGCTGAGCTGATATCTCTGGAAGAACTTCACGATGGGGGAGGCTTGTAATAATCTTGTCGGGTTTGGTTACTTTATCACGGGTTTCTTGATTTCTCACTGTGCTCTCTCTCTCTCTCTCTCTCTCTCTCTCTCTCTCTCTCTCTCTCTCTCTCTCTCTCTCTCCCTCCCTCCTTCAGTGGTGGGTGTAAAGTTGGATCTTGAGGCTTGGACTTCAAAATTTAAGATTCTTGCCAGCAACTACACAGACAGCAGTCGGCAGGGTCCTCAAATGGTAAAACACCCGCACGCCCACACTTATTTTTACATATGAGAGAACATAAGTATACGGGAGGACTGTGGTTTGTTGCTGATGATGAATTGCTCAGTGGCATTCAAATCTTCGTAATGGATAGCTCCAAGGCTGCTATTTACCAGCAATCAGAGAAATCAGTCCCGGTTATTTGAAGGAAATAACACCTTATACACATCCCACTGTGCATTTCCTCTGTGCCTTTGACCACAGCACTTAACCTCAACTTTCTCCAGGATTGCAGTCCCTGTCAGGCTTTTCTTTTCCACCCAGTAAATGAGAATGTGTTGTTAATTAAAGGCACCTCCGGGCCAGAATGCAAAATGCTACATCTAGCAGGAAAAAAATAGTACTGAACCATTTGCATTGGTCAAAATCTGATTTCAAATGCTATGAATCGAATGAATAATGATATCTAAACAAACACATTTGATATTCTTTGATTTATGTGAGTGGCTCAGGCAGAGAGTTCACAACCTATTCTCACGTATGATCATAAATAAACCAAACAACTACTCTCTGTTTTGTCTTTAACCTAATATGGACATTGACAAGCTCCATATGCAGAGGCCAGAGTATGTGAGTGGTGCGGAATGGGAGTAGGGAGTGGAGCAGCGTGATTTTGCCCAGAGCGTGGAGCGGCTTTTCAGAAAGTAGGAGCGTCTCACTCCGAAACTGCTTCAGTATCACTCCATCCCGCGAGCCAGACAGTCCTTTATTTCCATACTGACTCCTTCTGCATGACAAGTGATACAGCATGACTGTGACAGCTCGCACAGCATGGCCATTCATACACTGCAGAACTGTTCAGCAGAACTGCACTGGAAATTCTCACCAATTGCAACAAAGGTCTACAGATATTACACACAGTTAGTCTCATATTGCAGCCGAACGATAAAGAAAGCATGCACATTTATGTACTCTCAGCAGATTCCTGGCTTGTGATTGGGCCATCGTTTCAAGCCTGTACCTTCAGAAAGAAAAGCCATGTAGCGCAGAATCTTTAACTGGTTTAATGTTTTGCTTTTTTTTCAGTAATGGCTATAAGCTATATAATTTATGAAATGAAGTAAGAAGGGTCTTGTTCAAACATTCAAGACGTAAAACAAATATCATCAGAATGAAATAGAAACCCTGGAGTGGAGTTGGAGCGGACTGATAGCAGAACCATCGCTTTGAGCGAGGAGCGGAAAGGTCTGCCACTCCACTCCACTCTACTCACATACTCTGGCAGACACTCCGCAGAGGAGTTAGCCACACTCTTAAAAAAGCTGGTTCTTCAAGGGTTCTTTAAAAAAGAAAATGGTTTTATAAAGAACCATAAACACACAAAGAACCCTTTGCATGATTAAAGGGTTCTTTGCATCATGAAAGGTTTTCTTAGACTGATGGAGAATGTTCGATGTAGAACCTTGTTGAAAATGGTTCTGTGTCGCTCCAAAAAGGGTTTTGCTATTGTTACGATGTCAAGTTTCTCAGAAGAACACTTTTTGGTGCTATATAGAACCGTTTTCAAAAAGGTTCTGTATAGAACCATCTACAACACATTCTCCATCAATCTGAAGAACCTTTTCACAACTCAGAGAACCATTTAATTATGCCAGGGATTCTTTGAGTGTTCATGCTTCTATATTGAACCATTTTCTTTGATGTGTAATAAAACCGTTGGGCTGCTGGTGAGCTCTGGCCATGTAAGGGGTTAACTTTACCTGACAGAGCAAAGGTTCCTTTCATAGGAGTTTGTGGCCATGTGAACAGTGCGACCACAAGCAGTCATACAAGATGATTTTTTTACTGGAAAAGTTAGAAGTACGAGGTGAATGTAATGTGTGTCGTGAACACGATGTGGTTTTCCTCTCCTCAGTGTGGACCCACCAGTGGCTGTGAGATGGACTGTGAGGCCCATGAGGTAATGCAGCGTTCTCTGTCCTTCCCACTGTCCTTCCACAATATAATCCACTCCCTCAGTTTCATTACACTGATCTCCATTAGGATTTTCTCATTCTCACAACTGTCCCATTGAGTCCTACAATGTCAGTACAAACTCAGGGAGAAACAGGAGAACACTAAGTAACTTCCCTGACCTCACAGGGGTTTAGTTATCTTTGAAAAATGGAATCTTTTGTTCTTAGATTGAAATGATTTCATGTCTGACAAAGTGCAATTACAATGTAAGTGAATATAAATACATTACCTGGCATGAACAGAGAGTTTTGTAAACAGATGTGAATGCAGATGCGAATAGGCGGCACACTATTAGTTTTTTTTTAACTGTGCAGGTGTTTTAATGTTTTGATATGTTGTAAAGAGCTTGCAGCCCACACCACGAAACCACAAGATGTACTGCAAACACTGCATCGAACATTTCTTATTCACAGCTTCCTAGTGGTAGAATTATTTTATATAGTGACACACCAATCCGATACGCTGGGTCAGTGTCAGCACCAACACTGACCTTATCCAGTGGCTCAGGTATCAGCCAGATGCACTATCAATGCTGTATCTTCGATACAGTCACTCTAAAATGAAAGAGCGTCATTAGAAAATCGATCCACAAAAAATTCTCACTTTTGTTATTGTTTTTACTGTTGTTATTAATGGAAGCTAATAATTATGAACGATGACGTTAAAATGGAGCCCTGCTGGTGACACCCACATAAATAAAAATAATGCATGGCTAGTCCTTATTATTGAGTGGGAACGAGATCCTAATGCGTGGCCACGACTTAGTAAGGTGTGGAAATGAGATTAAGTTGTGGCCACCACTTAGTAAGGCAAGGTAAAAAGATCATGCCTTACTAAGTCATGGCCATGCATTAGGATCTTATTCCCAGGCCTTACTAAGTTGTGGCCACGCATTAGGTGCTCCGTACGTTACAGCCAAACTTGTTTGTTTAAGGAGATTTGCCAACGTACGGAGCCCTACTGGTGACATCCTGTATAAATAAAAATAATACATGGCCATGATTTAGTAAGACATGGGAATGAGATAATTAAGTCATGGCCATGACTTACTAAGGCATGGGAACAAGATCCTAAAGCTTGGCTATGAGTTAGTAAGGCATGGAAAGAAGACAATTAAGCCTTGATCACAGCTTAATAAGGTGTGATCTTGTTCCCACAACTTACTAAGCCATGGCCACAACTTAATTATCTAACTTTCATGCCTTACTAAATGGTTTAGGCCACGCATTATTTTTAATTATATCGGCTGTCACCGGCAGGGCTCCGTACAAACGTGCAATGTGCTGTGTATCTCAACAGAGCACTGATGCATATCAAAATAAAAGCCCTTCTTAACCTCTCAAATAAAAGCCCTGTACAAGAAGTCATTTCTAATTCCGTCGTGCCTCACACCAGCTTCGTTTACACTTCAAATTTAATTTTGGCTGAAAAATTTTAACTGTCAATTTTTTGGTTGACTTGAGATAATTAGGTTAAGATGTCTACAGTGATCAGTTAGATTTTGTAATATAAATTCAAAGAATATGGTTTAATATCAAGTGCATGTTCAGTGTGCCTCATTTCAAAAATCCTTAATTACCAAATAGAGCTGAGCAATATGACAGTATTAAATTACATCACAGTGTGTCACAATATGGTTTTCTGAGCATACAGTGGATATCATCAGTACTGTAAAACCACATACTAACTGCATGTTTCATTACAAAAGGAGCAAAATTAGTCCTGTTTGAATGCAAATAAATGAATTCATAGTTTTATTATTTTTAAAATGTGGGCTTACTTTGTCTGTTCTAACTTAACAGACGTCAGAAAAAAATATTGTGGCATATCGTGTCTCGTAAAAAACTTCTTGTAGTATTGTGATATTACATTTTGCCACCTCTATCACCAAAATTTTAACATTTATTTTTGAAATAAACTCCACATTATGTGAGGTTTACAGATTAGGTTGAAGAAAAAAATCTCGGTATCATCTGATATTCTGGGTTCAGGTATCAATATCAGTAATAAGAACACTGTTTATCACTCGCAAGTGGACCACTGCTGCTGTGGTTGTTCATCCCTCAGAGCTCAGTAATGTTGAGCTAAACCATCAGCTAACACTGATTTATTTTAGTCAGATTGGTGCATCCCTAGTTTAATACATTGGGCAGGTTTTCTGTTATTGAACTGTAGTGTAGTTTTATTTGTCTGAATGCAGATACAGACATGTTGAGCACTCCACACATACAGATGCTGACATTTCATTATACCCCTGAAAAGCATATGTGCTGCAGATATTCATACTGTTTGATCCCAAAACATTCACATGTCTGTTGTTTTGTCTCTTTGCCTGAGCAGGACTTGCTGTGTTACCTGATAGATGATGGTGGCTTCCTCATCATGTCCAATCAGATTAACGATGTAAACAAGGTCAGGAGGAGACCCATTTCACCCTCTGGAGTTAAATGGAGATTTACAAGCATTCTTTGAGAGTTACTTGAGGTTCAGAAATGCTGCTTCAGCCTATTCAGTCCTGCACTGTGCTCTCTTTCTTCTCCATAGATCGGCATGTTCTTCAGCGAGGTGGACCCAGCCCTGATGTACCTGCTCTATAACAACTCCTTCTACTTCCGCAAGCAGTCATTTGACTACCAGTCGGTGTGTGAGCCTGTTCCTAGCAGCAACACTGGGGCAGCTCCTAGAGGGGTCTTTGTGGTGAGTTCAACATATGAGCTGAATACTGAATGGATGTGTGAGTGAGTGAACATCTATGCAGTGCTGTTTTGAGACAGTTTAACTCTCCGTTTGCTTGTCTTCCAGCCCACTATTGCAGATCTACTAAATGTGGCCTGGTGGACATCTGCAGCTGCCTGGTAAGAGGACAACCCTCAAATGTGCTGTGGCTGACTGTACTATATAACAAGCAAACATAGCCTGACTCTGTTAGATAAACACATGAATTCAGTGTTACAGAATGTTTTTCTGCTCTGCTCTGAACTAATCATGATCTTGATTCTCTAAATGAGGTTAAATGTTATGGCTTACACTGGCACGAACGCACACAGAACCAGTAAACGCCACAGGTGCATCCTCAAGCATCCACTCCACTAAGTAGCTTGCCGAACCCCAGTCTTGTTCTGAATTGCAAGTAAACTAATGGTGCTTTCAGAGGGTCTCAGAAGTCACCATGTAAACACCCTTTGAGGTCAGGTGATGTCTGACATTTTCAGTCAAGCATGAATTGGCAGAGTTGCAACAGTGTTTTCATCATGGCACATTTCATCAATAAAAGAAAACAGAGCAAATATAATAAATGCTAATGGTATATTACATTTAAACAAGTGCAGTCAACCCACATTTTATTTCTGCTTGTTTGAGCTCAAAACACCAGTGAAATAGGCCAAAGGTGAGAGATGCCAGCTAGCTAATAAACTACAATAACCATCTCCCATCCTACATGTTTTCTTTACCTTCCACGTAAACAACATGAATGTGCATCTCAAATGAACAGATTCCTCTTTAGAGAAAACCACTACCGCCTGACTTGCACTTGAAAGCAGCGTAGTTAATGCCTCATTTGAGTCCAGTTCATACTGTTTAAGTTTGCAGGGCATTTTGGGGGACGTAGTTCTTACATTCACTTTGCTACAGCCTGCTAAACAATAGCCTGCAATAATCACTGAGTTTATTTTATTTTATTAATAATGTATAGGTTTATTTTAGGAACAACGTCGATGAGCGTGGCTATTTTCAGCAGGCAATTCTGCTAATTACCCATTACCCATAATTCTGCTAATTACACATTACCCATAATTCTGTTAATTACCCATAATTTGCACATTTACTGACACTCACACAATAGTTAATGTCTTTCTGCAGGCCCGCTTGTAGTCATCCACTGGCAAAATGGAAAACAACTCATGAAAATTTTTCTTAAAAATAATAAAACAAAATATTTTTCACCTTAACTCTGTTATCAGATTAACTAGGACACTGTTGACTCTATGTGTGTAATGTTGTGACTGTGTTGAGCTGCTAGTGTGCAATGAGGGGTGAAAGAGGAGGGGTTAAAACCCCCCTGCTGTGAAAACAACTCACACCCTCTACCAAGATAAAAGATGAAATAGACAACTGCAGCTTTCTTTATATCAAACAATACTGTAACTTTAAAAGAACCTTTTTTGCAATTGATGACTTCTTTCTAACCTGTAAAGACGTAAATCCAGTTTTGTAAATCACACATTTCCATTATGAAAATATATCCCGATAAAGTTATTAAAGAAAGAAAATGCACAGAAAAGAAAAAGCACAGTTCTCTGTCAGACTGTGCTTAAACCATATTAGCAGTACTACACAGATGGTATACGCATGTAATCTTATACATCATTTAATTTAGTTTTCCTTTTCTTTTTCCTGCAGGTCTATTTTCCAGCAAATGCTTTATGGATTTGCCTACCACAGCTGGTTCAATACAGGTATGTACAGTAACAGGCGCTGTTTAATGGTCAACATGTCAAAGTATCTCAAAGTTTTATTTTGTGGGAAACAGCTTGGAGCTTACTTGCATGTTAGACCGAGGTCAGGATACAGAAGACAGCACAACATACACCACAATCTCTTATTCATCTTTCACTCATCTGTCCTTTTCACCAGCGGCCTGATCTCTGTCCTGCTTACCAGACCTAAACACATATTAACAAATCTCATTCATTTATAATAACAATAATGACTATTGTATATTAACTTACACAATGTAGATTCATATATTGCAAACTATTGACCTGAAGGTATTTTCAGATGTTATGTTTCAAAATATCAATAATATGTTATTAAATGATAAATGATATACTACAATTATCTATTCTCATTTAAATTCAAATAAAATCCACACATATGCAAATATTAAGCATCAAAATATGTTGCAAATACAAATAATGAGAGTTAAATCAAACTTTACTTTTCAAAAAGATTACTACTCATTTTCATTCATTCTGATATGAATGTTTTGTTCATTTTGCCAGTTTTTGCTTAATTTTTTTTATTTGCTGATTTTGCTGATATATATTTTGCTTCTGAAATCTCTTTTTTTCTGACTCGTGGCACTTTTTAACAGGGGCGGGTCTTTTACTTGCACTCTCTATTAGTCAACTGATTTGGAGTCACATTAGACACTCATTATTAGTATTTGCAACATATTTTGGACATTTTTATACTTTATATTTGTTTTTTATTATTTTATTTAAAACTTTCAGCAAAAACATAATTCCATTCATTCTGAGGGATTTAGTTCTAACAAGCACTTTAATACAACCTGCTAAACAAGTGAACAATTTTTATATTTTCAAATATTTTACAGGATTATTTTTAGCGTTTAATTAGACACCATTTAATTAAAAGTGCGCTGATAATGTTAAGCATCTTATATAATGTCATATCCAATGTTTGTGTGTGCAGATGAAGTTGAAGCGGAGAGCATGGACTCCAGAGAAACCAGCTGTGTGACAGTGCAGACCCAGTTCTACTTTGGAAACATTACTACTGGCTACAGCTTAGTGCAGGACTGTGACAACTGCTCCAGGTCTGATACACTTTACCACTGAAAGATTTACACAGTGTCCCTGCCTCCTAAAGAAATCCTGTGTAGATTAAATCCTCTAGAACATGGGTTCTCAACCTTTTTTTTGGATTTAAAGGGGACCTATTAGCCTCATTTTCCGTGTTCATAACTTTATTTTTGTGGTCTACTAGAATAGGTTGACATGCTTCAGTGTTACAAAAACACATTATTTTTCTCATACTGTACATCTCTATTCACCCCATCTGAAACGCTCTGTTTAAGCCCTGCCTTCTGATTAGCCCGATGCACTCTGATTGGTCAGCTTGCCCACTCTGTTCTGATTGGTCAACCACCCGAGTGGTTCCGCCCCTGCCTTGCACTTTACAACATGCAGAGCAGAGAGAGGCCACAACAGCAGACAGGCTGAAGTGTGCACAACTGGTGTGAAAATAAAGTTTTATTTTTCTGATTCTGATTCCGCCCAATGACAGCTGGGATAGGCTCCAGCACCCCACCGTGACCCAGAAGGATAAGTGGTTTAGATGATGGATGGATGGAAGGATGATACACTGCCTTGTTCTCGTTAACACCGCTCTCTCTCTTCATTCAGTCTCTAGCTTGCTCGACCACCGCTGCTCTCTCTCTCCCGGCCAACTTTGAATGGTGTGTTTAAACAGCAACCGACAAATCCTGTTCACTGTGCCTTTAAGGAGCCTAACGTCACACCGCCTATCTCTGTGACTGGCTGGTTCTCGCTGTTCACAGGGGGAGTGGAGTGGATTTAGGGCAGGCCGTGAAATTTGGGCACAAGAAAGAACAGCTTTCAATCACGATTCCTCTCCCTTGTTTCTTACCAAAGAAGAACCAGATCGTTCACAAATGTAACATCACTAGCAGACAGATCCTTCTCTGTTGAGCCACTGTGAACACCGGTGTGGCTGTTCTTACAGTGGCGTTGGTTTGAGCCAGAGTCCGATACTGAAAGTCAGGTCAGCGTCTTCTCGACAAAGCTACAGAACTGAACAGACTCCCCCTGGCCTCCAGTAGTTGCTGTGTGTGGTATGACGGCATGCCAAGCTTGCCAGTAGGCAGGCAGTAAAAAATGTGTTACATGCTGACATCACCATGTAACAGAAAAAAGGACTGTAATTCCAACAAGGTTTTTCAGCTGAGAAAAGTGGTTCCTGTGGGAGAGAGTTTCCTCCTCTGGCGTGCACTTTGAGCTTTATAACTTTGCGGACCGTTTACGAGCACAGAAAGCTACGTAACACTAAAGGAAAGGGAAAAACCAGTAAAGCAATATAGGTCCCCAGTATTTCATCACCCCCTCTTCGCCAACTCGCCCCACTCTCAGCACCTGTTTACACTTTAAAGAAATTCTAGAAGAATAATTGAATAGTAAATCTACTCACTTACTAGGCCTGCATTTCTTAGCTAGTGCTTCCCCACAAACCACAAAGCGCTGAAAAAATGCTTCAGCTTTAGTGGTCAATCAAGACCCTCCCTCAGCAGCGAGCTCACCCAATAGAAATTCATAATCAACATTAGCCTGTCTTCCATGGCCTGTAGGTGGAGCCAATCTGCAGAGCTTTCGGGCACTCGTCAAAATCATGTACTGTGTTTGATAAGGTATATAGCTTGCAGCACTGCTCTCCTGACCCATGGAACCACATCCTGACCCCCAGGTTAAGAACCCATGCTCTAGAAGCAATGAATCCTAATTAAAAGACTAGCCAATTAGGTGAGCTGAATTGATGCAATAACTTTTTATAACTAGGATTATCCAGACAGTTACTAAATATGATATTTCATTTATTACCTTTGATATTGTTGGTGCTGGCAGTTTATAATAAAGAGAATCATGTAATGCAGCAGAAACACACACAAATATTCAGAACTTCACCACTAAAATTTTTCGCCTGTTAAAGTTTAACCATTATTGTGTTCAGTTCCTATGTTCAGAGTCAGTTTCCCAGGTAGGAATTAAGCCTAGTCCTGGACTACATTTTCCTTTCAATGCCTAAACTGCATTCAGAATGCTGTACAGTCCATGATTAGGCTAGTTTTCTGTCAGGGAAACTGACCCATGGCTTTTAAAAGAGTTGGGTGAGTTACTGTATATATACAGTTGTATGCAAAATTTTGGCCTGGTCAAATTATATTTTGTTGATATTCTTAGTGAAAATAATTGTACGTCCTCTACAGAGAAAAAAGTTAAATACAGCAATATTAACATATTGGAAAAAAAAAACATAAAATCTAAAATGTGCCGTAACTTTTGGGGCCACATTTTATGTATGAGTTTTGTTTCCAGTATGTTGAATTCAGCAAATAAACAGTAATTGTGCGTTAAAACATTAAAATGTACAGAAGTGTGTTCTCTGTAGAGGATGTGTTGACCACTTCAAAACAAGTCTTATTACATACTAAGGCTTATTATTCAGTAACTACAGGGACTTCAATGCAGACTGGCTGAGCTATTCTTAAGTAATAGAAGTGTGCAATAAAACTTTGGGCTTGCTGGCATGTAAGGGGTTAACGTGTTTTCACTTAGAAAATGAACGAAACAAACTTTTTCATACAACTGCATTTATTGAGTAGTGTTTACCTGCATTTTTTTGGCTTGGTATGACATGCAGCACTGTAAACACCCAGCCCATAGATGATGAAGTAGTGGTGGGGGTCACTGATCCTGTGAATAATTATTTATAATAAGAAACCCTGTGTTCCACAGGTTGATCCACGCAAAGAGAATAAATAACACCAACTTGCTGTTTGTGGTGGCTGAGAAGCTGCCCTGCAACACCTGCGACATAGAGAAGCTGTCTCAGGAGGAGGTAGAATGTATCCTTCTGACTCGGTTGACTTTTCCTCAATTTTCTTTTCGTATAAAGTTTCTCAGGTTTACCTCCAGTGAATTTAACTGGAGCTTAGATACGTCTGAACAGTGCTTAATGACAACTTCCTTAACATCTTCCAATCAGTCAAGCAAGAAGATCCTTGTCTGGACATGCCACCAGCGCGGTATAGAAAAGGACCCTCCACCTGTTTCGACTACAACACTGCAGTATGTATCCGTGCACAAGTACACATGCAAGCACAGTAGCTCCACCTGGAGTCTTTAAAATATGTGTCAAAAATAACCAGACACCCCTTCTGATGACTGAATTCAGCTACTTTAAAGTAATCGATCTGCAAAACCTCTAATTTACACAGTTTAACACTTACTCCAGATGGAGCCGATCATCCAAGACATGTTTGTTGTCCAAGTTTTGCTTCATTAGCTTAGCGGTGAAGCTACAAGGCTAACGTTGCTGACAAACACTGTAAGTCAGTACACATCGAAATGTTTCCTGTAACCCTTGTGAGTCCAGGGCTATTTTTGATATACCTTTATATACCGCATAAAAAATAGCAACTCCAAACTCCACAAAACTCCTAAAAACAAGAACAATATCTGTCTGTATCTGTCCATCTCTCTCCTCCTTCTCTCTCTACTGCTCCTCCGCTCAGTGCACCCCTCTCTCACCTTCAAAGAATATTCAGCCTGTCGAGCAGAGTCAGCAGATTCAGACGTTTCTTTTTTTCATATCACAAAAATAACAAAGATATTAAGATAAATGCAACGACAGCCTCATCCCATTTTTCATACTTTTAAGTATGTGTATGATTTGATTATCAGCGCACAGTGTTTTACAGTAAGAAGGGTCTGGGTTTGATTCCCCAGCCAGGCAACCAGGGTCCTTTCTGTGTGGAGTGCATGTTTTCCCCATGTCTGCTTGGGTTTCCTCCCACAGTCCAAAGACATGCAGCCTCTAGGTGTGTGTGGGTGTGAATGTATATGTCTGTGTGTCTGCCCTGCGATGGACTGGTGGCCTGTCCAGGGTTATTCATGCCTTCCACCCAATGACTGCTGGGATAAGGTCCAGCACCCCCCGCAACCCAGAATGTATGTGTGTGTGTGTGTGTTTTTACTTGCTCTGTCAACATCAAACAAAAACTAGCATAGCGTTTCAAGCTGGCATTTTTGATAGAAGTTGACGGCAATGCTGGACATGACTTTGTTTTTAAGCTATGATGTCTTAAACCAGCCAGGTGATTTGATCACTGCAGCATGATTGGCGAATTATGAGGGCTAAATACATCCCCCAAACGCCTCTCAACCTGCTTAAACTGCATACAGGGTTCATTAAGGTTGCACTGACCTGTCAGTGTAGTTTGGAAGGAAGTATGATTATTGTGAATTATCAAAATGAACAAAGCTTCACTGTGTAGCCGAGCGCCGCGGGTAGCTATTGTAGGCTATAGGTGTGCTGAATTCTCCATCACCCACAGAATCCAACTTGCGTGAACTCACATCACACAGGCATATGGATCGACAACATTTGCAATTTCTGTTGTTTTTATTTGTAAACATATCTTCATTTACAAAATTTAAGATTATTATTTATAAAATAATTTATTTATAAAATAAAAGAACAGAAATTGTGACTATATTCTGGTGCGCCCACATGCCTGCATGATGTGAGTGCATGCGACGACAGTCACGTTACAAAATGTTTTTCCACATGTTCTGTGTAATTACACACTTCCACCAGAGGGGTCTCCAAATCCCCCAAACTTACATACTGCAGCTTTAAATTTGTAAACACTTGTATGTTTCAGCAGAAGCAGTGCTACAGAATCATAGTAAAACCCCTAACAATCTTCCCTCTTTCTCTTTCGCAGGAGAACACAACAGACTGCGGGCGGGGATACTCCTTCCGCCCGTCCATCCACACTTTACTCCTCCTCCAGCTCCCTCTCCTCTCTCTGGTGGCCCGCCCCCACGTTTTGCCTTTCTCCCTTTAACTTCCTCCTCTGCCTCTCTCCCCCTCCTCTCTGTAATTCTGCATTTCTCCTTTATCTCCCCTCGCTCTAGTCATAGGTATTAAAGGGACTTCCTGCTGCCCTTAATACGGAAGCCCGGCATACTGCTTCATCCACTTAGCTTCACAGGTTGTTGCTTAGTGACCGTTGCAGAACTTTTATCGTCTCCTGCCAATCAGCAGCTTTTTTTGTGGGAGGAGCTAGAAGTTATTTGAGGAAGAAGAAGCTGAGGAAGTCAATGACGAATCTGGCCGTCTGGCGGCGCGGGAGCCGCGGTGGGAGAAAAGACGAGCGTCTAGGACCAACCGAGACGGAGGCAGCGTGGAAAAAAAATGGAATGTTCCCTCGCTGCGTGACCTGCCGCTATGGACGCAGGGGGGGGTTAAGTTTTTGTCAGACTCTGCCTCAAGTCATCCTCCTCATCCTCATCTTCATCCCTTACAGGCCCGTGACTCAAGTTTCAGGGGTCTGCCGCTTGCCTAATTTAACATGGGGCTACAGAACCGTCTGCCATTTTTTAGCAATCAGTAATCACAGAACTTTAATCAGCTATTGAAAAAAAATTATGAGTAACAACCTGTGAGTATTTAAAGCATACCTCCATATGTTAGGATAAACCCAGAGAGGGAAGATGATAGATGTTACTTATGACAAAATATCATTTGTTTATTTATGCACTATATCTACTTCTTGCCAAAATGAGATAGACTTGTTGCGTGGTCTTATTTTTCTAGCCAAATTAGGACGAGGAGAAAAAAAAAGGGGAGGAAACGACTCGCACAGTACAACGGCAAGTGCGGTTAGGAAGAATGGAAGACCTCGTAGAGACCAGGCCTGTATTTCAATTCGCCTCATTTGCTCTTCTTTTCACTAGTCATAAGGGCTTCATTAGGCACAACCTTTCTGTTTGAATGGTCAGCATAAGTAGATGAGCTTGTGATGGTTTCAGTCTTACAGAGCTTCAGTTTAGGTTTAGGTGGTGTCTGTTTAACGTTCACGTTGTTAAGAGACGAATTGGAATACGGCCCACCTGGGCTCCGACATCACCAGTCTGAACCCTCCATACTTCTGTCCTGCGGGTAAAAGGAGGCCGTCACTATACTGATCATGTCCTAATGCTCGACTTCTCGATCTGGCTAATGATCAGTCAGTGAATATTAATGCGATGAAAATCATCTATTTGCCATTCAGTGTTAGTCTTGTCATTTGGAGCACATACAGTCGCATGCAAAAGTTTGAGCACCTCTGGTCAAATTACATGTTTTGTCGATTATCCAAGTGAAAAAAGTTCCTCTACAGTGGTAGCATGTCAAACTGGGGACCTTCTGGGCCAAAGCGCTGTGGAGATTAGTGTTTACCCTCATCTAACACTCTGAATTCAGTTTTTCAGCCATTTAGCTGATGAATCAGGTGTGTTTAATGAGGCAGTGTGCTGAAGTCCACAGTGTTTTGGCCTGCAAGGACTGGAGCCTGACACACATGCTCTACAGAGAACATGTATGTGGCATGTTTCTGTGTATTTTAACATATTGGGAAAAACTAAAACATAAAATGTATGTGCCATAACATTTGCATGGACACATTTCATGTGTTCCAATATGTTAAATTCAGCAAAAACAGTAATTGTGCATCAAAATATTCATAAGTGTATGTGTTCTCTGTAGAGGATGTGGGCTTATTTTCACTTGTACGTGTCATTTGTGCACTCAAACTTCTGTAAACAACTGTATATTCATACACAAGTTTAGTTTTGAATGTCAGTTTTCACATATCCATACATCATTATGTTGATATCATAATGAAATATGTAATAAACGTCGTAAGTAGTGTAGATTAGGGCCCATATCTTGTTTTTCCCTCTGTTTGTTGTGCCTTGATGCACTTTTGCGTTGGAAAACGTTAGCCACTAAGCTATCAGTACTGAGTAAATCCACCACTCTTGTGAAGGTACCACTGAGCCTTTTGTTGGGCCTTAGAGAGATTTCTTTAAAAGCCTCCACTTGGCCTCTAGGGCTACAGCATCATTTTTTGAGCCTTTGGACTGACTAAAGTTAGATTAGCTGACAGAAAGACGTGACTGACCTATAGGGATGCGTTAAGGTTTTGAGTTAGAATATTTTGCCATAGCCTCCAGCCTGTTGTTCTGGGGACCTTCTGTGAATGCAGGCATTGCCCCTCCAGTAAATTCCACAAGATCTTTACAAATGATTCCAGCTTGTATGAGGAACTTAAAAGTCTTTCTTTATGATCAAGGCCGCTGTCTGGTGTCCATTTCTATAGACTCACCACAGAGGCAATCAATATTGTACTGCGCACTGGTGAAAGTGATCTAATCCACTGTGGAGTCTTCTCTTTAACTCTCTTCACAATGCTGTGACTGTTTAAGATTTTCAGACTTTTTTTTGAGTTATAACGACCTTGAGAGTGGCTGAAGCGGCTGCTCTTCATTTCCAGCATCCATCACAGCCTCTGTAATGAGTTTTTCAGGTTCATAATGCTCTTTGTTTGTGTGTGTGTGCGCGTGTGCACTGTATGTATTGTCTGCTTACAATGCAGCACAGTTTGCTGTAATAAGTTGGGGAAAAAAAAAAACGAAGAAAAAAATCCTGGTTGTATCGTAATTGTCAGTAAGACGGAGTGACGTGTCCCGTTTTGCAGGTGCAAGAAGAATGTTTCACACGTGTTTGTCTGCAATTCAGCTTTCTTGCCTTTGTGCTTCATAACGGTCACACTGTACCTTCCATCTCACTCTTTTTCCATGTAATTGCTCCCTCTTTCTCCCTCCTTTTCATCCTTCTGCTTCCTCGTCCGGCCTGTCTTTCCCTTCCCTCCTTTGTCTTCCATCACACCCTCCACTTTCAGAACACAGAAGTGTGTGATTTAAAGAGTTTTATCAGTGTCCTGCATGGATGGGCTGTGGAATGTACGCACTTGAGGGACAACGTTGACATAACCCGCCCCTACATTTACGCAGCACAACGTCTCACAAGTGATGTAATATGCCGTCCCCTCAACTGTGTACATTCCAAGGTTAACATTGTGCATGTTTATCACTGATGCTAATGCTACGTGCTGTCATACAGAGTTCTTAGCTGTTTATTTCCTGCTCCACAGTTTGGTTCATTCTTTGGGAACATTAGCATCGTGTCACCATCAGTTCCACCACCTAGGAGAACGTTTGGTGTAGGGGCTGCCACAGCTGACACATAATCCACTGTGTGTACATTATCACTGGGACGTGAGCATGAATTCGCACCATATCCTAACAGCCACCGTGCACTTATACTGTTAATGTACTATTATAACCTGCTGTCCTTTTGCACCACTCAGAACTCAACGCAAGTCATGACTGAACTCATGTCTATGGAAGTCGATTCTCGCCAGGTGGAGGTGGAAAAAATTGCCTGTGTTTTCCTCCTTTTGTTTCTAGCAGCAGGATGAAAAAACTGTGAGGTAATTTCAAAATAATGACTTAATATGGACAAGTAATGACTTGGGCCCTCAAAATAATGACTCATTTTCTTGAAATTTAGACTTTCTATGTTGAAATTATTTTATTTACAATGGCAAAATAGTTACTTCTGTACTTTCTATGTCAAAATAGTGACCTGTGTTCTCAAATGTTTGACTTGCTACAACAAAATGACTCATTTTCTCAAAAGTTTGTTGCAGCTTCTCAAAGTAATGAGCTGTTATCCTTAAATAAGTACTTACTAAAATCTAAGACGTCACGATCTTGAGATGTTCAAATTAAAAAAGCGAATCCTTCTTCTGAGATACTGTTAAGGTATTTCAGTATTTCGAGGACATAATCATTTTCAAGATGCAAATCAAAGTGAATTTTGAGGAAATAAGTAATTATTTTGAGATGCTGTCAAAATTATGAAAAAATGTCAGAGATACTAAGACAATGTTTCAAGAACATGAGTCATTCTGACATCCAAACGAAATCTTTTGAAAAACAAGTCATTATTTTGAGATACTCACACTGAGTCATATGTTGACATACTGCTAGAAACACAGAAGGAGGGGAAAAAACAGCTGATTTTTTTTCTCTCCTCTGCCTTGGTGGGTGGAAATGGGCTTCTATACATGCCAGTCACCCTTTAATTAAAAAAAAATGTCCCCCCCCTTCCTTAAACATCACCAAACACACCACTTAAATACATTAACACATTCACAAGCGAGAGATGCTTTTCACTATGTAAGCCAAGGACACAGACTGTTTCTCTGGCTTCCGTCCATTAGCCGAGTAAAGAAAACAGACATGTGTCCATGCTGTGTGAACAGTGAGTGCCCAACTGTCATGTCAAAATCTGTTACCTAACCAAATGCATACCTCTCATTCTGCTGTTCAAACTACAAGCTTTTTTTTTATTCTCTTCGGAGTGAAAGCAGAACTCTGACAAGTGTAGAAGAATCAATGCCTTATTGTTTATCTAGTTGTGAAACTCGCGTCCAAAACTTTTGACTGAGGCTGAAGTTGGCTTTGTATTGGAATTTTCCGTTCCACCTTAAACGGTGCAGCAGTTAAGTTGTGGCAGCTCATATAAAAATCCGTTCCCTCTTAAATTGTGCAGCAATTGCATTGTGGCACCACTTTTTGGAATTTTCCATTCCACTTTAAACGATGCAGCAGTTACATTCTGGTGCTTTCTATTTAAATTTCTGGTCCACCTTAAATGGTGCAGCAGTTACATTCTATGCTGCATTATTTAAGGTCAAGTTTGAAATCTAAATATGAAGCGCGTCCGTTCTTCAAATGTTCTGTTCCACCTTAATTGGCGCAGCAGTTACATTCTAACTGCTGCACCATTTAAGGTGGACCAGAACATTTGAATAAGGAGGGTCAGAATGTAGCTGCTGCACTGTTTAAGGTGGAATGGAAAATAAGAAGCCAACTTCAGCTTCGTAAAACATTTCTTTTCCGAAAAGAGAATGTTAAGTCATCCTAACATCGGAAAAATGAGCGCAGGGCAGCCTTAGGAACTGCTTGAACTGCTTGACGGTAACACATTTTGGCAAGACACTGAGCTTAAAACATGAGTGTGTCTGTCTTTGTCACAATTCCAAGTAACACTGGATCAGAGGTCCTTGTTATTTCAGTGGTTCAGAACTTTTTCCTTTTCGTCAGAAAAGTTGTATTTAAAAAAAAATAAAAAGACAAGATAAAAGGAGGACGTAGTTTGGGAAGCGGGGGCCTTTCCCCTTCCTTAGCAACAGCGGAGTAGGTGCGTTTCCATGGGAGAGACGTGTGTGTATGTGATTCTGTAGTCCTTAGTCTGGTGCTCCGTGACAAATGTGTGAAAAAAAAATAATAAAAAATGAAAAGAAATCCGTAAAAAGGTGAAACTGAATTTAACATTAAGTGAGGTTTTAAAAAAAATAACATTACCGACTTAAAAAAAATAGGATTACAGTACTGCTGATAATCATCATGAGTCTGAGGTCTGATATCAAAGTGAGAGTTTATTTCGTTTGTTTGTTGGCTCGTGTGTGGGGAGCGAAACGCTCCGGTTCTTTGGACACTGGGTCTATGTTGCTCCATTCTTTTGTACAGTAACTTAAAAAAAACAATGAGGGAAAACATTTGTAAAATATTGTGTCTGTGACTCCTTGTAAAATATTTTCAAATTGTTTATTACAGAGAATCAGTTATTAAATAATGTTCATATTTTTCACTTCAGTCCAGTGTGTTGTGTTTATTTTTTGAATGTGAAATCCAGCTTGTACTAATACATACACAGTATCACTGATTTACATTCAGTCTGCTTTAATTCACATCATATGTCACGTCTTTAAATCAGATAAATGAATACTGGTTAATATTTTACTCAAAGCTTCAACAATGAACTGATGAAATATCTCTTAAAGGGACACTCCTTTATGTCTATTATACCATCTTGGCTGTAAATGTGTCTCGGTGTGTGCTAATGTACTAGTATAGGCTAAAAAATATAAATGAAAAAGCAAACTTACTTTTGCTCTGCTTTAAGCTTTAGCTCAGCTATAGCTGCTTTTCTCGAATCTCCAGCAGGAAACTTTTCCACAAAAGTGGAATAGTTTCCTGTAAAATGTCTCTCAACGTTCGTTTTTCTTTTATTAGGCTGAAGTCGCTTCTCATTCACCAGTTTCTTGTTCAAATTTTCCTGTTCCACCTTAAATGGCGCCTGAGGTGCCAGAAAATAACTGCTGCACCATTTAAGGTGGAACAGGAAAATCTGAAGAAGAAGCTGGCGAATGAGAAGCTGACCACAACTTTGTGACTTTTTAGTGTTTGACAGTTTCTCATTGCAGATTAAACGTATCAGGAAACCAGCTGAGTGCTTAGAAATGCAAATCAGTCTATCTGTCTCCAAATTATCAATGTTCATCTTTCTCTTTGCCTTTTCGTTTGCTACTAGCTAGGCTTGTCTGCATTGCTATGGCGACCAGCAGTCTGCACACCAACCTTCAGGGGTAAAGAGTGAATTTGCAGTTACATATAAACTCCAGCATTTGTTAAAACTGTGTTGAACGATCAGCAGAGTTTTATTTTACTGCAAAGGAGGATTATTTTATGTTTACCTAAAAATCTAATGTCCGTGGAGCCGCAACAGGGCAGTAAAAGAGCCGCATGCTCTGGAACCGCATGTTGCCGGCCCCTGGTCTAGTGCCACCCACAGAAGCGGCACAATAGTCTCTCGAGTGAGATTTCCCGCTTTATAGACTAGGAAAACTTTCTAATGATGCATCTTAGAGGTGGGAGAAACGTGAAAAACTACAACTGCTTTGGGGTGGATTTCTTTCTCGCTAACTGGTGAGTGCAGAAGGAAGGCAGATGCTAATGTTACTGCTAGGATGCTGACTATCATATAGCAGCCATACAACTGATAACTGTTCAAGTCATCGTTACAGAGAATGGATTACTACAACAATGGAAATGACATCATATAAAAAGGATAAACTCTGAAAGCTACAGTTAGCAAAGCTGTCTGGCTATATACATCCTCAGTCTGGCTTTTTTTCTGGATGAAAGGGTCCAAAACTTGGTTCTGGCATCCACTTAAGGCTATTTTGTTTGATGATGGAGGCAGAGGTGCATTAATGCTAGTCTGGTTGTATTTATTGGTCTCTAGATCAGTGGCTAACAGTAAGGACTGGTTGACACCACAGGGATTACCAGCGGCTGTAGGATATACTTGTATAACGCATGCTGAGTACTGTAGTAGGGTCATTCTACAGAAACGTCCACTTTTCTATCTCTCCATAGGACTCACTGGTGTTACTGATCCTCATTGGTGTTACACATAAGAAACGTAACACCAAACATTTTTTAAATGAAAATGCATTTTACAAAATGGCTGCTACAGAGCATCAAACCACATGTTGTCAATCATGGAATATCCACTAAAATATGTAATTTTGCAGTTACACCACAGTGACACAACTCCTGGGGGCCATAACTTCCATTATATATTTTATATTTATTTGCCAGTTGTCTTCTTTGTCATTTCATTCATATATTCCATAGTCATGTATAGATTACTGTAGTTAAAATTGCTGAAAAATGTGTTTTTTTCTTCAGAATATGGCCTCACCCTTTACACATGACTGTGGGGACGAGCTCTTCTGTGGTGCTTGGAATTCTATATGATTGATTTAAAAACCAATATTGCTAAACTGACGGCTCAAGAAGGTGTAACGTTAATGTTAATGTTAAAATAACATTGTTTTATTTGAAAATGTAAAAAAAAAAACGAACTCTAACGTTTTTCAAGTGTAATATTTCTGTAAACGCTAGGGACACAAAAATGGAGGTTTCTGTAGAATGACCCAGTAAAGAAAATATGAAAACAATGTAAAATCATGAATTATGCCAAACTGATGAGTCTAAAGAATACAATGCTGCGCTACAGAATGCCGCATAACACTACAGGCAGCATATTACTCTGCAGTTTTAGGCCGGAATGCCCATTTTAGTTCACGCAGAATCAAGTTTGAGATCATTAGTGGAGCATCATAAATGCACAGTACACACTGCACATTGTCTTCTAGTGTTCATACTATTCAAAACTAATTAAATGTTATGTTGTAATGTTGTGTTGAGGTAAAGTAGCAGAAACGAGAACCTTCACAAAACTCATTTCTTTAGCGTTACTGATATTCACACTGGGATCACCTCTGACTATTTCTGTGCTTCATGTTGTGCACTGTATTACCGTACTTACATTAGGCTTCACGGAGATTAAAGTCAAAGACCTTCATTCTGCTGTAAAAAGCTGCCGTATACCATGTACACTGTAAAATAACTGAATGGAATGATTTCGCATGACAGTAGAAATCTGATGTAATTCACTGTGGCTGATTTAAAAAAGAGAAGTTAAATTTCAGAGTGAGTTATAGTGACACTGTGATCATTAAACTATGATAAGGTCTGCAAGAACTCAAGGATGGATTTATGCCAAGTCCCTGGGTCGTCAAGGTAACAGGGATGCCCCGCCCCCTTCATTACCACCACTTTGTGATTAGGCAGGTGACTCAGGTTACGTAGAGACACTTCACCCAACTGAGTGTCCTGATCTCCATATACAATAAGAGTCGGAACCTGTGGAGAAACACAGTACAATTCTGCTCATGCAAGAGTTTTAAACTTTTACTCCACAAATACAGTGCAGGGCAAAAGGTCTTAGGCAGCTGTGAAAACTGTAAAACTATCTGAGTGTGTTTGTACCAGTAAAACACAATATAACATTAGAATAACTTGAGACAAACAAAATACAGTACAACATAATAAGATTACAGTTAGAAGAACACAGGTTTGGCTCCTGATTCTCACTGCACTCCAGCCATCGCACGGATTTAATGAGGGACTGATTAGCCAAACTGTCAGAAAATCACAATGTAGTTATTTTAATGTCTATTTGCTGGATGGATAAATAGGTTTAAATATAACTTCCTCACATGTCTAAGACAGTTTGCTAGCTGTATGTTAGCACTAGCAGTTGGCAAAAAACACTAGACCTCATTCACCAATATCTTCCTGAGCTTTTTCTGAAATGTGTTCTTGAGGAAGGTCTTAGACAAAGTCTACATCAGAATCACGATGTGTTCTTAAAGCACAGAGTTGTTCACCTTTGTGCTCCTGAGTGTGTGTAGATTCTGTTCTTACAAGAACAAATCCCAAATAAGAAAACACTGGTGAATAACAGAATCTTTGTAAAAACTTAAGTCGTTGTTGTCGGAAGAAAACCTCGTATCTCCATTTTTGTTGTTTTTCAGTTTTTGACATAATTTGAAGACGCCTGCTGCTCTTTACATTGTGTGTAAATCTCATGAAGAATGGACCAAAGGAAACGGCCCAAAATCACTTCTATTGACTTACATTAAAAATAAAGTATTTTTGAATCCTTCTCCTGTAAAGTTATCATTTTGGAGACACGAGGTTTTGTTCTGACAACAGCGATGTGGGTTTTAAGAAGAACTTTCTTCTTAAGAACGGTCGGTGAATGAGGCCCAATAGTTATTACGCATTAGGAAAAGATTAGGTATGGCTATCATTAGGAACTTCTAAAGTAAAGCAGTAAAAATTTTACCAAAAAGGTGCAAATATGTCAGAGCAAGCGCAATAATATTCTGTCTTTTGGTCTAATTTATGCAACATAAGACTAAAACCTATATTTTAGCATTCTAATTATATATACTGTACTGTGCAAGTCTTAGGCATCCAGGACAACTGTTGAAAACTCCTTATATCTGCATAAGTGTGTTTTTGCTAGAGAAACACTATAACATTGGAATATATACAAATAAACAGTAATATCTGGCAAAACTTTTTTATTTGTATTAAAAAACAGTTGTACAGTTAGAAGAACAGAGGTTTGAATCCTGACTTCTCCCTGCTCTCCAGCCATCGCATGGATTTATTTACTCCGATCAGCAGCACCTGATTTCATTTAATGAAGGACTGATTAGATCAGGGGTGTCCAAAGTCCGGCCCCAGGGCCAAATGCGGCCCACAGACAGATTTTAATTGGCCTCCGGCTTCTGTTTTACAGTGTATTTTAAGTGGCCCACCAGCCAGTATGTTGCAGTTCTTCCTTTCACCTGATGGTGGCATCTGACCAGACCTGCAGCTTCATTTACTGAACTACATTTAGTCAAGACTACAGACGTAAAGCTCAAACTAAACACTGAGAACTGGCGAGATGGAAAATTTCTTATCAGAGCAAAGTAGTTCAGTAAATATTAACCCTTTAAGGTCAAACAACGTGGCTACGCTGCGTTTATTTTATATGTAAAGAACATTATCTAACAGAAACAAAAATGTATAGACTTTCGTTTGTCTTACAAAGTATATTTTTCAACAAGTAAACACATGAATAGGAATATGATTAATACATCAGACGTTGTATTGTTACTCTTAAACAATTTAATTATTAATTATAAGCGCTTATTGATCCAAACTGTTCTGAATGAACAATCCAGAAATAAAAGGAAGCCTCATGCGTCTTTTATGCAGTGATATGAAACACAGTAGCTCACAGAAAGCTCAGTTTCTGTGTGCTGTTATTTGGAAAACGTATTATTCTGAATCATTTGTGAATAATAGCTCGGCCCTCAGGTATTTTGACACAGTACTATCTGTCCCGGTAACTGTACATAACCTCCACGAGGAGAGATTTTACATTTCTTTATTTGTAATTATTCTGATGTTAATGTTTTCTTTTTTCGAACGAATAAACAGCTTGGCCTATCATTTTGTCAGGTGCCTAAGACTTGTGCACAGTACTGTAACATGAATTACTACATAAGCTTAGCTATTTATCAAATTATGCCAAAAAATTAAAAACAACAGATACAAGATACAAGTTTTGTTCCAACAGCAGCGATATATGGACTGTATGGACTGAGGAAGGAATGAATGTTTGGAAAGACTGACTATGTTTACACTTAATTTCAAACTAATTTTAAAAAGTGAGGAAATTTTGGTTTTCCATGATATGGGCTCTTTAAAAAGAGGCTAATAAAAATAGGCCAAAAAAAACAGCCTTTGGCCAATCTGGCTGTAAAAATCGGAACATGATAGTGCATATCTAGTAATAAAACTAAAATTTCAGCAGAGTCTGAATAAGGATGACCAAAAATACCAAATGAGAATAACATTCGTAACACTGGCTGCACACGCACTTATGTCAATCACAGCCAGTACTCACAGGTTTAACTTAACCCAGGGGTGCCCAAAGTCCGGCCCCAGGGCCAAATACGGCCCACGGACAGATTTTAATCGGCCCATGGCTTCTGTTTAGAGTGTGTTATATGTGGCCCGTGAGCCAGTCGGCTGCAGTTTTTCCTTTCACCTGATGGTGGCAGCAGCATCGTAAACTTACAGTGAAACATGCCGCACTGTGATAACGAAATTAAAGTTCAACCCCCTGAAGGCTGAACAAATATTATGGCTATTAATGCTGTTTAATCTGCTCAGTTTGTTTAATAAAGTGATTTCTGAATAGAACATAATTTAGCAAAACCAAACATTCACTGATTTTTATTTATTATATTTTTCAACAAGTAAACACTTCAATATGAACGTACTGAACACATTAGTCACGTTTTCTTGGTACTCTGAATAAACAAATCAGTAATTTGTTATAAGCACTGAAAGAGCAATCTAACATTAAAAGAAGCCTTGTGCATCTTTTATACAGTGAGAAGAAACAATATCTCACAGTAAACTCTTATCATCCATGTGTCGAGTCAGGACTCTTCTAGCAGCAGATTTATGCATGTTTAAGGGGTTATCAACAAATTCTCGGAATGGATCACCAGCTAGACACTCATTTCAACTCACTGCTCTATATGGTTGAAATTCATATTCAAAAAACGTATCATTTTTTAATTATTTGTGATTAATATTTTGGCCAGTTATTCTAACATGGTCTGATCTGGCCCTCTTTCAAAAAAGTTTGGACACCCCTGACTTAACCATAAGGTCAAATGAAGCACCTCATGTGCGCTCACCTGTACGCCGCTGTACTGCTCTGCCGTGAACTTATCCGTGCAGATGGGGGCTACAGGAATGTAGGCCTTCACCTGCTGGGTGTGCTGGAAAAGGAAAGGCAGGGAGTACATGCCACTGAGAGAGGGGCTGATCACCACCACCGGCCCCGTCTGCAGCCCCTCGCACACCTGCCTCAAAAACTCACCAGGGGCCAGCTCACCCAACCGGGGCAGGAGCCTCCGCGGCTTTGGACTGACCGAGACCTGGAGGAACAGAGGAAATGCGGGGTGAACTCTGTCTCTCTTTACCAGCAACCATGTCCACATCTAGAAAGTGCTATCAATTATGCAACATTTCTCATACCGCACTGCACATCCAATTCAAGAAGCCTGGTTGGTCAGTGCTCTTTAAAGGAGAACTCCACCGATTTTGCAAAATTGCTTAATCATTCAATGGTCTAGATGTAAACAAAATAATTCAGAGTGGTTCAGTGTGAAATGCACTTTTCTACAGAAATTTACAGTCAGAGTTGTTCACCATTATAGTACTAGGAACCAGACGTCCGAAGCTTTTAACGGCTCTAAAAGCTACATCCGGTTAAGTTATTACACAAAATGGTTATAAATGCATTGCCTGACACCTCAGACATTGTTTTGTGATCGTTTTGTTATAAAGTTTTGACCCAAAACGTATTTTTAATAAGCCATTACTCCAGGATTAGTTCTGTGTTTCCTCTCAAACCCGGACTCTCGACTGAGATGTGCACAGGCTAACATGCTTTTGTAGTTACTAGCCTGTAGCTACAGCCATTCAACACAGCTAATGCCGGTGTATCCGATTCAGTTCCCCCTTAAATTCACGTTCCCTTTGACAAACCAGGTCAGGTTTGTATAAACAAAAATGTATAATGTGTAATGTTATAAAACACATTTTAAAAACCTCAATTTGAAACTTAGCTACCTTCTTCATTTGTATACTGTTTTGTCTGCCACCCCAGATTTAGAGAAATGGCTCAGTGACTCTTAGACATCAGACACTTATGACTGAAGTAAAGGCTAATGCTGTAGAGGCCAGAGCACATCGACCAAACAAACACAAACGAAATGTCTGGATGGCCATACTCGTGTTTGCTTGTTGGGAGTATCTAGTATATTCTCTCCCCGTTCACTCTGACTCATATGGCGTCAGTTCTTTTACTGGACTTTCTAAAGACAACAGAAAATATTAGAATAAAAGTTCCCACAGTCAGTCCTGAGGATCTTATGTGCACATCTTTGTGTTTTCCCTATTCTACAGACCTGACCAGCACACGAGTAGCTTATCAATCATCTAATGAGCTCAATCAAGTGATGAGGGAAAGCACAAAAAGTGCACAGTGTGGGGTCCCCATGACTGACTTTGGGATCTCCAGGATTTGAATGATGGGGTTTGTTGTAGAAAGACTGGTCGGTGAGCTCTGGTCTTCAAGTGGGCGTAACATTTTGCCTCTGCTCTAGATTTCTACCTCACACTCGTTTGAAAGGCTAAACTGTGCCCCGCCTAGTCTTACGACAGCTTTTTACCACTTTACAGTCCATAAAACTGTATTTCTAACAGTAGTGAGCAATATGACAACAGTTTATTGTGATTTTCTGGGTTTACTGTGGATATTATCATTACATGAACACTGACTAACTGCATGTTTCATTACATAGAGCATAACTGGTCCTGTTTAACTGGATTCAGTGCAGCACAGTGTGTGAAATCCTGAAAAAATAATTATAAAAAATAAAAAATACTAATTGTTTTTTTATGATATTATTTTAAAATTGGCACTAGTGGTGAATTGTCTGTTCCAACTCAGAAAAATAAAAATGTTGTAACTCATATCGTGTATCATAAGGTCACATCACCCACCTCTATTTCATTATCTATAAAAGGGAAAAAAGACACAAGAAACAACGACAGCAGTCTTTCAGACGCCATCGGTCAGCATTAAAGGGTCCATATCCTGGAAAACTACATTTACTCACTTCCTTTAAATAAAAGTTTGATGTGGTATATAAATTCTCTGAAATATATTGTTCACTCTTCAGTCAGTATATGCAATATAAGCTGCCTAAAACAGCCTGTTATATTAATTGTTTTTGTGATGTCACAAAAACAGCAAATTTTAATCCACCAGTTCAGCCCAAAGCATTTAGGCCTGTCCAATCAGGCTGCAGTGGCGATTGCTAATGAGTATCTTTCTTCAAGGAGGAACTTGTTTACCCAACATGCTCGCTGAGGTGGTTTATATGAGAGATAAACAGAACAGTCAGGTTGTGAAACGGTGTTGCAGTTTATTAGCAAGCTGGCATCTTCAGCTTCGGCCGGCTGTGCTTGTGTTTTTGTAGTCAAGTGAAGTAGAAATCTCGTTTCTATGCCTTATTAAGTCGTGGCCACGACTTAATTATCCTAATGCATAGCCACGACTTAGTAAGGCATGGGAGCAAGATAATTAAGTCATGGCCATGACTTAATAAGGCATGGGAACGAGATCCTAATGTGTGGCCACTACTTAGTAAGGCATGATCTCATTCCCACACCTTACTAGGTCGTGGCTATGCATTAGGATAATTAAGTCATAGCCATGACTTAGTAAGGCATGGGAACAAGATCCTAACGTGTGGCCACTACTTGGTAAGGCATGATCTCATTCCCACACCTAAGTTGTGGCCACGCGTTAGGATAATTAAGTCGTGGACACGACTTAGTAAGGCATGGAAACGAGATCCTACTACATGGAATGAGATCCTAATGCGTGGCCACTACTTAGTAAGGCATGATCTCATTCCCACACCTTACTAAGTCATGGCTACGCATTAGGATCTTGTTTTCCATGCGTTAATAAGGTGTGGCCACGCATTATTTTTATTTATATGAGATGTCACCAGCAGGGCTCCGTATGTTTAAATATACTTTACCAACATCCTGTATAAATAAAAATAATGTGTGGCCATGACTTAATTATTTTGTTCCTATGCCTTACGAAGTTGTGGCCACGCATTATTTTCATTTATACAGGATTTTGCCAGTGGGGCTCCCTTGGAGGGCGGGTGGTTCAGTTATTTATAACAAAATCCTAATGCAGGACCACAACATAGTAAGGCATGATCTCGTTCCCACGCCTTACTAAGTCGTGGCCACACATTAGGATCTCGTTACCGCACGCTAATAAGGCTTGGCCACGCATTATTTTTATTTATATGGGATGTCACCAGCAGGGCTCCGTACACTACCCGTCAGTCCTCTGTCTTCATGAAAACAGCGCTGACGTCACAACTCGGTCAATTCACGTTGGACTGAAATTTGGATGTGCGTGACGTCATCGTCCACAACCAATTTAAAACCCGAGACCACCTGAAAGCAGCAGTAAACCCACAACCAAAGCCATAAAAGACCGCGGTGGGGTGGGGTGAGGGGTAAAATGCAAAGAAAACGTAGGGTATGGACCCTTTAACCGCCTCCGACCAGTGTTACCTGGTAAGTCTAGAGCCACGGCGCGGAAGCCGGCCTCAGCCAGCGCGCGGAGGGTCCCGATCTGGAGCCAGTTCTCTGAGGAGAAGCGGATGCCGTGCAGCAGCAGGACGCTGAGCCTCGCCTCTCCGGAAGGAGGGAGAGCCTGTCGGTAAAACAGCGGCTGCCCACACATCTCCACCTTCGCTGACCCCTCTGTTACTTCAGCCGCCGACATCCTGTTAGCAGCTCACAAACCCACACAGCCAGCCGGACTACGTTTCTCTAAGTTTTAACTCTTCCGCAAAGTAAATTAGGTCAACAGTGTGGAGCAAAGTTCACTCAGACGAGCTGCTTCAGTCCTAAACCACGCAGCTGCGAGCTGAAGCAGTTCAGAGGAGTTTGTTCGTCTGAGAACTCGTCTGAAAAGCAGCTGCGAGGTTTTACTAGAACTCACAAACGCTGCAAACCCGGCAAAGAGAGCAAAACACAGTAAGATACAGAAAGAACACCACAGCAGGAGTCCCGGAAGATCTTTGCAAGAAATGAGCGCCTTTCCCACCCGTATTCCGACAAGCCCCGCCCTCCTGCGCTAGGATTGGCTGGTAACACTCACAAATAGACAGATGATTACGGTGGAGGGTGGGTCTTGTCGGAATACGGGTGGGAGAAAAAACGAGCGATGAGACCGAGGTTAGAAAATCCGCGGTGGTGAGAACTTAAAGGGAAACTCCACCGATTTTTCAAACTTTTTGCATAATTTCGTCGTTGCGATGTAAGCAAAGTCATTCGGAGTGGTTTGATGTGAAATAGTCCGTTGTAGAGAAAATTACAGACTCTGCTGTACTTTACAGTGGTGGTGATCACGATGTCTCCAACACATATATAGCCATCTTATTTATTGTCCAAAAGCACCAGTGAAACTACGTGTGTCTTCTGAGTTTTTATATGTAATGTGGATGATGGTAAAATAGTGAAAAATCGGAAAAAAATAAGCTTCCCTTAAGACCCCCCCCCCTCCAAAGAAAGGTTGAGTATTAATAACTTTCTGTGAGGGAGCTTTTAGAGGTGGATCTGTGGTTCCTATCACCACTGTGAGCAATTCTGGCTCTAGTTAGTTTCTCTAGAACAGAGCATTTCACACCAAACCACTCTGAATGACTTTATTCATCTTAACTATTTATTTATGTGGAACTTTTGAAAAATTGGTGAAGTTCCCCTTTAAATATATACTCAAGTAATAATATTGCTACTTTGGTAAACTCAATTATAAGTAAAATTTCCATATAAAACTTAAATAATAAATAACTTATGGAAATGCAGCAGGACTTCTTAAAGAGGAATTTCATCGATTTTATTTAATTAAACTGTAATTAATTAAATTGTTAAGATGTAAACAAAGTCATTCAGAGTGGTTTGATGTAAAAAGATTCATTTGTAGAGAAACTTAACGATTAGGATTTCTTTACAGTGGTGGTGACAGGAATCAGGGGTCACAATGTCTACAACACAAATATAGCCGTAAGTTTTTCTCGGGGACTATTTTGCCTTAGAACACCTTTCTTGTATCCTTCCACCATGAAGGAATCCAAATGAACTGATTTAAATACGTTTTATACTGAAAACCTTATCACATAATTGCCATAAAACAATGTCTCAGACATCAGACGATGCATTTATAATTATTTTCTGTAAGAACTTTCTGTGAAACTTATCAGACGTCTGGTTCCTATCACCACCATAGTAAACAATTCTGACTCGCCAGGTTTCTCTAGAACGGAGCATCTCACACTAAACCACCCTGAATGACTTTGTTATGTTAACCATGTAATTATGCAGAATTTTTTCTCCACATGTTGGTGGACTTTCCCTTTAATGTTTGTTTTTATGCATTTTGTGTAATTCAGCTTGTATAATCAGACAAACTGGAGTAAAGTAACTCAATTAATTACTGACCTGTTTGATTATTATATCACAGTGCTAATGTTCGGATGGCACAACAGTAGCTTTGAGTAGAGTAGTTATGGTTTATATGACAGTCTGCTGTACAAACTCCTGGCCAATCCTGGCGCAGGGGGCGGGGCCTGGCCGAATAAATAAAGCAAGACTGAGCTCTAGTGGTTTGTGTGAGAACAGAAGTCCTGAAAATGTCTCACTGCAAACAGTTACAACACCAGCCTGTTTTACTGCAGTCTAAGCATAAGTTTCCTGAACTGGAATTAAGCCTACACTCTTAAAAATGATGGTTCTTCAAGGGTTCTTTAGTAAAGAAAATGGTTCTATATGCAACCATTAACACTTAAAGAACCCTTCGCTTGATTAAAGGGTTTACTGCACTGTGAAAGCATTCTTCAGATTGATGGAGAATAGAATATGCTGTAGATGGTTCTATATAGAACCTTTTTGAAAAGGGTTCTTTATAGCATCAAAAAGGATTCTCCTATTGTTACAAGCTTGACATCAACACACTTGGGACTATATAGAACCCTTTTCAAAAAAGTTCTATGAAGGACCATTTACAGCACATTCTACGTCAGTCTGAAGAACCATTTCATGAGGCAAAGAACCCTTTTATCATGCAAGGGTTCTGTGAGTGTTCATGGTTCTATATAGAACCATTTTCTTTGCTAAATAAGTCTTGAAGAACCACGGTTTTAAGTGTGTAGTCTTAGACTATGCTTTCTTTTCTTTCATAGTCTGTGCAGTGTAGGAATATACGTAATAACTGTCTTCACTCTCAGAAATAAAGGTACTACACTGTCACTGGGGCAGTTCCCCTCTTATCACTGGGGTGGAACCCTCAAGGGTACATCTCAGTACCTTTAGTCAGGGAACATAACTGTACCTTAATGCATTAAAATTATATTCTCTAAGCTACTCCACACACCCCGTCTCGTCTCCAGGCTTTTTACTTTACTGTTCTGTTTTAAAACATTAGATTATGAAAAGGAACAAATACAAACTTTTCACCTGGAAAAACTTATTTAAGGTTCACAATCAGACCTTAAAACCACTGTTGTCCCTTTGAGGGAACATTTACATTGTTTGTACCTTGATGAACGAAAAATGTACCTGAACAGCACCTTTATTACTAACAGTGTGGGATGCTGACCCTTACAGTAAACATGCTAAATCCACTAAAGCTGGGCATCTGACAGGTTGCACAATCTGGCAAAACTGACATACACTAAAGTAATACATTTGACATTTAACAAGAAGTAAGAAAGATAAGAAATTTGGTTAGAAACAATATGTAAATGAAAATTAAATTCATATAAGATTAAAATATTGTTTTAAAATGTCTATGGGGGAAACTCAGACTTAAGATAATAGTGCTAAACGCCCTAAAAAGCTGAAACAACAAAGTCTACATTACTGGCCCATTACCTAGTATTTTGTATGGTCATACAAGTTAACATTTCAGTGCAACACAAAATAAAAGTAAAAGAAGGTGAAAAAATAAGTAAATAAATAAAATAAACACAAATAAATAAACAAATAATAAAAAAAACAAAGCAGATTTTACCTAACCTAAAATCTTTACACTTTGCATTAAATATTTACTTATTTATTTAGTGTAAAGTACATCTCGTCACACTAAACCTGTAAGGGGTTCAAAACTCAAGGACACATATTTTTAAATTTAAAATATAGTAATATGAAACATATACTAATACTGAGAGATGTAATGTCACATAATACTTTTACGTTAAACTGACTTTTATTTTTTTTTTTACAAAATAAAAGCTGCATTCACGTCAGATTGTTTTACAGTGTGTTTAGTAATATTTGAGCTGTGACTACAGCTGTGGCTGTGCTCCTTAAAAAAAATATTTAATATTATAATATTTCTGAAACTCTTTTTCACCTGCAGTATTTTATGTCTCTGTTAATGATTTTGAATGAATGTATTTAGCCTCGATAAATACTTATTAGAGCTTATAAGGTGGAATCAGGCGGCACTCTTTTCACAGAATTACTCTGTGTATCTTTGCATTGGCACAAGACTCTGAATAAACTGGATTTCGCCAGATTTTGCCAGGTTGTTTCCCGTCAATATGAGCAGGAACTCCAGCGCCATCCAGCGGTGAGGGAGGCGCACTGCACACCGCGCCCCCGGCCCCGCTCTGAGCCGCAGACGCAGAAACGCCGACTCGACCCTAAAGACTCGGAAAGGAGAGCAAACCCGTCCAGAAATCATCAGAAGTCATGAGGCTGCTCTGCTTTTTGCTACCGCTGGCGTTCTGGAGCCAAGCTCTTCAAGGTAAGCACGCTTACAGGCTCTATGAGGTTTTAGCTTAATCTAATATTAACGACTTATTTTTGGGAACTGTGGCCTCTCAAGACTTTAAACAGGCTGAATATGTTCCTGCTGTTGTTTTGGCATCCTACTACAGCATAAAAGCTTCAAGGCTAGTCTTGTACCTGAACACATTAGTTTACAGTTAAGTTAAAGGGGAATTCCACCCATTTTCCAAAATTTCTGAATAATTCAGTCCTTGAGATGTTTTGGTCTGAAATGGTTTGTTGTAGAGACAGTGGTGGTGATAGGAACCAGGGAGTCAAGATGTCTTCAACACAAATACAGCCATTTTATTTACTATCCAAAGCCACCAGTGAACCTACATGGGTCTTCTGAGTTATTATGTGTGATATTGATGATGGCAAAATAGTCATAAATCTGAAAAAATAAGTTTTCTTTGGGGACTGTTTTGCCTTACAACACCTTGCAGGCACGTCTGTGCCATTAATGGATTAAAATAAATGGATTAAACTAATTTTAAGCCAAAGCTTTATCATACAACAATGTGTCAGGCATCAAGCAGCATATATCCAACCATTTCATGCCTTTTAGAGACATTAAACTCTTCTGATGACTGGTTCCTATCACCACCACTGTGAACAATTCTGACTCGGTATGTTTCTCTAGAGCAGAGCATTTCACACCAAACCACTGTGAATAACCTTGTTTAACTATTTCATTATGTGGAATTCTTGGAAAATTGGTGGAGTTCCCCTTTTAAGTTGAGCTCTTAAGACCAGTTGAATAACACAAAATGTATAAAAACAGCTTGAAGAGACAAGCTAATGTTCACCAAAAACAACACAAAGGCAGTTTAGAACAATATCAGTTATAATAGGACATTACAGGACGGCTATAAATAGACTGACCTTGATTAATTATCTATGAAATGCAGTGAAATGTTTAAAATATTACAAATATAGTGAAATTTCATAGTGTAGACTGTATTTGCACGTGTTCCTGTGTGGGGGGGTGTTGGAGGTGGGGGTACATCATGCACTTCTGCCCTGACAGGACATTTACAAAAGTTTGCAGATCCAAAGGTCTTGTGTGTCTAAGCCCCCTGTGAGGCTGATACACTGAGGAGCACAGTCAGTGTTATCTCCAGCAGAGCTCAAGCAGCTAATGCTTTCATTTGTGTTTGTATACAGAGCTGCAAACAGGTGACAACATTAACTTGTGGCAGCAGGATTCGTATTTTCCTTTTTGCTATTGTGAGAAGAAACAGCCTCAGCCAGAGGCTTCCAAACCTCTAAAAAAAGCATGTTAACATTTGAAGTAGTATCACAAAATAAAGACCTAGTATCTGTTTTCTTAAAATATTGACCTAGTATCTGAGCATAGTGACTTCTTTATCCTGTGATAATTAATTACTTTGTTAAAATAAAAATTGTACAAAAAATTAGATTATTTCAACATATTAATTAGGGGTGGATAATATGGCAAAAATATTGTATCACGATACTTCAAGACATTTTTACGATACACAACATGTATCATAATATTTAGTTTTTTCTGAGATTTAATAAGTTGTGTCAGACAAAATAGTACCTGTAATGCCACATATAAAAAAGCTAAAATAATAATAAAACATCTACAACTGCAATGGTTTTAATTGCACATTTTACAATCTGTTCTGCCTTAAATCCAGTTGCGCAGCTCTAATTATGCTCTCTTTATAATGAAACATAATCAGTGTTCTTTAAGTGCTGATTTGTTTCTCCTCTGTACTGAATGCTTTGTTTCTGTTTGCACTGCAGTTAAACAGGTGAATATAAATCACTACTACTTTAGATCACAGTGGGATAAACAGTACAACTGCATAGTAAATGTGATATAAATGAATAACAGTTTTGTGCTTGTGGGTTTAGCGAGTCATTTGTATAGCTAAAATCTATGAAAGAAAACAAGAAAAGCACTTACTCTGCAGATTTATAGACTTAAGACTTTAAGAGTTATAAGTTATTAATAGAGTTTGAGCTGAAATATTAATTAACAGATGCAGCAAGAATTCAATATAAGGACCAAAGATTGACTCTCTACACCACAACAGGATTTATTTACGTCAGACTTATTATACATTTCTGCTGATTGTTGAAGATAATAGACTCCATCAACCCCTTGAACACTGTGCTTGTTATTCAGTTATTAACCTTAAGAGTCATTACTCAGTAACTGAATTATTGGTAACTACAGTAAATCTACACTGTTAGAAATAAAGGTTCTGTACAGGTACATTTTTCTTTCATCAAGGTACAAACAATGTAAATGTTCCCTCAAAGGGACAACAGTGGTTTTAAGGTCCAGTTTGTGAGCCTTAAATAAGTTTTCCAGGTGAAAAGTACAGATTTATACCTTTTCATAACCGAAACCTTTAAAACAGAACAATAAAATAAAAAGCCTGGAGACGAGACGGGGTGTGTGGAGTCAGTACAGCTTAGAGAATATAATTTCAATGGATTATGGTACAGTTATGTTCCCTGACTAAAGGTACTGAGATGGACCCTTGAGGGTACCACCCCAGTGACAAGAGAGGTACTGCCCCAGAGAAAGTTTAGTACCTTTTTTATGAGAGTGTAATTTATAAAGAATTGCCAGTTTATCAGGTACACCCACCATGTAGGTGCATTTTGTGGGTTTACAATTAGAGGCAGTATCTTATCAGTAGCTGCACATGGGACTGTCCATTGGGTGGTGTGCCATTCTCAGCACAGCAGTACAACCATCTGCAAAAAAGGTACTAAACTGTCTCTGGGTCAGTGCCCCTTTTGTCACTGGGGTGGAACCCTCAAGGGTACATCTCAGTACCTTTAGTCAGAGAACATAACTGTACTATAATCCGTTGAATTTATATTTTCTGAGCTGTACTGACTCCACACACCCCGTCTCGTCTCCAGGCTTTTCATTGTATTGTTCTGTTTTTAACATTTGTTTATGAAAAGGTAAAAATACGAACTTTTCACCTGGAAAAACCTCTTTAAAGTACACAGTTGGACCTTAAATCCACTGTTGTACCTTTGAGGGAACATTTACACTGTTTGCACCTTGATGAATGAAAAATGTACCTGCACAGAGCCTTAATTTCTGACAGTGTACCATCCCACTGCTGAGCTGAGAATAGCCCACCTTCCAAACAATATCTGCTCTGTGATGTGGCTGAATGATATGGGGGAAAAAGCTAACTTGCAGTTATTCAGACCGAGACTGAATTTGAATTGAACTTAAATTACAATTATTTTAAATTGAGATCCAGGCTTATTTTTTGTATCGAAGAAGACAAGCGCATCCACTTTCTCTGGCTTCAGGCCCAAGCACCGAATGCAGTGTGCTAGGATGGCCAGTTAGTTGTGATTGTGTTGTCATGTATACATCATATGGCTGTTGGGTTGCTACTCACTGGTCTAGGATTCCTAATTGGCAACTCATGTTTAAGTTATGTATTTATGAGTGAGGAACTGAATTAAAGCCCATAGAGATTAAAGGGTTAAAGAACCGATGAAGCTAACACAAACAGGCTTCACTGTATGGCTTTAGAATGTGTGTTAAGGCTGAAAGTTTAATTGTTTTTATATTGAACTCACAGTTTTAAAGAGTGCAGTTTTCACATCGTAAGAGCTGCCATTTTAATTAGGTCCTACATTATTCAGTGTTGTCTTAAGTTCACAGCAAGTGGGGAAATTAGACTTACTAACACAGAGCTTGTGAAATGGCAGTCTGGCATGCTATATTTAGCATTCAAGCCTGAAAAATGGAATGGATTTTCTGGTCTTCTTGGCAAAAAAGGCCTGGAGATTAATGTATAGAGAATAATTGCAGTCTTGGTCAGAAAAGATCACAATTAGGCTTTTTCGCCACATCATTCAGCCCTGGTGTGGCCGCACTATGAATGTGTTTTTGTGTTGGCAGTCCACCGCAGTGCACTGAATGACTTCCAGCGGTCCGAGGGGAGAGAGCTGGTTCTGAAGTCGTGGAACGCAGACCGTCTGACCCAGCTGTCGGGCATCACTCTGGAGGAGTGCGCCAAACGCTGCTCACACAGCCAGGACTGCAGGTCCCACAATACTCCACTCCTTTCCCAGCATCCTTAGCTCTTTCTTAAGTCACTTTTTATATTTTAATGCTGCTTTCATGGCCAAAATTAAAGTGAGAAGTTTTCCATCTTCAAAAGGGGAAAAATTCATTTGAAATTCGGTCCAACTTGTAATTCCCACTTGGAACGTTGGAGTTCCTCAAAAACTCAAGAGTGTCAGTTCTGTGACATCTTTTCAACAGGACAGGGCCCATAGAACACGAATTAACAGCATGTTTAAAGCTTTTTAAACTGACATTTAAAGTTTCTATTTGTGTATCATATAATATTGGTTTATGACATCACTAAACACAGGGAATAATTGGATAATTTTACAGTTAAGCTAAGATTTTTGATCAAACTGCACACTTTCTTGTTATTTTTCAGCACTATTTTGATAATGAATACGCCATAGTCTCCATCCACTGTTCATATAAATGACTCACTAACCAAGTAATTCTGTAATTCCAGTATAACCGCTTTTTACATTATTTTTAAGCACTTTTTATACGTACACAGCAGATCAACAAGCACTAGCTTAACGTGCAGTTTGGTGTGGGAAACGGTATATTCCGAGTTTTGAAATTCCCAGTTCCCAGTTGCTGTGACTGCACTATAATGTACAGTTGCTTATGTTGCCTTCAAGTTGTGAAAAAATCAATATCATACTGATGAAGATATGATGACAATAGTAGATAATTCACTCACATGTTCGGAAGACACGTCCTTCAAGTTTGATCTCAGTTCTCTTTGAATACTCCTTTAGTGCTCGCATTCATCAGATTCATCCTCTTAGGGGAGAAGTTTGAATCACAACCTACATTATAAAATGCTTGCAATTACACACTTCTGCCAGAGAGGTCTCCAAATCCCCAAAACTTACATGCCGCAACTTTAATGTATATACATATGAGAGAAAAATGGATATATGCACATGCTATGCAGTGCTTCAAACTGAATACAAGCATCACCCATCTAATATGCATCCTCTGCTCCTTATTCTGTTGTAGTAACATAGAATAAATGTATTCTCTATGACAACAGAAAAACAGAAGTAAACAAAAAGGCATTAGACCATCTTGTTTCTGTCCTAAACCACATATTGTGTTGTACTTTCGGCCTCCAAAGTCATAAGTAGGAACTTCCGCGGAGGATTTGAAGGCAGCATTAATCTGACAAATTATACATAAACTCTTTAAAAAGGTCCCTGAATGGTTTCTTTCTTTAAATATGCAGTTCTTGGAAAAAATCTTTATTTGGTCTGGAATCCTTGAACTTTGAAAAGGTTCTTCATGCTTACAAATCTTATTTGCAAAAACAATTCTTTAAAGTACTATTCACCGTTTGGGTACCAAATGTGGTTTTGCTCAGGCGTCGCTCCAGAAAACCTCTTTTGGCACAGTTATTTTTAGGAGTGAACATGTCCGAAAGGGTTGGGTAAACTGTCCATGTTTGAGGTGAACTGAAAAGCTGTTTGTGATTCAGACCTAATCACTCTAGATCAGTGCTTGACCTCGCTAATGCTCTTGTGCCAGAATGGAAGTCCCCTGCAGCATTGTTCCAACATCTGGTGTAGTGCATCCTGGAAGAATAGAAGCTGTTACTGCAGCAAGTATGGGCTGATAAGTAGGAGATACTTTCAGATTCGTAAATGAAAAGTGAAAAATAATTCAACTTGAAATGTTAAATGAAATATAATTTTTAAAAAAGCACAATGCCGGTACATTCTTAAAAATAAAGGTACCAAAAAGATTCTTTGCACAATGCCATAGAAGAACTATGCCTGGTTGTCTAAAGAACCTCAGCTTATTTATTGGTAAAAATAGCCTTTACATTATGTGAAGGTTCTGTGAACCTTCGAAAGGTCCTTCACACTCACAAATCTCTTTTTCAAACATGGTTCTTGAGGGAAGCAAAATGTTTTTTTCTGTGGGATCCCTCCACGTGGGTGTAAAGTTATGGCAGCTACTTTTTTAAATGTAGCAAATCTTAAATTATATTAGTACCTTATAGAAACACATACAGTATATAAACAGTGAGTGTTACAGCATAGACAGTGGAGCCCAAAAGTCTGAGACCACAGTGAAAGGTATTTTACATTTAAACCTGGAAAAAAACAACAGAAAGTTTTAAAATCTTGAAAAAAAAGAAAAGATGTTCTGACAGTTAAAATGAAGATGTATTCAAGATACTGCACTATTTCTAAGTCAGTTTTCTTATTTGAAGCAATTTTGTGGAATTGACCAAGGCTTTTTTTTGGGTCTTATTCCTTCCATTAAAGCACATGTTCAGACGACTTTCAGGCAATTTGATCTACGACTCAAACTTTTGAAGTTCATTCCAGCTCAACTGCACACTGTCATTAAAGCCAAAGGGGGAGCTACTAAGTATAAGAAATTCCAAAATTCACGTAAACATTCAAAGATTTTACTTTTCACTCAAATTGTTTTGCTGATAATGTTACTTGTAATGGAAAACTTTCTATTAAATTACAGTTTAGCCTCTAAATTAGAAAGGAATGCAAAATAGAAGCATTTTCACAAGCATTTTCACCAGGGGTCTCAAAGTTTTTGCATTCATTGTTTTTGTGATGTCACAGAAACCAATTCATTTACTTTTGGACCTCACTTTAGTTTCATCATGTGTATTCTGTGGTGGGTTTCCAGAGCCTTCAACTATGAGTTTCGGCCGTCTGTAATCTGTAAGCACCTGCCCTGGGTGGATGACGGCGACAATGCAGAAGTGAAGAGAAACGTGAACTGTGACCTGTATGAGATGAAAGGTAAGATCTGTTGTCTAATTATATAAATGCTGGTGATGCACAATATGTTTAAATGTTTAGAATCCCTGTGCAAAAGTTTGAAATAAATGTTTTTAATAGTACAAAACCAATTTGGTGAAAGAAAACTTAGAATGATTCTAAGTGTATTAGTTACCATTGCAAAGCTGTATAGTGTCTAGAAGTCGAGGTTATAATAGAAATATGATCAATAATGCCTTTTGCTTGAAAACTTCAGACAAACCTATTATAAAACTATGATGAATAGACAATTACAGTATGATTTCTCCCCAGTAGCTACTTGAAATATTCAACATAACATCTAACAAACATTTTGATGTCTAGTTCGTAATATTTAAATCTGTATGTAAAAATGTATGTAAAATAACGAAAATGATTAATATGACCAAATAAACTTGACACGGTACTGTATGTCAGTGGAACTTGTGTCCGAGACATTTTCTCCACCGTCCAGTCTATGTTAGGAAATGCATCGTGGGTAAAGGAGAGGACTATCGGGGGAAGGTGTCAAAGACCCAGAGTGGACGAACGTGTCAGCAGTGGTGGTCAAAGTTTCCTCATGACCACAGGTAGGAAAACAGCGCTAACATTAAAGGTACTAACATGAAACATGATGCATGAGAAATATCATGTTTAAAGTCAACATGAGTGGGAAATCATCAGGCATTGTCCCTCCATACTGAGACATATTTGGGCTGAGCATATGTAAGTTTCAACATACTGTCCATGGCTCAATCCGTACACTCCAAACAGCAAGATTAAGCTGCAAAAACAGCCCGTTTTGCATTGACTGTTTTTGTGATGTCACAGACTCCAATTCATTTACATATTCCTGCCTATTCAGCCTATTGCAGTGTTGTCCTGCTCATTCATGTTGACGTTATAAGGAGTGTTTCAGTCTGGACTGCTTTTAGAATGAGTGGCAAAATAGGGCAGCCAGTCAGAAAACAGGTCATAAGCATGTTTCAGTCCTGGGGCCTGTTTACACTTAGCATTAACATGTGTTTTTGGTGATCGGATCACGTTCAGATTTCACTTGAAAAGCCAGGTGTAAACACCCTCAGGATGCATTACGATCAGATCACTCAAACCACATTCGGATGTGGTCAGAGACAGATCTTGGAAACATTTAACTGAAGTGTTAATAGATTGCATTTTCGTTGTATACAGTTATGTGAGCAGAAATGTGTTTGCTGAGCGTTGACTAGAAGCTGAGAGGATAAACAATGAAACAAAAAATGGGGGATACGTGAGGCTGGCTTTATCCCAAAACTAAGTCTTTTTGCGCACTAGGCTGATGGAAGTGTTCAAGCCGACTCGTATTATAATGGGAAAAAAGAAAACAAAAGTAAAAGATAAACAGTGTATGTGTTGGTTTTTTGCTTTTTATGTGGGAAAAGTAAAACCGGATCTCATCTGGTCACAATGGGGACGCATTTTAGTAAAAAATGTAAACGGAATAGGGCCAAAGCTCACTCCGACACAATCCAGACACCAGTAATGCCAGGTGTAAACAGGCTCTTAAAGGTACAGTAAACTGTTTTGGGTACATAAATCCACATAAATAAGCGAACCTCAGGGAAGAAAATAAAATAGCAGAAAAGTGAAGAATATGAGCCCTTTAAAATGTCCAACAAGTGTGAAAGGGTGAATTGAATGTTAGGACATTTTCATAATTTATTATTATTATTAGATATTTATTACTGAGAAACTGAACGATGAGTCATTTCATTTTGGGAACAGGTGGACTCCTTCCCCTACTAATGGCCTGGAGCTGAACTACTGTCGTAACCCAGATGGGGACCCCATAGGGCCGTGGTGCTACACTACAGACCCAGAGCGCAGATATGAGAGCTGTAACATCCCCCACTGCAAAGATGGTACAGCCCAGACCTCACTTTGAGATTTCATAAGACAAATATAATGAAATAAGTGAAAAGTACAGTGAGTGTATGTGGTTATATGTGTTTCTGTCTGTAAGAGGTGTGTATCACCTGCAATGGAGAGGACTACAGGGGCCAGGTTGACCATACTGTGAGTGGACGAGAGTGCCAGAGGTGGGACCAGCAGTATCCCCATCAGCACATCTATCAACCAGAGAAGTACAGAACAATGCTCACTTCACTCTTCACACTGTACCAAGCACCATACAGTTGTATGCAAAAGTTTGGGCGCCCTGGTCAAATGATTTGTTTTGTTGATTTTCTAAGTGAAAACAAATTTAAATATGGCATTTTTCTTTCAATTTTAGTGCACAGTTTCTATCAGTTTCTTTCAAATCTTGGAAATAAGTCATACATAAAATATAAACGTACACATAACTTTTGCACAGGCCACATTTTCCCCAGTGTGTTAATTTCAGGATTTAACATCTTGGAAAAAAAAATCATACATAAAATATTAAGTGTGCCATAACTTTTGCACAGGCCATATTTTCCCCATATGTGAATTTCAGGAAATACAGAGTCGTGTACAAGTGTGTTCTCTGTAGAGGATGTGTTCACTTATATAGACTCCTTAAATCAACAAATCATCGTTTGACCAGGGCACCCAAACCTTTGCATGTGACTGTAGACCTCAGGTCTTCAAGCAGTTTTATAGGCGAAGAAAAAACAATCTTAACTGGGAACTATTTAAATGTCAAAGCTATGCTTTTCAGAATGTTTATTGGCTCATCCTTCATTTGTTGATTCCATTTAAAGCTGATGTTTTTAAAGGCTGCAAACAAATAAAAAAACAAAAAAAAGGTACAAGGTTTTTATGATGGCAACAATACTTCATGCTACACGCTAAAGGAAAATTCCACCTGTTTTTTAAAATTTCTGCATAATTCAGTCTTTGAGATGTAAACATTCGGAGTTGTTGTGAAAAAGGTTCATTGCAAAGAAACGTACTAAGATTTCTTCACAGAGGTTGCGATATAGTTTTCTCTTTGGGTACTAGTTTTCCTGCATGTACCACAAATTTCAAAATACTTTTTAGACAAAGCTCTTCTTAAAACTGTCACAAAACAGGGTCTCAGACCTCAGGCAGGTATTCATAACCATTTCATGTAATAATTTTCTGTAAGGGAGCTTGTAGAGGCATTAAGATCTTCGGATGTCTGGTTCCTATCAGCACCACTGTGGACAATTCTGTTTTTTTCTAGAAATTTCACTTTAACCACTCTGAATGATTGTTTACATTGTAATTATTTCATAAGGCACATATTTTGAAAAACCTGTGGAATTCCCCTTTAGCTGTTTAGCCTTCAAGCTTTTACCTATAGCTATAACCTGCACTTTAATGTTGCTGTTTGATCTATAGTGTTCAAACAGCACTCTGCTGCTCCTGGCACATACATCCATTATATCATAGTCAAATAAGGGGTTACATATATGATGTTATTTATGATGGTCATTCTGCAGATACCCTGATAAGAGTCTGGATGATAATTATTGCCGGAATCCGGACGCCTCCCCAGTGCCCTGGTGTTACACCACCGACCCAGAGGTGGAGAGAGAGAGCTGTGACATCCGCAAGTGCTGTGAGTCTTACAAGCCGGACTTTGTCACAATAGCAGAACCCTTTTTGATTTCAAAAAGGTTCTTTAGAGAACCATCTACAGCACATTTTTCCATTAATTTGAAGAACTTTTCACGATGCAAAGAACACTTTTATCGTGCACAAGGTTCTTTGGGTGTTCATGGTTCTATATAGTACCATTTTCTTAACTAAATATATAATTAGTGGTATTTAATTCAGTTTATTGCAGTGCATGATGTGAAGTATTAGACAAAATATTGAACACACCTACATATAAGATTGCAACAGTTTTGCATTATAATGTCATTTTCATATCATTGTATAAAGTAAAATCTGGAAATTCAGTTTACATTCAGTTAAAATTGTTTAATTTCAGTTTTTGAGTTTATGCTCTTGTATATATACAAGATATATATATATATATATATTATATATAACGTATATATATATAGTATATTATATTCACTGTATATATATATATATAGTATATATATATAATATATATATATATATATATTCACTGTCTTATACTCGATTTTCAGTGTTTCAGTGACTATATTGCTGTATCCTATATACCCACAGTTAGGCTACTATGTAATTCTCTCTCTGTACCCAATCCCCCCTCCAGCGGGGGTTCCCAAGCGCCGCCTTCGATCCAGCTACACCACCAACTGTTTCCGGGGCCGGGGGGAGGATTACCGAGGCAAAGTAAACGAGACCACTTCAGGAATCCCCTGCCAGCGCTGGAACGCACAGAAGCCCCATGAGCACCCATTCTACCCCCATATCTACGAGTGCAAGTGAGCTCTGGGCTGAGGGTGTGCACAGGCTGTAGTGTTGTGTGGGGAATTTCTGTTAGGTGCATGATTCTAAAGAAGAATATGGATCAAGTTTGACTTCCTAAAGGCTTCCACGGGGCAGAGAGAGAGAGAGACCTTACATTTACATATCTTTATTACCTTTAACCCCTTAAAATCCAAGGTTTCTCACATGCTTAGGCTTATTATTCATTAACTACAGGGACTTCAGTACAAACTTGCTGAGCTATTTTTAGGTTAAAGTGTGCTTTTTAGGTTATTGCAGCAACGGCAGCACAACACTGATTATTTGCGCGGATTGGCTCATCAGCTGGTCATGGCAAAAAGGTGAAAAACGGTCAGATTTTCCAGTGATTACTGGCACTAAGTTAGCCGCAGCTGCCACACTGCTGACACTGGTCGATGACAGTAGTATGTGCGTGCGCAGTGGAAAACAAAAGCTTTATGGACACGTGGCCACAAATCTGATATTTTTGTTAAATTTTCTAAGTGACAATAAGTTGACACAGTGGTTCCCCACCCTGGTCCAGGAGGACCCCCGCTCTGCACATTAGAGTGTTTGACCTGCTCCCAAAACACCTGACTAATCACACAACTAAACCTGACTAACAAACAAAACTAAGCTGCTAATTAACAAGCCCTTCCTGACTTGAAGTGAGTGTGTTTTGGTAGGAAAACACAAAAGTGTGCAGGGCACATGGTCCTCCAGGACCAGGGTTGGGAACCACTGAGTTAACACATCCTCTATAGGGAAAAAACTTAAAAATGACATTTTTCTACAAATTCTAGTGCACAATTTTGATTTATTTGCTTATGAGTTTAACATGTTGGAAACAATAAAACATAAAATGTGTTTTAACTTTTGCACAAACTGTATTTAATGCTTTTCAAATACGTTAAATTCAGCAAATAAACAGTAATTGTGCATTGAAATATTTACATTTACGGCATTTGGCAGATGCTCTTATCCAGAGCGACTTACAGTTTGATCATTTTTACACAGGTGGGCGAAGGTAGTGTTAGTATTGGTATAGTGCAGGGTGCTTGCCCAGGCGGGGGATTGAACCCCAGCCTACAGAGCAGAAGGCAGAGGTTGTAGCCACCGCACTACACCAACCATATGCCAAAGTGTGTTCTCTCTAGAGGATGTGTTAACTTATTTTCACTTAGAAAATCCACAAAATACAAAATTTGACCAGGCATGCCAACTTATGCATGCGACTATATCACATATAAAAGATCTAAATAGAAAAAAGTCTTTTTTGTGCTCACACTACTCTAACAACACCAGATCTGAGTCACATTAAGGCAAAAACTGAGATTTTTGCTGACACTTTATTTTGAGTGGTCCTTTTAGATGAAACACTTAACAGTCTTTCAGTGTCAGTAGCATATGATGGTTAGGATTAGGGCCAGGGTGAGTGTTAGGGTTAGGTTTTGGGTTCAGGTTAAGGTTTGGGTTAGGATTAGGGCCAGGGTGAGTGTTAGGGTTAGGTTTTGGGTTCAGGTTAAGGTTTGGGTTAGGATTAGGGCCAGGGTGAGGGTTAGGTGTTGGGTAAGGTTGGGTAAGATTAGGTTTTGCGTAATGGAAGTAACATATTAACAGTACATCTACTTAATGTAAGTAATTTATCAACAGAACATCTACAAGATATTTACTTCAGTGTATTCTGATGCCTCACTACTGCTACTTCACTGATATGTTGTTGATGTGTTACTGATGCTCTGTTAAGAGTTTATTAATCATCTACAAAGGACCACTCCAAATAAAGTGTTATCATATTTTTGCCACTCTGTAATGTGAAAACAGCCTACAGAACAGTAGTTATAGTAAAGGAAAAATAATAAAGGAAAAAATGCAAAAATCTAAAACCCACTCAAAACCAGACCTTTAGCTCAAAATCAGGTCTAATTTTCAGTCTGTGAGAGTGTAGAGAGCCTTCAACACTGAAGCTCACAGCCATTTCCTCAGTAAAGAGCTTTAATGTTCTGTCCTGCTTGCTCTTGGTGTCCCTTTTGTCAGAGGGCTGGAGGAGAACTACTGCCGTAATCCAGACGGTTCAGAGGCTCCGTGGTGCTTCACATCACTGCCCGACATGAGGACAGCTCTCTGCCTGCAGATCAAACGTTGTGCTGATGACATCGAGGCTGAAGGTGTTGTATCATCTTAGTGCCCCCTGGTGGCTGAAAGTGGTCTAGAAGGAAAAATTCAACATAACGCCTGATGTACCTCAAAGTGTATAAAAGCTACTGGGCACCAGATTGCATGACTTTACAGTAGTAGTACAGTAGTTATATCAGTAAGTGGACCTGAGGTTCACTTATGACATTTGTGTTGGTTTATGTACCAAAAGCAGTGAAAATTGTTTTTTGCAGCTTCAATATATGGACTGCATGGATTGGGAGTAAACAGTATGTTTTGAGACTTTAACAATGTTTACATAAAACTGTATTTTATATAAAACCGAAGTGTGGAAAATTTGGCTTTCCATTCAATAAAGTCTTGTGTGTGCATATGTACACCGATCAGGCATAACATTATGACCACCTCCTTGTTTCTACGCTCATCGTCCATTTTATCAGCTCCACTTACTATATAGGTGCACTTTGTAGTTCTACAGTTACAGACTGTAGTCCATCTGTTTCTCTGCATACTTTGTTAGCCCCCTTTTACCCTGTTCTTCAGTGGTCAGGACCCCCATGGACCCTCACAGAGCAGGTACTATTTGGGTGGTGGATCATTCTCAGCACTGCAGTAACACTGACGTGGTGGTGGTGCGTAAGTGTGTGTTGCGCTGGTCTGAGTTGATCAGACACAGCAGTGCTGCTGGAGTTACAGTTTGTAATTGTAGAACTACAAAGTGCACCTATATAGTAAGTGGAGCTGATAAAATGGACAATGAGCGTAGAAACGTTATGCCTGATCGGTGTATATTATAACATTTTACACTAAAATTAGCAGAAAAAGTTTCTTCCCTGTGGAGGATTTGAAAGAGATGCCCAAACTTCTGCATATGACTGTGTTTATCTTTTTAATGTATTATTTTTTTTATTAATTATTATTATTTTTAAAAGTATCATTTAATTTATTCATATATACATGTGTTTCTTGGCCATCTTTTCATTTTTTTTTCCAGATTGCTATCATGAAAATGGCAAAAACTACCGAGGTGTTGTCCGCAAAACAAGAAAGGGCATCCTTTGCCAGAAGTGGAGTGCCAACACACCACATCAGACTAAGTAAGACCAGCTACACAAAACCATCTGCAATGACAATAACCATAATTAGCTTATTTCAGACTGAAAACAGTGTTTCATGAAGAAGTGGAGTACTTTCTCAGAAAATAGTACTGAACTGTATCTTTCATGGTGCAACACTTGTCACTGGAGTGGAACCGTTAAGTTTACTTTAATTAGGGAACGTGATTGTACCGCATTCTATTGCAGTAATTATTTTTTAAGCTGCATTGACTCCATACACCCTGTCCTGAATCGTTTTTTTTATTTAAAAAGCAAATTTATGAAAAGGTATAAATAAGTACGATTCCCCTAAGAAAGTGAATGTGATGTACCTTTAAAACTCATTTAAGGCACACAGCTGCACCCTAAGGCCCCAGGCACTCCTTTGTGGGTACATTTACACTGTTTGTACCATGGTGGACAAAAATGTACCTGTACAGAGTCTTTTTTTCTAAGGTTATACTGAGGCCGTCTAGGACACCACCAGTCGCACAGCATTAGTTTATGAAGATTACATGTGAAAATGGATGGATGGATGGATGGATGGATGGATGGAAAAAGTCAAAAGAAAAATAAGTAAATAAGTGAGAGAGAGGAGAAAATCAAGCTGCTTCAGATCTGAAAACATCCACAGGTGTTTCTGTCCATCCTTCCACTGTGAGAAGACAACTCAGCGCTGTGGGTCTGGAAGGATGTGTAGCTGATCAAGAAGAACCTCACTGAGAAAAGGAGACGGACACATCAAACAAAGAAGCTGAACAATGGACTGACCACCCCAGAGTCCAGACCTCAAAATGACTAAATGTGTCTGGACTATATCAATTGCGAGAAGTAGAAAATGTAAAACCACCTTCTAAGACTGAACTTTGGAGGTGTGAAAAATATCTGTGCAGATTTCTTTGAAAAACTGAAAATGATTCTCCTGAAAAGAATGCAAACTGTAATAAAGACAAAGAGTGGACACATTGAAAGTTTTGGTATTATACTTGATATTATTACTTAATGGCCATTTTGAATGAAAATTAAAAAAAAAAATCTGGTTTCTGACTTTTGCACAATAATGTAGATAGATAAGTTCACTGGACTAAAAATTAGTCACCTGTGACTGAAGCATACTTAGTAGCGTGTAATACCTCCATGAACACGAATGACAGCTGTGATACAATTCGGCATGGACTGGACAAGTTTCTGGATGTAGGCGATGCTCAGCCACCCTTGCATCAAAGAATTGGCAGTTCGGTCAGATTTCTTGGATATGTCCGTGGTACGCAGTTCCCTGTGGAGAGTTCTTTCAGAAATTGGTTGTGAAGAACCTGCGTTGACTTCTAGAAGCAATTCTTGCCTGGAAGGAAAGTGATTTTTATTCACAAGCCATGAAACACGCTGGCGGTGCCTGTCCATCAGTTTCGTCTTTCTGCCACAGTTCTGGTGAGAATTTTCTGTAGACTGAGATTTTTGCCACTGCTGGTCGACCCGTATGACCGTATGCTTCAATACACCTGCAAATTCAGCTCCTTCCTTCACTGTGGCCTTTGGCAGCCCAAATGCAATCACTCCTTTTTGCTAATCATTAACATCTGCTTTGCGACCCATTTCCATCACATCAAACAAGACATTTACTGCACTCTACCACCTTTTCTCAATCCATGAATACCGTCACACACCCCACAGGTATCTATAGCCCGATCATCTTCGTGCAACGCCATCCGCAGGAGCCTGAAGTTACTATCACCTTAAACATGCATGGTGACTAATTTTTGGGCTGGGGAGCTTATATTGATAAACTCATTAACACACATGCTCCTTTGATTGTAGTGTGATGTTCTGAATGTGTTGAAATGTATTCAGATCTACACTAATAAACACTCATTTAGAAAAGATTTTTGAGGAGCGAGAGAATGCATCTATGCTGGGGGAGTACTTGGGATGAGGAGTGTTTGCAGCCTAGCATCGAAGAAGCTGGACAGCTTTGCTCATCACTAATATGACAGTAATACTTACACTTTGGGCTCAAGGCCATTAAAATACAAATCAGGTGCTAATGCAGTGCATAATGTCATAATGTCATACACGTCTACACAGTTTGATGTTCAGTATGAAGTTCTGCTCTCATTGAAACAGGTTGAGTTGTTTATGCTGCACTGCAGTTGATTGTGTCTTTATATTTGCACGCATGCAGGATTAACCCAAAGACGCACCCAGAAGCCAACCTGACAGAGAACTACTGCAGAAACCCTGATGGAGATCTGCACGGCCCCTGGTGCTACACCACTGACCCCAAGACTGAGTTTGATTACTGTGCAATCAAGCAGTGTGGTAAAGCGTCCTCATACTTTGCTTTTCTTTCTCTAATTTCTTTTTTTTTTATGGAAAAAGCATTATACATTATAGCCACGTTTATTATGCATTATGAATTGTTAACATAATAGATTATAAGTACTGTTCATAACAAATTATAAGAGCTCATAAGTTGTATTCGTCCGCTCTAAGTAAAGTGAAGCGTACTGTACTAAAGCCTCCTCCAGTGTGAAGAGTGAGGCAATGTACACCACCGTTAGCTTGGTATTTGTCTTTACTTTACACTCTCCAAGCTGGGACTGACTTCTTTGGCACTGACATTATAACATGTTATTAACACTATTTATAATGCATTATATTAACAATTCATAATGTATAATAAACATGGCTATAAAGTGTAATTCAGTGTAATTCTTTTTTATAAATATTTATAACCATGTTTATAATGCCTTATGAATACATTATAACATGTTATAAATGTGTTTAAAGATGCTTACAAAGGTGACATTCATAGAAAGTGTTACCGAAATTCAGTTACTAATAGTAACTGAATTAATTAATATAGGATACTATATTATATATATATAGAGTATTGTCGCTGTCAAAAAAAACCCCAAATGGACCAAAAAACCCTTGGTCCATTTCATGACGAATGGACCAAGACAATAGAAGTGCTCCAAAATTGCTTGGAATTAAATTTCTATACTTTGACTTACATTAAAAGTAAAGAAGGTTTTCACCTTCTCCTGCTAAATTATTTTGGAGACACCTATTCTTTCATATATATACGACATGTGGAATTTATAGGCTTAGTTTTATTCGGTAAGTTAGTAACTGTATGTCTGATCTTCTTTGTACAGCAGGGGAAAAAGTGCCGATCATGGAGCCACCAGGTAAGTCAGTGATCCTCTGTCCTCTGTAACAGTGGTTCCCAACCCGGTTCTTTGAGTACCACTGCTCTGCACGTTTTAGTGTTTTACTTACTTTAACCCAGTCCAGATAATTAACAAGCCATTTCTGTTGAATTGGGTGTTTCTGAGCAGGCAATCACAGGGACAGGATTTGGAATCAATGCTGTAGCGTAAGAATCAATGCTGTAGTGTAGGAATCAGTGCCCTGGTATCAGAGTCAATGCCCTGGTATTTTTATAGAACACAGTATTAGACCCACCCACGTTGGTACACCATGTAAGTGTAAACATCAACTAGATCATCAACTATAGCTCAGTTAGTTTCTGACCACCGAGCTGCTCTTAGCTGGGTATTTTTGGGTGGTGGACCATAATCTGGTCCATAACATCTGGGCAGTTGTAGTCCTATGGTGGTTCCTTTCCATTAATAAACAGGATATTGGGCAGGGTTGTAATCGTTGACAAAAACTAATAACAAAAAAATAAATAAATAAGTAGCAGTGAAAAATTATCTGTAATAAAAATAAAAACAGTTTTCCAAAACACAACTACATCAAAACTACAATGTCCACTCTAAAACAAACTAAAACTAAACAGCATTTCAGAGGAAAACCGTTTAGTTTTTGTATTTCCAATACGTGACAGATTGTTTAAACGTGGGTTCCTTCTATCTTATTCCCGAAACACAGAGGACATGGTGATGGCTTTCAGTAAAACTAGCTGAGCATGGTCAACTGTTGTGATATCACTATGATACCAAATACCAAAACTAAAGTTTGAGTTCAGAACTAGCGATGAATAAAAGCTAAAGTAAAACTCAAAATAAAACACATTAAAAAATTCAAAACTAAACTGAAAGTGAAAACCAAATAAAAAAATAAATTGAAACAAAATTTATTATATTGCAGTAACAGTAATAACCCTGGTACAAGACGGCTGCTGAACTGTGCAGCCACTGATAGTAGTTGTATACCATACAGCTGTATACCACATCTGTATACCTTATAAGTGTACAGTGCACCTGTATGGTGTTGTTTCTGATAAAGTGGACAGTGAGTGCAGAAACAATGCTGTTTCCCAGTGTATAGTGTACCTTCATGTCTCCTGTGCCTGGTTTGTGTTGATTTGTGTTTGTGAGCAGCGCCTGTAGTGTTTAATGAATGTGGGAAGCGTGATGACCGTATGGTGAAGAGCAGGCTGAGGATTGTGGGTGGCACACCTGGAAATTCTCCATGGACCGTCAGCCTGAGAGATCGGTCAGTTACCTTCATACTACCCTCCCTTTCTCAATACTCCTCTCTCTTCCTGTCTCTCTCTCTCTCTCTCTCTCTCTCTCTCTCCCTCTCTCTCTCCCTTTTAATCTCTGTCTATATGTCCTTTTCTCTTTATTTCTTTCGTCTGTCTTCTCTCTTTTTTCTCTCCCTTTCAGGCCTCTTTCCTTTCTATCTATCTATCTCTCTCTCTCTCTCTCTCTCCTTATCTCTCTCTCTCTCTCCATTTTCATCTCTATGTCTTTTTCTCTTTATTTCTTTTTCTCTGTCTTCCTCCTTTCCCCTCTCTCTTTCTCCACTCTTTCCTCTCTGTCCACCCCCCCCTCCATTTTCATCTCCGTTCATATGTCTTTTTCTCCTCATTTCTTTCTTTCTGTTATCCCCCTTTATTCTCTCTTTTTCTGGCTTCTTTCCTCTCTGTCCATCTCTCTTTTTACCTCTCTCTATCGTATCCCTTCCTCTATCTATCTATCTATCTATCTCTATCTATCTATCTATCTTCTCCCTCTCCTCTGTCTGTTTGCCTGTCTTTCTCTCATTCGCTAATTTTCTCTCTCTCTCTCTTTCTCTGTGTTAACAGGAAGGGGAAGCATTTCTGTGGAGGGTCTCTAGTGAACTCTAAATGGGTGATCAGCACCAAACAGTGTTTCTCCTCCTGGTACCTCGTCTGTTTTCTCATTTTCTCTGTGAAATGTACTCAACTGCATAGTGACAAATCAGGTTTATCGATGATTTTACTAGGGGTGTGTATGTATGTGCGTGCGCGTGTGTGTGTGTGTGTGTGTAGTTATGTGGACCTCACAGGCTATGCTGCTATGATGGGTACTCTGTTCCAGAACCCAAAGGAAGGAGAACCAGGCTTACAGACCATTGGTCTCAACAAAATCGTCTGTGGGCCTACAGAGTCACATCTGGTCCTGCTGCAGCTGGAAACGTAACTGTCATGCTCACGTCCTCACACTCTTACATTATGACGTACACAGCCCACCTGTCCAAAGTTTAGGGACACCTTTAGTCTAACTACCTCATTACTACAGTGTATGTCTCCCAAACAAGAGACTTAAATGAAAGATAACTTAAAGGCGCACTGTACGATTCTGGAGAATCATTGTTGATATTTGAACTCTACAGCGAAACAAATACACCCCTCCCTTCAGTGCTCTTTCTGTAGCTCCGCCTCCCAAATTCATGGCCAAGGTGTGTGATGCTTTTTTAGATCTGTGTGGCCATAAAACCCTTCGCAAATGTTGTACAGACAAACACTGTGATATAACATTAGAGTGAATTACGACACAGCAAGTAATGTGACTAATGTTAGCTAGACTGTGGGTTAGCAAACTGTCGCTACAGTTGCTGCTGTCAATTCTTTTTCACCAGCTTCTTGTTCAAATGTTTCTGCTCCACGTTAAAGGTGCAGTAGTTAAGACACTGTTCAGGTGCTGTGTCTGATCCACTCGTACCAGCACAACACACGCTAACACACCACCAACACGTCAGCGTCACTGCAGTGCTGAGAATGATCCACCACCCAAATAGTTCCTGCTCTGTGAGGGTCCATGGGGGTCCCGACCACTGAAGAACAGGGTAAAAGGGGGCTAACAAAGTATGCAGAGAAACAGATGGACTAATTGTAGAACTACAAAGTGCTGCTAAGTAGTAAGTGGAGCTGATAAAATGGACAATGAGTGTAGAAACAAGGAGGTGGACTTAATGGAGTGGCTGGTCATTGTAGCTGAATTCATGAAACGAAAATATACTTATAGACTGAGATTTTTGCCACTGCTGGTCGACCCGTATGACCGTATGCTTCAATACACCTGCAAATTCAGCTCCTTCCTTCACTCCTTTTTGCTAATCATTAACATCTGCTTTGCGACCCATTTCCATCACATCAAACAAGACATTTACTGCACTCTACCACCTTTTCTCAATCTATGAATACCGTCACACACCCCGCAGGTAAAAAAAACTAAAAAGAGTGTCCACAAACGTTTAGCAGGTATGATGCACAAAACTCATCTTGACCAGCATAAAGGTCACCATCAATGTCTCTCTCTCTCTCTCTCTGTCTCTCTCTCTAGTCCTGCTGAGTTTAATGAGCGTGTCTCACAGATATGTCTTCCTCCTGAACGCTTCATAGTTCCAGAGGGAACTGTCTGCGAGATTGCCGGTTGGGGGGAAACCAAAGGTGCGACCCTATACAGTATTTACAGTCCTGTCTACATTTTAGATTTTAAAGTATCTTCAGCCTCACTCTTGTTCTGTTTTCTGTTCCCTCGCTTCCTCCGTTTTCTTGACTACCTCTCTCTCTCTCTCTGTTGTTCAGGAACGGGGGATGAGACAGTGCTGAATGTAGCTCAGATGCAAGTGCAGAGCAACAGCGAGTGTAACAAATACTTCAAAGGTCGTGTGAGGGAGAATGAAATGTGCACGACTCCTTTCTATGGCGGAGTCGGGGCCTGTGAGGTAAGCTGACCTCAGTAGCTCAATACCCAGACAATGGAGTAGCATCTGGTGAAGGGAGAGCCAGTGTGAATAGATTCAGTCTGTTGAGTTCCGCAGTGAAGTTGCGGATGATTTACTTGTCATTAAAAAAGAGAAATAGGCTTAAGAATATCGAATACATGATCTTTTAGACTTGACTGCTTAATATCAACATAGCTAACCGCCAGCCATTTGTTGTGGCCATATTCGTGTGAATAAAGGAATACACCAGCGTTTTTCTAACCAATCTCTATCCACTGTATCTGTAACTTTCGCTGTTAGAAATAAAGGTTCTGTGCAGGTACATTTTTCATTCATCAAGGTACAAACAATGTAAATGATCCCTCAAAGGTACAACAGTGGTTTTAAGATCCAAGTAAGTTTTTCCCAGGTGAAATACCTAATGTTTTAAAACAGAACGATAAAATAAAAAGCTACTGAGGTACTGGTACTGAGATGTACCCTTTGAGGGTTCCATCACACTGACGAGAGTAGGTACTGCCCCAGTGACAGTTTCGTACCTTTATTTCTGAGAGTGTTCAGTCGTTACCACAGACAGTACTTTTAACGTGTTTCTGTAATATAGAAGGGAACATAAAACCACTGACTTGAAACACGCTTTGTTTTTGTGGTAGTACATTACTAATGTAGCGATGGGGGTGGAGTTTTCACACACTGATATTAGAAGACCTTAGGGAAAGCAAAAGTAACCAGAATAGTGTTTTTACTGTGTTGTTTGTAAGTTGGATAAAACATCTTAGCTACAGCTTTAGCAAGACATGACTGTCTCACCCTTAGTGTAGTTTTGTGTTATATAGTCAGGTATTTCAAACAATTATTCATGGAATCCAGAAACTGCATAATGAATTTATTATAAATATTTTTTTTTAATCATTGGATTTTCTTTTGTTTTACTATGTTTAGGGATGATGCACAGAAATGACTGTCTGTGATAATCAACAGTGTGATGCAGTAGATCAGGGGTCCTCAACCTTTTCCATTCCAGGGCCCACATGTTTATAACTATAAAGCATAGCGGCCCACGGAAAAACTAAAATCATCTTTTTTTAAAAATGCTGTTAAAAAAACATAAGTTAAAAAAACATATGTTTGCAAAAATGTCAAAAAAGGTAGATGTTGACTGTGATTTGGAGCCGCAGTCCATCGCGTTTTCATTGAAAATGCTTCTGTGGCTCCCACAGGAGTCACTGTTTGGTGTTGAGAGGTTTTAGTGCCTCATTTGAAATAAACCACACTCTACTCTATTGGGCTATTGGATTAGTGTCGTCACAGTCAGCAATAATAATTATTAAACTTTACTCGAAATCTGCTTTTTTGTTATTAGTTTATCAGTTTGTGTTTAACCACTCAGGTCGAACACATCTCTTCACTGTTATTGTACAGCTCGTCTGTCATTTTTATCAATTGCAGCTCCTGCAGCAGAAACGATATCAGAGCAATGAGTGTGTAAAGAGTCAGACTCATTTCATCATAAAATGCCTATGCACCAGCAGTGAACTGAACAGGGTTCGGTTGGAAGCAGATCGGGTTTTGTTGAACCGGTTCAGCTGTTTGATGCTGACCCAAATACGAGTGGAATTCACAGACGTCAAAACGGAGCCAACTAAAGAAAAAAGTTTGATAGGTCCGCATTGAACAAGGTGGGAGAAAGCGCCCTGAGAAGACTCTCCATCTCTGACTGTCTGCACTGCGCGCCCGCGACTCAAACCGATGACAGTTAATTAGCCTAGTTGAGGCATTCAGACCGTAAGAGGGTGCTTCACGGCTCACTGGTGGTCCGTGACCCACAGGTTGAGAAACCCTGCTTTAGATGAGCTCCATTAAAGAAAGAAGGTGCTGAATGATACTTAACTAAAAAGCCCAGCTATGTTTTCCATCGACTGCACAAATTGAATTTAAATAGAAAAGGTTTTTTTGTTAACATGCTTAAAATATTACTGACAATTTCCGTTTGCATAGTCTACATTGACAAAGGTTTTTAGAAGCAATGTTTTTTTGTAAAAAAAATTCTTTGGAAGGAGAAAATTGCTGCTTAGTCTTCACTCTTAAGGGTCGCATGTCAGTTTCTGGACATCGATGCTTAAATATGGCAGTATGAGGTGTTCCAGCTATATAATAGAGACCGTTTTGCGCTCTTAGGCAAGTCAGAATTGGCTTAGTTTGTATAAACTTGTATCACTCGTTTCCTCTAAATCTGTGTGACAAGGTGGATTGTTTTTTGCAGTTCTGCATTTTCAAGCCTGAGACTGAGGATTGTGAAATGAGTAAGTGATGCGTTTGGTGCAAGTGTGCAGCAATAGCCTACATCTCAAAGTCTGTCTCTCTGTCTCTCCCAACAGAGAGACTACGGAGGTCCTCTAGCCTGTCAGAACAGCGACTGCTGGGTCCTAGAGGGAGTCATCATCCCCATGCGTCGTTGTGGACACCCCGGCCAGCCCAATATCTTCATCCGTGTATCACTCTACGTGGATTGGATCAAGAAGGTCATGGAGATGGCATAGCTAACATAGACATTTACCATGCTTTATAGTCCACCATTCATCTGATAAAAGCATCTGTAGATATCAGCAGGGGCACCACAAAAAGTACCCGAACGCTACTTGAGTCATAGAAAAGAAACCATGAACATGTGAATTATTATAAGTGAAAGTAAGCACAGTCAGTTCCATAGAGAGGAGATTACTAGAGGGAGAGTCAATGTCTAACTTTAGTAATTACACTTATAAATGTAAGCAAAAGTAAATGTGTAATGTCAGTTTTGACTTTCTAAAAACTATTTATCCTTTATTAAGGTGTTCCAGGGAACCTGTTTCATTGTGCAGCCCCTAGGAGACCCTATTTTTGCTGACTGTCACAGTACCGTCATAGTGTGGCACCATCTGCTGCTTGAGCTGCAGCTGCGAAAGTTTAATAAAAGACATTTTCGTTTCAAATCCAACAGATGGCAATATAATGTTAGTATGTGTTGATATTTCTGTTCATACAGTCAGTTTTCATTATATAATAACTTCGTAGACGTCGTAAAAGTATTTCGTAAGTATCATAAAAGTGTTAGTGAAGTATTAGAGGAAATGTAGACCTAGTAAAATAAGAAAGTAAAAGACGTTGAATATGCTGTTTAAGTAAATCACTTTTGTATGTATACTCTGATACTGTCTAGTGTGACTTCACTATTCCATTCCTGAGTAAATGATAACAGTTTCCATGGCTACTGTTTGAAATCCTTTTGACTTTGATGTGCAATTAGAACAGTTCTTTAAAGTCAACCTGAAGGTAAAACTGAGCATTTTTACCTTGTTAGTTCATGTACCTGGTCATATTAAAGGAGCCCTCTGGCCAAAATGGAAAGTTTAACCATTGTTACATCTGTCTGCTGGCCTCCCACAGCAGTGCCACTGTAGTTTCCAAGGAATCTGAGGTTGAAATAATAATAAATTGCATAATTTTTTCTTTTGGTAAACATTGAAAATGGGTCCCACAGACCTGAACACCACGCAAGGGTTTAAGACGGGAGATGCATAAAGTTCAAGCACATCTCAAACTGCTGTCAAACTTTACCGCTATACCACTATACCTTCAGGTCAGCAACACCCATGAAGACACATAGAAAAAAATGCTGTAAGCAGTCATGGCACATGCCAGCAAATATGTTTTTGTTGGAAAATAGTTTTTCATTTAGGCTGTTGGCGAATGCACGATGGGGGACGTCCACGCTAGCCTGTTGCCTCATGCATGTCGACACGTTTTTGCGCAATGACCAACGTATGACCACAGTTTTCCCCATTTGTCTGAATCATAATTAAATTTTACTTATTATGGGATCCACCAAACCTGCCTGGCGAAGACTAAATCGTTTTTTACTACCTTAATAACACGGTTAAATTATTGAATTAATTAAGTGCAACTGATTAATTAATTACCTGACAAATCGTGGGCTCTTAGACCCAATTGCTATGATTTGTCATCAGTTTCTAAATGTACAAATCATTTATATTCATTCAGATATGAAGTTAAATGACTTCTGACTAGTAATACCTGTGAAAACTGCAGGGATAAACCCCACAACCCCACATTTTAGTGTGAAAATATTATTCATCAATACATATGTCACCTCATAGTCAGACTTTCCACCAGGGGACCCCCTAGAACCTCCACTACAACTCAAACCCTGCTTGTAGTTCTGGAACATCAGTTATAAAATCTTTATAAAAACTTCAGTTTGTAATTATTTATTTACTTTTAAAGTGCTTCTAAAAGTGGTGCAAATAGCGTTCTCATCATTCTCCACAGTCCTTCCTTCTAGGTCTAACCAAGCTTTCATCTGCTGCCCAGCCTCTGATGGCTCCCAGCTCCTTTGAGCAGCAAGCAGAAGTGTGAGCTCTGGCACATTCCTGCTAATCCTATAGGAGGAATTCTGTAAAACCTGGCAGATGAGCCTGGTGGAATTTGGCTTAAACACATCTCAAGCATCCACTGGAACCTTACTTGAGCACTGCAGTGCAACACACACAAACAAAAAGCTAAAGCGCAGTGAGACCCCAACACTCTGATGGAACTGTTGACTCTCATTTTGACCATGAAACTTGTAACACGTGTGTTGAGCGTGGGCGTAACTCACATCTCCGTCTAATGCAAGTGACTCATTAGTTAAAGTCTTGCTTTGTCAAAGCACGAAACGGTCAAGAACTGCAGTGAAGTACCTATTTAGTCATTGCCTGACTTGGCGATTTATCAAAACCATCATAAAAACATACTTCAATACAACGAAATCTACCCTAGTACATTTCGCTTGGCTTATCTGGTAGATTTCCAATGATTTCAGCGTACCTCCACCTCCTGATCACTGGCTAAATCTCTTTCAACTCAAAGTAGTGCACTTCACAGGTCCTGATGCAATGATGTTTTACATCCAAACTATAGTGAACTATATGCTCAGCAAGGAGCCATTAGTCAGTGTGAACGTTTCATACAGCCTGCAGTCTCAAAGCGTATACCTACTGGATATCTTGTGTTCTACCATGTCACACTAAATAGCATTTCATTCTTAAAAATGTAATTCTTAAAAATCTAAAATTTAGGGAAACAATTTAAAGGGGAATTCAACTATGTTTTCTAAATGTCTGCATAATTCAGTTTATAGTGCATTCAGTGCATTTATAGAGAAACTTATGGACTCTGATTTATTTACAGTGGTGGTGATAGGAACCAGGGAATCCTGATGTCTGTAACACAAATATAGCCATTTAATTTAATATCCAAAACCACCAACACACACAAGTCTTCTTTGGGGAATATTTTTGCCTTAGAACACTTTTAATGTATCACTCCACCATGAACAGATTAGAATAAATTGATTAAAATACGTTTTATCAAAACTACTGTAAAACAATGCTACGTTCACATTAACAGATTGAAGTGGCACTAATCCGATTTTTTGCCCTAATGTGACTCAGATCTGATGTTTTCAGGGCTGTGTGGACACAAATGTGATCTTTTCAAATCCGACCTGAGTCACTTTAGCTACGTTCACATTACAAGCCTCATTGCTCAAATCCGATTTTTTACTCAAATCCGATATCTCTCACAGGATGGTTTACACTCGTTTAGGTAAGTGACTCAAATCTGTCATTAATGTGACGAACCGGCGTCCTGAAATGACCCTCATGAGCACCTTTGAGCAGCCTTTTATTTAATTCTTTAAATCTTTATTTGCATTTACAATTTTCTTTTTCATGTTTTGCTTGTGAATTTTTTTCTTATTTTATTTAAAACACATTAAAACAAATTCTCACAAATAGACTCACCAGTGATGGTCATTGCTTGAAAAGAAAAGATGCCCAATGATCTTTCATTTGGGCAAACTGTCAATAACTTTTCTCTCAAAGTTGACCAATCCATGAATAAATTCGTTTTGAAATTATAGCTTGATAGCATAGCAAGTGCATTGAGCCTCTGTTGCCCCGTGATGTTGTGTGTAAAAGTCTTAATGCATTGTTTTCGTGTTTGGTCAGTCATTGTTTCAAATCCTTGAATCCTGTTGAAAGCAGGTTGAACATGCACACAGTTTCTTCAGCTGCTTACTTGGTTAAGCGAATGCTGACAGGCTGACCTCATGCTCACCAAACGAAGCCTGCTAGGAGAAGTACTGGTGTTTATGCAACAGGTGCAGGAAGATATCTGGAATTTGATCATACAGTGCTACCATTGTCATGTGTAATAAATGCACAACCATGACAATGCGACATCTGGTGGGACCAGGTCACACTGGCACTTAACATAGAGACACCCCCGCTAATCAGCCAATGGTGTGGCAGCAGTGCAGTGCATAAAATCATGCAGATATGGGCAGCAGCTTCAGGTAATTTTCACCATCAGAACGGGGAAAAAAATGTGATCTCAGTGATTTTGACCGTAGCAATCATGCCACGGTCAAAATCACTGAGATCACATTTTTTTCATGCACGACAGTCTCTAGAGTTACTCAGAATGGTGCAATAAAGAAAAACGTCCAGGGTGTGGCAGTTGGTGGTAGGGTCAGAATGTGGTGCCAACAGAATCCATGGACCCAATCTGCCTTGTGTCAACAGTCCAGGCTGGTGGAGGTGGTGTAATGATGTGGGGAAGGATTTCTTTGCACACTCTGGGCCTGTTAATACCAATCAATCATCACTTGAATGCCACAGCCTATTTGAGCATCATTGCTGACCATGTGAATCCGTTCATGGCCACAGTTTACCATCTTGTAATGGCTACTTCCAGCAGGATAATGAACCATGTTATAAAGGAAAAGTCGTCTCAAACTGGTTTCATGAACTGGACAGTGAGTTCAGGGTTCTTCAGTGGCCTTCCCAGTCTCCGGATCTGATTCCAAAAGAACACCTTTGGGATGTGGAAGAACATGAGATTCACAGTATGAGTGCACCTGAAAAATCTGCAGGTAACGCCTGATGCAATCATGTCAACATAGACCGGAATCTCAAAGGAACATCTTTTGTAATCCATGCCACGAAGAACTGAAGCTGTTTAAAGGGAAGCCATACCCAGTATTACTGTAATGTTCCAAATAAAGTATTCAATGAGTGTTTGTTGGAGACCCCACCATGATTTACTGAACAGCTTTTAAGAAGACATAGCTGGTTATATCAAAGGACATGGATGATTAATGATGATGATGATTAATGATGATTAATGGATGAGATGCTAACATGGTTGGTTGAACAGAAGACCAAATAACGAAATGAATGGACAGAGAAAATGTTAACGTAACCTGTTGGATGAATGAAGAAACAAACAGACTGACCAACAAATGGACAAAATGCTGGCATGATCTGCTGGATGAAAAACAAACAAAGGAACTGACCAATGTATGGACAGAATGCCGGCATGACCAGTTGGACAAACGAACAAACTGACGAATTAACTGACTGAACACTGGCGTAACTGATTGGATGAATGAATAAACTCACGACTGAATGGACAGAAGGGTGCCATGACCGGTTGGATGAACACATGAATTGACAAACAAACATGTACCATGACCAGCTGGATGAACGAACAAACAAATGAATAGACAGATTGCTTGTATGACCAGTTGGGCACACAAACGAACTGACGAACAAGCGGACAGAACGCTGACATGACGGGTTGGACAAACCAACAAACAGACGAATGAACTGACTGAATGCTGGTGTGAGCTTAGTGGCATGTTGTACCTCATTCCAAAAGCAGTTTGGGCTAAAACATTCTTCATAACTTCAGTGTCAGTGGGCGGGGCTAAATTGCTGTAGGCTGAACAAAAGGCCGCTTGTAAAACAGTCACAAAAACATTGAATTCATAAAGGGCTGTTTTTGCAGCTTCATTTCTATACATGGGTTGTATTAACTGGGGAGTGAACAGTGTTTTGAAACCTTAATAGTGTTTCCATACCACGTCAAACTCTAAACGAAATTGAGAAAAATGAATCTAAGCAGCACAAAATAACACTTTTAGGTTCCCTGGGGCTTCCTTCCTCATCCCAAATTCTCAAATTAAAACACACTATATGGACAAAGTATTGGGACACACACCTCCTAATTATTGAGTTCAAGTGTTTCTGCCACACCCTTTGCTAACAAGTGGATAAAATTAAGCACTTAGCCTTGCAGTCTCAATAGACAAACAATGGCCAGGACTGTGGTGCAGCGGAAACGTGTTCTGTGGAGTGATGAATCACGCTTCTCTGCCCGCCAGTCTGATGGACGAGTCTGGGTTTGGCGAATGCCAGAAGAACGTTACCTGCCTGACTGCATTGTGCCAACTGTAAAGTTTGGTGGGGGAGGGATGATGATATGGGGCTGTTTTTCAGGGGTTGGTCTAGAACCCTTAGATCCAGTGAAGGGAAATCATAATGCTTCAGGACACCAAGACATTTTGGACAATTCTATGCTTCCATCTATGTGGGAACAGTTTGGCAAAGACCCTTTTCTCTTTCAGCATGACTGAGCCCCAGTGCACAAAGCAAGGTCCATAAAGTGCATGGCTGGGTGAGTTTGGTGTGGAAGAACTTGACTGGCCCTCACAGAGCCCTGACCTCAACCCCATCAAACACCTTTGGGATGAGCTAGAATGGAGCCAGGTCCTCTCGTCCAACATCGGTGTCTGACCTCACAAATGCGTTTCTGGATGAATGGGGAAAAATTCCCACAGACACTCCAACATCTTGTAGAAGCTTCCCAGAGGAGTGGAAGCTGTTATAGCTGCAAAGGGGGACGAACTCCATATTAATGTCTATGGATTTAGAATGGGATTCAGAAAAGCTCCTGCGGGTGTAAAGTGTAGGTGTCCCAATATAGTATGTCCATATAGTGTATTTTGGTCTATGTCCAACATAAACAACACATGGAATAAATAATCACATATGTTCAGTTATTCCAAATATCTCCTCAAAGTTAAACCCCCACCTGGAACCTCTAGAATTATTGGACTGAGTAGTGTCCAGTAGTCTTATTTAGTTATTTATTTGGACCAGTTTCACTATGAATGCATACTAATCTTTCTATAGTTTTTCAGCGCACTACTGAGAGCAGAAGTACTCGATTTGGGACACAGCTTCCCACCCTAGCGTTGTATTGAAGCATAAGTGGGCGGGGTTTGTACAGCACAGGGCGTTACAATCTCTCACTGCAGGTCATAAGGACTCGCAGAGATGCCACAAGCAATTATTCAGACCTCATGGAGAATAAGGACGAACGATAGTCTTCATTTCAGTGGACAAACGTCTAGTGGTAAATCAAAACATCTCATATGTTTGCAGCTGAGCAGAACAGGCGATGAGGCAATGAGCTTAGTTCCTCTCACAGAGCAGCTGAAGTAAACAGTAGTATCCGGGTACTTACAAACCGTACTCAATTAAAGGTAGAGTGGTATAAAGGGCACAGTCGCAGGTTGGTAGAGACTGCTTTGGCTTTTTTGTCTGTACTTGTTAGGTTAAGGCTTTAGAATGCTCTGGTTATGAGTTTAGGGTGAGGCTGACAGGTATCATCACTAAAAACCTAAAGACGATGTTGAAATGTTCCGTTCCACCTTAAATGGTTGCGGTTTAGCGCCCAGGGTTCAGGTGTGAGCTGCACCATTTAAGTTGGAATGGAGAATTCGAAGAAGAAGACTTCAGTTTCGTCTAAAAAACACTTTTAGTCCATCGCCTCAGCTTTATTTCAGCACTTAATTCTCAAAAAGCATCGTTTTGTATCATATTCCAGAAGCAGGATGAGGAATAGTGAGCTAGTGCACATGTTTTCATCTATACCTCTAAAGCTGTTCACTTCAGGTCTTCTATAATGCTGTTTTGCTCCTGCATGCTGCCAGTGTTTTCAGTGCTGGGCGATATATCACCTATACCAGTAAACCATGATACTGATACACCGATGTTACTTTTCAGTTTAGTGATATTTTTTGATATAACTATTGTTTTTTTTAGATTTAGCTATTTTTAAAATATTTTAGCTACACATTTGATCAATAATGAGCATTATATAAATGATATGATCAGTGATATCAGTGATATAATGCCCATATCACTGTTGTAAACAAAGCATATGTTTGCTTTCTAATTCTGTTGTGTTCCCCTCTATGATATCAAGGACCTCCATACAAATGAAATGAATGGTGAGTTTCTTATCAGGACAGCTGTGCAGTGTCTGGTTAGCGTTTACAATGCTGTGTAAAGTTCATTTCAGTGTAGTTCTAGGAGAAGCATGTCAGGTTTGCACGACGCTTGTTTGGTGTTGAGTGGCGTGAATTTATTCATGGCATTAATGCAAACTCATCTGACACTGTTATGGTGTGATGTATCTGAGAAATACTCTGGTAATGACTGATCAGCGTTAAGTATTTCCATACTTAGTGTAATACATGCTCACATTGCTTAGCAAAGTGTTGCAGCTGCACAGTAAGAATGTGAACTGTGCTACATTCGGAACAGAGCAGGAAAAAAACATGAATATCTGCTCTCCAGAGCTTCAGTTTGACACTCCTAAAGGAATGTTTCTGCAAAAAAATGTAATGTGCATAGCTCCAAGTTAATGCAATAGTTATCTATGACACAGAAAAAGATTTTGGGTGACATAGACTTAGCTCCATCAGCCTCTTAGCTGCAGTGCAGAACTAAAGAAGCAAACCTTAGACACCAAACATGTCCTGCCTGATGAACTACATTTACACCACACTATGTAAATTTGAGTTTTGGTGAACTGTTCCTTTAAAGTCTTGCTGGACTGTTGGAAACAGGCCTGGTTATCTAATCTTTCCTAAGACTCTGTATTAATTTGTTAGGAATGGGCAGTGCATTCAAATTCCACAATGTCCAGAAGGCTCAATAACACAATTAATGAGTTATTCATAGACCAGGGTGATGTGGTAGCATCAGTGTCAGTGCTGTACGTGTGTAACAGGCCACTGCCTCAAACATGGGAGCAGCTTGACAGACACACTGAAAGATATACTGGAGCGTTTGAGCAGAACAACACTAATATCTTTTTCTCAGATTGATGGTCATGGATGGGGGTTAAGCCTGAGTGGGTTAGTGTTAGAGCGAGGCTGTGGAGCTCCGTCCACCTCACACCAATTCAGATGTGGTTTCAGATCCAATTCCATGCTTCAAAAGCATTTCACACATGGCTTTGTGGTTCAGAGGCATAGAAGATTCCTGTACCTAGGCTCTTTTTTCCATTCCTTCATCCAATTTTTTGTCCCATCCACTAATGCCTCCACTTCCTCACATCCCCATCAGGGCCGTGTGTGCGGAGTCCATGCCTGTGTGAGGTGAAGTGTGGGAAGGATGGAAGAGGAGATGAGAGGAGCAGGAGGAGAGGAAGTGGCCACTGCACCAGCTGAAGGTCCAGCAGCGCCGAAACGAGGGAGGGGCCGACCCCGCAAACAGCCACAGGTTTTACAGCATCTCAGCTTGTACTTATAGCCAGTCAAAAGTTGCGTTCTTTTTTGAAATGTCTCGCTGCACTTTCTCATTGAAGTATGAAAAAATACCCGCAAAAAGAGCAGCTAATACTTCAACAGTCATGATCATCAAAGTGTCTTCTTTGGTTTGAAGAGCAACTTTTGCCTAAATAAAGATTTGACAGTTTTTTTCCAAGCTGCTGTTAAAAGCACATTTTGAAACTCTTCAGGTCTAAAGGTAGTTCAAAGGGGAATTCCACAGATTTTTCAGAATTTCTGTATAAGTCAGATCGGTGTAAACAAAGTGATTCAGAGTGGTTTGATGTGAAATAGTTCTTTGAAGAGAAACTTACTGACTCAGATTTTGTTAATGTGGTGGTTTTACATTTATCTTTTTTTAAAGGTAAAATAGAGGTAAATCTGAAAAAATGATTTCAAATGATCTCAAAACTGTCGTGAAACAATATCTCTGGTGTCAGGTGGAGTATTATAACCGTTTCCTTTAATAACCTATATTATACAACAGTTAGTTCCGGCCACACAAGCTGATTGGTTGAGAAGCGTTCTAGCCGTGCTGTTATTTCGCCATAACATCACGGGTTTTCACAAACACTGTATCACTCTGCTGAGACGCCGTTGCTAAGCAACGACTTTGACAGCTGTAGGAGACGCTCAAGACATTTAAACGTTCTTACTTTGCCATAAACAGAAAATGGATACTATTAAGATCACATTTGACTGACAGCCGATTTGGTCAGACTCTGAAGATGAGACGACACTAAATTCCCAAACTGTCATCATCACTGAGCAGCTTTTCAGTCGGCAGCTGTGACAGAAGAACAGCTAATCAACCTGGAATCAGCCAGAAATGAACCCAACACTATTCGCCAAACTAAATGGGCTGTAAGATGCTTTACAGACTGGCTGGAACAAAACAACATCAATATTGATCTGGCAAAAACTGACAAAACTGAGCTAAACTTGATATTGGGTCAGTTTTATGGCTCAGCTCGTCGTTCAGAAGGCGAGGCTTACAGCAGACTGTGCAGCAACTGAGTGGAGTTCATTACTCTGACGTAGCAACAAGCTGCTTGTTAAGGAACTGTAATTTGGTGAAGGAACTGCGAACATTAAAACATATTACACTCCGCCTTCACGGCCCAGTTTATTTATTTCTTACTTTATTTATTTAACTGTTGTATAAAAGCAATAGAACACTCAAGGGCATGTGTTATCGCGAGCAGCCGTGATGTTATTTCATGATAGCACACTCCCTCTCGTGTTCTGTTGCTTAAATAACATTTGGTAAGGTAGATTTTTAGAGGGATTAAACTCTTCAGACGTCTGGTTCCTATCACCACCACTGTGAACAATTCTGACACTCTAAAAATGTTACCTTTTCTAGAATGGAGCATTTCACATCAAACCATCCTCAATGACACTGTTTACACTGTTTACATCTTAATGATAGAATTATACAGAAATTTTAAAAAATCAGTGGGATTGCCCTTTGAAATCTTTGTGTCTCCCAAACAGCTTTTACCCTGAGCTGAACACTGAAATGTGATGAATATGATCTTTTAGGAGCCTGTTGATCCTGCTGCTCCCAGAAGGCCGAGGGGAAGACCCAGAGGGAGTAAGAATAAGGCTCATCGTGCTACCATAGTAAGGAAAACCCCTGAATCTTAATTTGAATCTCTGTTTTCGATGTTTTCAAATGTCTTTGTTTCATCATTTACCTTTTCGTCTTTCTCTCTCTGTATGATAAAAGGTAGAGCCACCAAGGCAAAGGAGACCTCGAGGCCGACCAAGAAAATGGGTCAGTTTCTCACAAACAACATGCTCACTTCTCAATAAATGTCATAGTACACTCATAGTACACTTTTACATAACCCCCACTCACTCTCACTACCTCTCACTCTGTCTCTAATTTACAGCCTCAGAAATCAGTTCAGCAAGAACAACAGCAGGTGAGATAAACTCCTGTCTCAAAATCAAAACCGTTTATTAGCCAATAGAAATCAGTACAGAATGTGCAATATTGTATAAGAGCAGGTGGCAAAGTCTGCAGGAGATGCTTTAAGCAGCAGCTGTCTTAAGTATTAAATATGTGCATAAGAATGAATAGACAGTGTTTGTAGTGAGCTGTGCTCTCATTGTGCACAACACTGTGTGCGTTTATTCATTATCCAGATAGATGGAGAGATACATGCATACATCCATATATACATACATACCGTAAAGGGCCCACGTCCTTCATTTCATTTGTCTTGTGTTTCATATTTCTCCACTTGTGACATTTGTGTTATGTAACAAAAACAGTCATAATTAATATTTACAGGACCGCTTTCCAGCCTCTCTTTATCTCCTAGAATTAAACAGGCTGTTTTTGTTACTGTACCTTTAAGACCGGTATATGTAAACGTTTGCATTCTGATTGGCCCCCTTGTGTATTGTGTTTCATTCAAAAAGCAGTCCAAGCTGAAACACTTCTTATAACTTCAGCTTGAAGCTATAGCTAAACAGAACTGCTGCAGGCTCAATAGGCAGAAATAGATGTAGATGTCTTGGATTTTGTGACATCAAAAAAACTGTGCATTCAAAACAGGTTGTTTATGCAGCTTAGTTTTCATACATGAGTGCAATAGTAGTTTTTGAAACTTTTTGTTAACCAAAATGCGAGCGATGGTGTTTCTGTGCCTTACTGAGCTGTTTGAGCACTTTCCATTTAGAGAAGCTGAAGTCTTTTCGGTCTCTGTAAGAGCTGAAAAGAGGCAGTGTTTCTTTTAAAAATTCTCATCTCCTCCTCAGTCCAGCTCTACAGCTCCGCCATGCTGTTTGTGTTTGTTTGTGAGGCACGTGAGGGAAGTCTGTCACATGACACAAAATTCATACATAACTGTGTTCGTTGTCCAGGAAATAGGTTTCCAATGTAGGTTTTCATAACATTTCAGGTATCATAGGACAGTTTATCCACCGAAGCTGAACAGAAAACAAATTCAGATATATATTTAAATAAAAAGATGTAGTTGAATCATTAGTATGCAAACAAAATCATTCAGAGTGGTTTGGTGTGAAATGCTCCGTTCTAGAGAAACTTACAGAGTCAGAATTGTTCAGAGTGGTGGTGATGGGAACCAGACGTCTGAGGAGTTTAATGCCTCTAAAAGCTCCCTCACAGAAGGTTATTACATGAGATGATTATGAGCACACACAGAAATTATTTTGACCTAAATGCATTTTTTAAATCCACTTATGGCTTTGAGGTACATGCAGGGCATTGTAAGGCATCTTTTCAGATTTTTCACTATTTTACCATCATCAACATTACACATATAAACTCAGAAGACACGTAGGTTTATTAATTGTTTTGGAGAGTAAATAAAATGGCTGTATTTGTGTTGTACACATTCCTGCCACCAACACTGTAAAGAATTCTCTCTGCAGTTAGCCGTTTCACATCAGACCACTCTGAATTAGTTCAAAAACAATGCAGAAATATTTGAAAATCAGTGGAATTTCCCTTTAAGGTGAACATCTAAAAATAGGCTATCATGCTGAAACTACTTAAACACTCTGCTACCCCACACAAAGAAATACACAGCTAACAACATCACATCATATAGAGTGAGGGAGTGCTGTTACAGGACTGGATTTTTTCCCTTCGATTTCAAACCCCACAATTTTCGCTGATATTAGGCTGATACTTGGTAGCAGATCTGTGCCATCTTTAAAAATGGTACCAACAATAACAAAAGAAGCACTGTGCAGATGTACATGCACTAGGAAAAAGCATATACATGGTAGATAACAGCAGTCTGATTAAAATGTCCATGCAGATGAGAGTTTGGCATGATTGATCATGATTGAGACACCACTTTGGTGCGAAAAGGGCATTTCCATGTCAGGACTCCAGTGAAAACAAACGCTAGCATACTGCTAACGGTGCATTTCAGCTGGTTTAACCCCTTTCGTTCCCTTCACGAGGATTGTTCGGTTAGTTGTCTCTCACATGCCGCAGGACTCTCTACAGTGAAAGCTGGCTATGAGTTGAAGCTGTTCAAAAACTCCCCTTTTACTCATAGACGTACAGATAGCAGACTGGGACAGGAGCCGAATGAGTCAGTAGCTTTAAGGGAAACTGAACCCGGCCGTTATCCTCCTTTCTTGGTTTCCTGTCCCCAACTGTCAGCCCTTTTTTTCAGTGTCGCAGACACGCGAAGTTCATTCCCACGCATGTGCAATCATGCTCTGCTCCATAACTTTCCTTTCTCCCGCACTTAGCCTGAGGAAAGAGAGGAGGAGCCAGAAGAGAAGGAGTCTACTGAGATGCCGCCCCCATCATCACCACAGGAGCGCGTCTAAAACGACCCCACTGGTTCATCCGAGTCTCCAGTGTGCGCTACAGGCAACTTTTTTTCCCACACATTTTGTGTATCTCACCTTTTCTTTGTTTACAAAAACAATATCAGAATTAGACAAAATTCCCAATGCAGCAATAACATATCCGTAACTTCAACCAATCAGGGAAAAGTAAATTACTCTGAACTACTGAATTCGAGTTCTGTGGTCTGCATGTAATATTAGGCTATGATTACAGTAGAGTCCAGAGGTACAGTCATATGCAAAAGCTTGAATACCCCCTCTACGGAGGACATGGTAACACTTTATTTGGAGTGGTTCTTTGTAGATGATTAATAAACTCTTAACAGACTATCAGTAACACATCAACAACATATCAGTGAAGTAGCTGTAGTGAAGCATCTGAATACACTGAAGTAAATATCTTGTAGATGTTCTGTTGATAAATTACTTACATTAAGTAGATGTGTTGTTAATCTGTTACTTACATTACACAAAACCTAACTTTACCCAACTTCACCAAACCCTAATCCTAACCCTGGCCCTAATCCTAACCCTAACCTTAACCACAACCTCAACCCAAAGCCTAATCCTAACCCTCATATGTTTTTGACATGTTATTGAGTCTGTTGAGTGTTTGTTTCATCTAAAAAGGTCCACTCAAAATAAAGTGTCACTTAAATAAGGCATTTTTCTGCAAATTTTAATGCACAATTACTATTTTCTTTTCACATATTAGAAAAAAAAACATAAAATAAAAAATGTACCATAACATTTGTATTATATTTAACCCCCCGACATGTTAAATTCAGCAAATAAGCAGTGATTGTGCATTCAAATGTGCAGAAGTGTGTTCTCTTTAGAGGACAGATAGTTTGAGCAGGGGTGCCCAAACTTTTGCATACAACTGTATCTGATGTTCTATTTGAAGTGATACCAAACATAGATCTTTTCAGGTTGGTTTGAACCACATTTATATTCCAACACACATATATCTTCAATATCTGTAGGAAAAAAAACTTTTTTGTCATTTTAAAATTGTTTTACTTGATTAGAAAAGGCAGCTGCTTATTACATTGTGTGAACACTTCATAACAAACGAATCAGATCTCACATTAAAATCTTCTTGGTTTAAGGAATGGTTTCCCAGACAGCCTAGTCCTGGACTGCGCAGCATTCTGAAGGGAAATTCTCCATTGAAAGGAAAATGTAGTCCAGGACTAGGCTTAATCCCTGCTCAGGAAACAAACACTCAACCTTGAGGACGTTTTTGCTTTCTCCTGTAAAGTTATCATTTTGGAGCTGTGAAGTCTTTTTTTCCGACAGCGACGAAATGCACAAAGCTGATAATGTGAATAAATTGATAAATATGTCTAGTAAATGAGATAAGACGATTGGATTTAGGGGCTTTAGAGGATTAGGGGGTTTCTAAAGGTAGACCTAGACGGGCTCAGCAATTTTCTCATATCTGACTTGTCTGGTTTGTTCTTTGAAGGCTTAACAGTAAACAAAAAAACACCAAACCTAGTTGTTTCAGTTTTCAGCTCAACCACATCTACAAGCATGTCAACTAGTCCCCACACAGCCATGATGTGAGATTAGCACTTGACTGATATGAATATTTTGTGGCCGATACCAGTACTGATCGGTATCAAAGTTCTGATAACCAGTAATATTGGTAGATATAATTGTACATTTAGGTTTAAGGCTCTAATTATATGTTACATGGTGGTGTTTAAGTTCACCAGTTCAGCCTGTATTGCTCTTATGTGGTTAAGCATGCATGTCTCATTTTTTTCTCAATGACGTAAACATGTAATCAAAAGAAAAGTCTTTAATTATCAGTTTGTTGGCGTTGATGTATATAAAACACAGTAATGACAACATCAGCCACTATTATCTGCCAATATTATCAGACAGCCAATATATCAGTCGGACCCTGCGTGAGATGTTATAGTACAATACAGTTGTATGCAAGAGCTTAAACACCCCTGGTCAAAAGATTTTCTGAGGTATATAAGTTAATACATCCTCTACAGAGAACACACTTAACCCTTGTGTGGTGTTGATGTGTTTGTTACTCAGTGGTCTGCTGGACCCACCGCATTGTTTTTTAAATCAATACAACCATAACAATTTATGTAAAAATACCAGATGTTTAAAATATCACAAGTGGCCAGCTTAGGGTTCTCCTTTAGCAGCTGTAGCCAGTCAGCAGCCTGTCCATGTTGCCCACCCTCACACACACACACACACACACGCACACACTAATAGCAGGCCATGTAGGAGGAGAACAGAGTGAAGGACACAGCACCTCCACACTTTTATTCCCCGCAGGTTCACCCCAACACCACATGTGTAATCTAAATGTGTGGGGGGTGAACAGAGTGAAGGCACTGAAAATGTGTTATTTTATATGTTCTTCACCGAAAATCAGCAACGGCCATGGTATCTGCGGTCAAAATAATAATAAATCGCATCATTTTTTTTTCGGTAAACATTGAAAATGGGTCCCACAGACCTGAACACCACACAAAGGTTAAATATGGCATTTTTCTGCACAGTTTTAACATAAAGTATAAAATGTGCAGAAGTGTTCTCTGTGAGGATGTGTTCACTTATTTTCACTTTGAAAAAAACAACAAAACATGGAATTTGACTGGGGCGCCCAAACTTTTGTATACGACTCTATAGTACAAATATGATGCTGAATGCTTCACCACTGTCGCCACTCATGTGTCTTTGTTGCTGTTGTTTTATTATTAGTGGAGCTAATTCACTAATCCAGACTGTACTGTACTCATTTTGTCCTTTAGCCACTGGGTTACAGTGGTTACAGTTTAGAGTTTTAGCGCTCATTGGTTTGGATTCTGTGAGCCGGACTTTCATCTGTTACTTGTCAGATTGCACTGTTCAGTACCGTCTTTTTGCAAGTATTATTATTTTTGTTACTATTCTTACAATGATTATTTCTGCTAACAGGTCCTTTTCTAGTTCAGTTCAAAGGCTTTGCTCAGGATGTGCTTTCAGTGATCATAAACCAAAGCTTGAAAATGACTTGTTTACAGTTTCTATAGGGTGAATTTGTCGGTAACACTTTATTTGAAAGGTGTCTACATAACACATTCATAAGTAACATATCACATAAACACTTCATAACATGTTAATGAGTGGTTAAATTAAATTAAAGTGTACATGTTTTACACAATATTAATATGTACTACTTTGTAATTTAAGATACATTTTTAAAAATAAAAATCCACGTTTTTTTGTTTTGAAAAAGTACAGTATTTTCAGTAAAACGGCTTATTTCTGGACAGCCAAAATTAAAATGACCTCCCTTTATCCCTCTGGTCATTAAGTGCTTTGACATTCAGACATGTTTCATCTTTGCTTTCAATCTGTTTTTTCTTAAGCATTTGTTGCTTTGCATGTCACTTTACTAGGTGGACAGTCAGTTACTCCTAAATATGCTTAGGAACAATCAATTGCCTGAATCTTAGTGTGGTGTTGTGCCTAAATGTCAAAGCATTAATGACCAAAGGGGGAAAGTGAGGCCATTTTTATTTTGGCTGTCAAGAAATGAAGCATTTTACTGAGAATAAAATAACTTAAAAAAAAAGAGAACTCTTATTTTGAAAAAAAAAAGACATAATAGTCCTTATTAATATCATCTATCATGCATACGTGTTGTATGCTTTATAAACGTTGATTTAAACGTTCATGAACGTTATGAAGTGTTTATGTAAGATGTTATGAATGTGTTATGTAGACACTCTTCAAGTAAATTGTTACCAATTTGTCTTTATAATCACTATGGCTGTGCTACTATGACTGTACTGTTTTTTTTTTGTATCACTGTTTACAACTGAGTGAGTAATTGAATATTTAAACTGATGAAATTACGGTGAATTTTTATATAGTATTCGTTTAAACATTGAATACTATGTGATGACAGTGACAATGAAAAGGATGTTTTTTGTTATAAAACGTAGTTGCTTAGTGCATTTTCTGCTGATACCTGTACAACTTGACACAATACTGTATTAGATCTTACGCTAACAAAACCAGGAAAGGTTTTAAGCAGAAAAAAGGATTAGCTTTATGTTTACCACTGAAGTACTGTTTTCATTGTTTGTCACTGATCAAATTGGTGCAAGCCGGTAGTGAAGTAATGAAGAACGGGACACAGTTTCTTATTACTTACATGCTTAAATGCATATACCTCTGGAATATGACTGTAATGTCTTTTCTAACAGTTTCTGTAGTGTTGCTTTGCTTTTTTACTGTTTTAGCGTCACTCTGCTTTTCTAATGAGGAAGATTGTTCTCACAAAATGTCAAACATTGTGCTGAAGATATTCTTTATATGGTCTGTCATCAAATGTCGTCTGTTCCTTTAATCCTCCACCTTTTGATACTACATCAGTTGACTGCTGCATGAACTGTAGACAACACAACACATCTATACATTGTTGAATATGTTATGAAGACTTTCTGACATTGACATTGACATTTTACACTGTATGAAAGGTTCCAGAACGTTATGCCTCATGAACTCAGCTCGGGTAAAAATGCAGCAGGAGGTTTAATCCCATTCGTAACTGTTGAGATCGAGTGATTATTTTTCTTTACCTCATTTTTGTGCTTTCTCTCATATGGTTTTAACAAAGTAGTGAATAAAGGCACTATAAAAAGTCTGTGTATTGCGTTTATCATTTCTTGGTTTTTACGGTTGGAACCCAGAAAAGGGACCCAGTCCATCTTTTCTGAGGCCTGTTCAGTAAATCGGTAACACTTTGTTTTGAGTCCACTGTAGATTCTTTGCTTGTCTTCAACTAAATCTATAATAAATGGGAATTTCTCCCATTTCTCTAAATTTCTGAATAATTCAAGTATTGATATGTTAACAGAGCCTTTCAGAGTGGTATGATGTGAAATGGTCCATTCTAGAGAAACGTATTGACTTGATTTCTTTACAGTGGTGGTGATAGGAACCAGGGGTCACCATATCTACAACACAAATATAGCCATTTTATTTACTATCCAAAACCACCAGTGGACCTACATGTCTCCTAAGTTTTGTTTATTTTTCCTTAAAACACATATGGACCTCTCTGCCGTTGATGTGTTTTTAGGCCAAATCCTTCTACCGCAAAACAATGTCTCAGGCATCAGTCAGCATATTTGTAAGAATTTCATTTAATAACTTTTAGAGCTTTTAGAGGCACTGAACTCTTCAGATGTCTGGTTCCTATCACCACCACTGTGAACAATTCTGACTCACTAAATTTTTTATAGAACAGATAATTTCACATCAAACCACTGCTCATCTTAGTTATGCAGTAATTTAGAAACATTAGTGGAATTCCCCTTTGTGTGCAGTGAACTTGAACAAATAGATTCTATGAAATCTATCTAAACCTAACCCGCAGCCTTAACTTTAACTCCAAACCTAAAACTAATCCTAAACCTAACACGTAACATTCTCACCTAACATCAATGAGAATCAGCCAGATAGTTCACAGTAGTAAGCCATGTCTGTTAGAGCTATGCTTTCAGTTTAAATCATAAAGTCAAAATGAGTCACAATAATGATCATTACCGCTAGCACCCCTATGGGATTCTAATAGCATGTTAACACTAAGCTAACAGTGACTAACACAACCTTTTTTTTGCTGTTCTAGATTAAGCATAAAAATTTGAAGCTAATAAAAGATATTCTGTATGCTTTATTTGTAGCTTGTAACAGACATAACAGACATTTTTGGTCTATAAATGGCCTTATGGGAGGCCCAGCGTATTTATGTGATATGCTGCAGAGATATAAGAACTCTCAGATCATTAGAAACTAGTCAGTCCTGCCTAAAGTAAAGACTAAACATGGAGAAGCAGCGATTAGCCACTATGCTGCTCTTAAATGGAACCAGTTGACAGACAGCATTAGAAGAGCCCCAACACTGGACACTTTTAAATCCAGGCTGAAAACACACCTATTTGAGCAGCTTTCAGCTCAGTTTAAACTCTGTTAGCTCTACTGCACTTCTGTGCTGTAACGGCACTTTATTATCCTAATTAAATGTTCTTTTTGATTCATTTATTTATTTTTCATTTGTTTAATAGTCAATTTCTTTTCTTTTAAATCTATTTTTATAGTCATATTTTAATTACGTTTTTAATTTCTATTCTCCTACATCTTGTTAAATTTGAATTTGAATTTGTATTTTCTCTTTTGTAAAGCACTTTGAATGACCAGAGTATGAAAGGTGCTATATAAATAAATTTGCCTAGTCTTGCTTATTAACATATATTTTACTTTTTTCAGAAAAAAAGTTCCAGTTCTAGCATCTAACTGAAACCTGGTTAGACTATGGCCCATATTCACAGTCAGTAATGTGTCTAGAACTTTCAGAAGGCCTGGAGTGGCATTTTTCCACTGTCAGTTCATGATTATGTTAGTGGTCACTATGACATGTTAGGCCTTCAGTTCAGCTCCGGTTCAAGTCCTCACCAGTGGGAGAGCTCACTTGACCGTTGTCTTGGTTCCCCTCAAGGTTTCTTCCTCTTGCTCTTAGGGAGTTTTTCCTTACTACTGCCGCCAATGGCTTGCTCATGGGGGCTTGGACCCTGGATTTTTCTGTAAAGCTGCTTTGTTACGATGCCTCTTGTAAAAAGTGCTTTATAAATAAACCTTGACCGCTCTCTGAAGGTCTAGAAGGCCTTGAGGGTTCCCCACTGTCTGTTAACAATTAAAGCTTAACTGTAGATAATTATAGGGGACTCTAAAAATGAAGTGTGACAAATTTTTCAGTAATAAATGCAACAAAAGTCCATGAACAGTCCACATATTTTTGCTTTTATTATTTCTCGTGTTCATACACTTAAAAAACACTGCCTAATCTCTCTGTTGCCAGTTTGGAGAGGGTGGAGGGGGATAAAACATTCACAAACATGAAGTGAACTTATTTTCTTCTATTCCCTCATTATAAATTCCTGGTAACAGATCCATTTTGATCCATGTTTCTAAGTTCAGTGCCTGAACAGTCCTGGGGTGCCTCTGAATGTATACCGGCCAGTGCACACATCACTGATTGTGCAGGGGAGTAAGTAGACACAGCACACACGCTTTGGAATAGTAGGAGCTGGAAGCACACAGTGGAGAAGGATATATCAGAAGCAGATAGAGAATGCCTCATATTTCCCTTTCAGCAGTCTCCATTTCCACGTCCCACAGTCCTCCAAGGTCTTTGGACTGTAATCCCCCCTGACCCCTGGCCCAAAGCCTTCCTTTGAACAGAATCCCGCTCCAAAGGGGTCGTAATGGTAGTCTGTCGCTATGGCATTGCTTGATAAACTGTGATGGAAGTCCAGTCTTCCCACACAGCGCCGGCTCTTTGACTGCCCCTCGGCGTCCGTTCACCAGAGCGTGGACGTGAACCTGCTTTTGAAGTTACTGTGAAATTCTTGCTAGCTCTCGCTCCAGTTGATCTGACGCAGTTTCTCAGTGAGCGCAGAAGCTTTTTGAGGAAGCTGAGTTCCATAGAACCCTTCAGATCTCACTGAGGTCTTTGATTTAGGAAGGCTTGGCTGCATTGGCTCTCAGTGTCTTTTGTCTCTTCTCTGGTCTTTCGTATAAAAGAAGCTCATCCTCTGATGCACCATAAATGCCATAAATAAAAATGTTAGAAAAGATGTCCAAATGAGTGCATTCTTTCAAAAGAAAACAATCTCTTAAAGGGTTCTTGACTTTGATTGATTCCAAACGCAGCTCAAATTAAAAGCATCTGCTCTTAATCTTTGTTGCAGCATTAGCTTACTGACATTGCTAGCATTGCTAGCAATAATATTTGAAGTATTCTAGTAGCTGTAGCGCTCAAATCCACAGCAAATTTTACTGCATTCTTGCCCCCTTGAAAAAGGCATACGTCCCTAGGTGTGCTGAAAAGACAACTTAATGATCAGAAAAAGTGTCCAGTAGAAGCGTTCCTCAGTGAATGTTCACAGAACATCTATGAAAGGGATCTACGTAACACCAAAAGAAGAAGAAACAAGGTGAAGAATCACAAAAAAGGCTCTAAACGGAGCTTCTGTCTAGCCTTCCAACACAAACCAACCACTTCTCACAAAGATGCATGCAATTAGGAAACCAGGAATGAAAATGATATATGACAACCAGTGAAGTTCATTCATATATATGTATGTATATATATATATATAAGAAACTGATGACTATTTAAGTCTTTGTCCATGTCATTGTGCATATAGTGACTAAAGCAGCATGAACATGTTGAAATGAAATCCACATTAAACAGGCTTTCTGATAACTTACAGACGTTCCCTTCTCTAAAGTGAACGCGGCCTAACCGTCCCAAGGAGACAAGAAGCCTTTGTTCTTATTTTTGTGCCTACAAGCTTAACAAATATCCCAGTTTTTAGCATGGCAATGGTGTGTCTCAGCTTTTACTCAAACGTGAGTCTTCTTGACGCTGGCAGTCTCCAGTCCAGTGCTGGATATGTTTCCCCGAGTCCTCCTTTGTGCTGCAGGACTGCTGTCATGCATTTATGGCATCGGCGACATCCGTGAAGACCAGTCGACTAGGCCTTTGCGTGGTGCCTTGACTCGTCGTCAGAGTCTGAGAAAGAGAGAGAGGAGGGTAAACTGTGGAACACAGGCGAAGAAATAAAATGATGATCTACAGTTTAGAGTATAAAAGGGGTTGATCAGCCTTTGGAGTGAGATGGAGAATGAGATGCTCAGTAAGTAATGTGCATGTGTCCCATATGGAAAAATATATATTCTAAATATATTTATCAAGTACATTTTTGAAGTGTACTCAGATATATTTGTTAAATATACTTTTAAATGCATTTATTTGTATTTGTTATTATATTTTTTCAATTGTAAGCAGTTTTAACAAAGGTTATGGATATAACTAAATATACATGAACTGAATGAACGGTACTGACTTCTGTGTTTTGCATTGTACTTTGCATTCACCATTGTATGTGTGTGGTAAGACAGCATTTACATAAAATGTATTTCAAATAAACAAGATATCGAATCATAACTGCATTTTCAGTATCTGCATGTCAGTACCTACAGCACTTGCTTTTGCCATGTTAAAGGTTCAATTGCTAATATTTAAAATTAAGATATTATAATATAAATTCATTTCAAAAGGTATCCAAGCAGTAAAGTGCATTGGACAAATATTTTGGCTATTTTTCGTATATTTTTAAATACATTTACATACATTTATTTTTCTATAGTACATTTCTATGTGTAATGTTTCTACATACATTTTAAAATAAATGCATTAAACATTTTTTTTTGGTAATATGGCAATATATTTTACGTTCGAAATTTATTTTGTCATGGACTGCAATGTATTTCAAATGTATTTCAAATATGTGTCCAAATAATTGTTTTCCATATGGGATTAAAGGAGAAAAGGGAAAATGATGGTTTGAAGTGACGGTTGCTTGTTATTATGTTGTGTTATGTTTGTTTCTGATGTGTCAGATATAAATACAGAAATACAGGATCTATTGATGTATAGATAAGGAATAAGGATAGTGAATACACAAAAATAATGACAGATACTTTACCACAAGCAACAAACCATATGGCCTTGTGTCAAAACTTAAAAGAAACAAAAATGGACAAATTAAGTTTTAAAAATGTTTCTTTTTTCACGTTTTTTGAAAAGTAAACAAAAGTATGTCCACAAATACAAATATATTTGTATCATATAAATGCAAAGATATTTTATATGTAAATACACCAATGAGCCATAATATTATGACCTCTCACAGATGAAGAGAATAACTTTGATTAACTTATAACAACGACGGATCTCAAGATATTTATTAGACAACAAGTGAACAGTCGGTTCTCGTAGTCGACGTGTTGGATGCAGGAGAAATGGACAAGCATGAAGAGCTGAGCGACTTTGACAAGGACCAAATTGTTATGGCCAGACCACTGTGTCAAAGCAAAACATAAGGCTTGTGGGTCAGCAGTGGTGAGTATCTATTAACAGTGGTCCAGTGAACAACAAACCACGAAACACTAACAGGGTGTTTGGTGGCCAAAGCTCATCAATGTGCGAGAGCAAGAAAGGCTATGCCGTCTGCTCTGAACCTGCAGAAGGGCTACTGTGGCACAAGTCACAGACATTTTTAATGATGATTTCAAAAGGAATGTGTCACAACACATAGTTTCTCGCACCCTGTAGCCGCAGAGGTCAGACTGCCCATGCTGACCCCTGTCGACCGTTAAAAAGCACCTACAGTGGACACATGCACATCAGAACTGGACCTTGGAACAATGGAAGAAGGTCACCTGGTCAAATAAATCCGGTTTTCTTTTACATCACGTGGACGGCTGGGTATGTATGCGCCGTTTACCTGGAGAAGTGATGGCAACAGGATGCACTCTGGGAAGCACACAAGCTGGTGGAGGGAGTGTGTGGCCGTCAGTTTGATGCGTGCCACCTACCTAAACATCACTGTGGACTAGGTACCTTTTCATAGCAGTAGTATTCCTGGATGGCAGTGGCCTATTTCAGAAGGATAATGCTCCCTGCCACACTGCACACATCATTGGGGAATTGTTGAAAGAATTCAAGGTGTAGCCTCGGCCTCCAAAGTCCCCAGATCTCGAGCCTAGCATAGTCAGATCTTCACCTCACCACTTACGGAACATAAAAGGTCTGCTGAGAACGTCTTGGTGCCAGATACCACAGACCACCTTCAGATGTCTGAGTCCGCGCCTTGGTGAGTTGGAGCTGTTTAAGTGGCACGCAGAGGACCAAAAGCGTATCAGGCAGGTTTTCATAATGTTTTGGCTCATCGGTGTTTATCATCACTGTTTGATCAAAACTTTGTAATTCCATTTTTTTCATTCATGGAGCAATGGGAATATCCCACTCCTGAGGCTAAATTAATTTTTCCGCCTCCTGAAAAGTTACCATTCTAGAGATACAAGGTTTTGTTCCAACACTGTGTGTGTTTACATGCACTTAATAATCTGATACCTGCAGATAATCAGATTTTGTCAGTAATCTGATCAACCGATTTACATGCACTTGAGTAATCAGATAATGGGGAAACTCCGGGTCTACATGAGTCAGGCAGTAATTGGGCTCCGGCCTTGCAACTGGCCAATAAACTCACAGAATAAGATGTGGCGTAAATGTAACATAAAACTCAGACTTCATGCTGATACTTTTTTTAAATCATTGCACCACTTTACCTGAAAATATGAACATACATCATCCAGAAGATGTAGAAAATTTAAATATTTAATTTCATCAAGCAAGTATTTGGTTTCAGCATTGCTCCAAAAGTGTTTTGCTGCATCTCACAGCAGTACTGTTTGCTTATTTCTGGTACTGCCACCTCTTTTGCACACAGACTGAGAAATCCGAAAGAAATCAGAGTAGGAGTTTAGATGCACTGAGAAATCTGATTACTGAGCTAAAATCCAGCTCACCTTTATCAGATTTCTTAATCAGATTTCTAGACCTTACTCCGATCTAAAAAATCAGTGTGCTGTTTACATGACCGTTTAAATAATCAGATAACTGCAGAAATCCGATTATGATCAGATTATTGAGTGCATGTAAACACACTCAGTGACGACCTGCAAAGCTATAGTCATTCACCTCTGTGTTAAACTTTGATTGGTATCATGCTAGTGTGAGTTTCAATGCTTCGAAAAAGCTGGTATTGTGATCCTGCTGTGCTTACTTTGGAGTTCGGCCCTGCTGGGCTGCCGTCTCGGCCGTGGTCTAGAAGCTCCTGCTCCAGGTCGTCCTGCTCCTCGGCCGGGTCAAAGTTATACATGGGCATGAGCTGGTGCCTGAGCTTCTCCAGCCTGCACAGAGAAAACTCAGCTTCATTATAATATCACTGTCTTATAATGCAAAGAATCAGAAATACTGATAGAGCCAGATGCAGCCATGCTTTCTCACCTTTTCTTTTTCCTTATGTACAGCAGCTGAGAGTAGAAAGAATGGTGAGAAGGATGCATCATATGTTCAGTATATCAATATCAGTACAATCAAATTTGCACAATTTTCTGCTCATCTCAAATGTTTAAAGAGGACAAAAGGACAGACAAAATTACAGCTTCAACATTCACCTGTTTTTAGTAAGGTAACGTCAGTTTTGTCCATTTTTATAGGAAACAGTGTGTCATAAAATGCCTGAAATCATCTAAGCTAGTCTATTTGAGATAACTCACATACAGTTTGCACAGTACTGATCAATAAGGATATGCGTCCATCACTTGTTAGCTACATTATCCTTGTAGCTTCAGCACAAAACTAAAGAAGCAAACTTCAAACACTAATTTGGTTTAAGTGGGAAAACTGATTACATAGATTTTTATTGACAAAAAATCACTTTAAAGCACAATAAGGCGTCACTAAAGTTGTTGATTGTTGTACTATAGGTTGATAGATCGATTGTTTGATTATGTCTCATGGTACAGCTTGAATTGTACTTGAGAAGATGCCTGACAAGGGTGTTAAAGGGGAATTGCACAGATTTCTCAACATTTCTGCATAAATAAATAGTTAAGATGTAAACAAAGTCATTCGGAGTGGTTTAATATGAACTGTTTCATTCTAGGAATTAAATTCCTCTAAAACAGGGCTGCCCAAAGTGTGGCCCTTGGGCCAAAGTTGACCCCTGAAGTTAACCTAACCCTACGTCCTCACCCAATCATAGAACAAACACTAACTTAGTAAATTCTTATTTCCCATTAAAACATTCAGTATTCAGAAGTGTATACTGAACAAAATATAATGTTTTCAAAAACTCACGTTAAAACCTACCTGCCCTTTTTATTTGTATATTGTTCTGTTTTGGTTTTTTGGCCCTCAGCCCACCACAAACATTGTAGTTTGGCCTCCCCAGCTTGAGCTCCCCTGCTCTAAAAGCGCCCTCATAGAGAGGTAAAACATGAACAGATCAGGAATATAATACCTGATGCCTAAAAATCATTTTACAAAAGGTTTGCTGAGGTTTTGGCCTAAAACTTGTTTTTAAAGATCACTCATGGTGGAAAGGTACAAGCAGGGCCAAACACCCAAATACTACTAAAAAACATACCTTTTCAGATTGACCACAATTTTGTCATCAACATTACATACAAAAGCACAGACACATGTAGGTTCACTGGTAGTTTTGGATATTAAATAAAATGTAGTGTTGTAGACATTGTGACCCCTGGTTCCTATCACCACCACTGGAAAGAAATCTAAGTCTTAAGTTTATTTACAATACACCGTTTCACATCAAACCACTCTAAATGACTTTCTTTAAAAGGTTTTACATTTTTTTTTTATAAATTTTGAAAAAATGATGGAATTCTCCTTTATAGTGTCAAATATCTAACTTGTTCTGAAGTTTTGGCTGTTTCAACTGAGTTGAATCCATACATGCAGAGCAGGAATAACAGCAGCCAAATCTCAAATTCTGCAAAACTCATCTATCTATAAGGACAGCATGCTCACCACAACAACAGCCAACCCAATGACGGTGATGATGCCGAAAGGCAGCAGGACCATACTCATCCCTGTGCCCTCCACCGACGCCATGGGGAGCTGCGTGGAGTTGAAGCTGGTCTCGTTGGCTGTCACCGTGGCAGGATGGAAGGTGCCTCTGGATGTGACATTGTCCTGTTCTGTCCTGCTCTCCGCAGTGCTGATGATGAGCGGGCTGGAGGTGCTGGCTGGTGGAGTGGGCAGGCGGCTAGGGAACGATACCGAGGCGGGGACCGAGGCTGGTGTGAAGAAATCAGGTTTGAGGGTAGTCAAAGACATGGCTGTGGATTGGAACAGTGGTGGTGTGTTGGTAGATGGGATTGTTTGGCCGCTGAACACAGTGTATGTCGGCCGTCTTTGGGTCACTCCTCAGCCATGGGCTTTGTCAGAGATAGCAGGCTTGTTGGGCATGTCTTTCATCAAATCCTGCAAAAGATCGTACGAGTCCGCCAGGTTATATCTGCACTCACAATCTGCTCTGCATCTCAAATCAAGGAGGTCTGTAGTGTGCTAGACAATTTTAATGCAAATATGACTAAACACTGCCTGTCATACTTCGCAGAACAGCAGCTGACATGCAGCATGTCTCTACCCTGCAACAAGGTGCTAGATAGGGAAATCTAGGGTCTACAGGAGAGCAAGGCACAGTACATTTTGGTTTTTGGTTGAATAATTTGAACAATTTGAACAAGATTATAATGTTTTATACAAGCAGCAAATTAAACCATCAACTCTGTTTCAAGCACCAACCAGGGAACAGTTCAGCCAAATAAGGTATGAGCGCAAGAAATTACACTTAAGCTCGTAAGCGGGGTTAATAGTAACAGACTGCTTTGCAATAATTGTTAAAAAAAGATTAAATTGAATGATTGTTGAGCCAAATAAGCTATCCAACCTAAATACATGCAGGTATCTGCATCAAAATCAGTCTGATTAGTGAAAAGAGGCCAGGTCAAACAGTGATAAATGTAGTTCTAGTACTTTACTTCAAATATCAGATATAATTGAAATATGTTTTGACAACATGACATCTGAAAAAAACAGGAAATCTGTAGTATGTTTGATGCATCCGTGACTAAAAAGGTAACAAACAGGAACTGACTAGTCTCACAGTTTACTTTGCAGGTCTCTGTTGTAACATTGTGTTAAATCTAACCCTGCCATGTTTAGGCTGTACTTAAGCCTAGCTAGTTGTCACAGCTGGTGGGCTGCTTATAAAGTAATAGAGTTAAAAATTGTATGTAAACATCGCTAAAGTTTCAATTTCAAAGTGAGCCATTCAACTTCCCAGTCCATACAGTCTGTATATAGAAAGAAAAGCCCTGCAAAAAGGCATGATTTTCATGATTTCATACATCTGTCTAGTCAGCCAGCAGCAGTTAATCCTCCTCCACTCATGCTGAAGTTATAGTGTTTCAACATGTGTTTGTGAAAGATGCACAATACAGGGCAACAAATCAGCTCCTTTGTATTTACGTCACAGTAACAAAAACAGCCTTTTTCATTCTAAGGGATAAAAAGATGTTGGAAAATATTTTTGTAAAAAAAATTATGACTTTACGGTCACATAAAGCCACACAAACGTCATCAGTGGATCTCAATAAAGGAGCAACATACAAGAAAACTGTGGGATATGAGCCCTTTAAAGTGGTGTTGCAGTACACACACCAAGAGAGTGATTAAACTAGCGAAGGTGTGAAATTTGTAAATTATAAACAGAGATCAGTAATCGAAAAGCACTGGAAACATGAACTGGTATAAACAGTAATGTAATGTTGTAATGGTACAAAAATATCATAGTGAGTTTAGAGAAATATCTGTCTAATTGCTGCATGAATTCGATCACGTTGCTATGGTAATACAAGAAGATGACTAAAAGCATGTTCTAGATGCTGAAAGCCTGTTTAAGTACGTTAAAGAAATCTGCGTTACATTTTACCTCTTGTTAGATTATGCACTCTAGCTACTTTCCTGCAGGCTTCGCCTTCATCCCAAACCTCATACACTCTCAGAAATAAAGGTAGTAAACTGTCACTGGGGCGGAACCCCTCTTATCACTGGGGTGGGACCCTCAAGGGTACATCTCAGTACCTTTAGTCAGGGAACATAACTGTACCATAATCCTCTGAAATTATATTTTCTGAGTTGTATTGTCGCCACACACCCCGTCTCGTCTCCAGGCTTTTTATTTTACTGTTCTGATTTAAACATTAGCTTATGAAAAAATACAAATATGTACTTTTCACCTGGAGAAACTTATTTAAGGTTCACAACTGGACCTCAACACCACTGCTGTCCCTTTGAGGGAACATTTACATTGTTTGCACCTTGATGAACGAAAAATGTACCTGCACAGAGCCTTTATTTCTAACAGTGTACACCTCGTCCAGAAAATCAATCAGATCACTCATTATGTGGATGGCCTGAGGGTTGAAGCTAGACTCTGCAGGAAGGTAGATCTCAAGAGGCAGGACTGAAGATCACTGCTTTATGTAATCTTTTGAAACATTTTTGTTGCTCTTGCTTTTTATCAAGATGATTAACTTACATAAAGAAGAAGAAAGTCAAAGGATAAATGTGAAAAAAAAACAGGAGTTTCCAAAACTGCAGTTCAAAAAAGAATTAAAAGCTACAGAGATAAAAAATGAGACTCCTAACAACCACCTGCAACACCACCAAAACTGTCTCCATCAGATAAACAGCACTTAAAGCTTTCATCTTTGAGAGAGAGGAGAAAATCAAGCTGCTTCTGATCTGAAAACACTCCCCAGGTGTTTCTGTCGGTCTTTCAACTGTGAGAAGACGACTCAGCGACCAGGCCCTTACTGAGAAAAGAGAATAGACAAAAAAGAAGAAATCAAACAAAGAAGCTGCTGGCGTTCTCAGAACAACGGACTGTCCACCCCAGAGTCCAGACCTTAGCATCACTGAATGCAACCAACCTCTAAAACGAAACTTAGGAGGTGTGAAAATATGCCTGCAGATTTCTTTGAGAAACTGAAAGTGAGTCTCCTGAAACAAATGGAAGCTGTTATAAAGGCAGTGAGTGGACACAATAAATACTGACCATTTTGACGTTATATTTAGCTGTTAAGATAAGATATGATAATATAATCCTTTATTAGTCCCACAACGGGGAAATTCACAGTGCTACAGCAGCAAAGGGATAGCCAGGCACTCAAGAACAGCAGTAACAAGAAGAGAATTAACAATCAAGTAATTAACCTTAATAATTACTTAACTAGGTTACAGTTTGTTAATTGTTACTATATAGACAGTATATATAACACTAAAGATAATAAATATAAGACAAAAAATATAAACTCTATCCTTCACATAAACTCTGTTCACAAAAATTAACAATATAAACAAATAGAAAGGGAAAGTTCGTGAACGAACTTTAAGTTGGCTTGAAAAAGCCAGCTAATTGCGTTAAAACGTAAAATGGTGGAAGACTGTTGACGATTGTTAAAATGTTGCTAAAGTGTTGCTAAGCAGATGCTGCAGCATCCAAGGTGGATGGTAATGCATTGCTAGGTGCCATCGTAAATGAAGTTCCACCTTAAATTCAGTGCCACCTTAAATGTAGATCCACCTTAAATTCAGTGCCACCTTAAATGTAGTTCCACCTTAAATTCTGTGCCACCTTAATTTTAGTGCTACCTTAAATGGAGCTCCACCTTAAATTCTGTGCAACCATAAATGTAGTCCCACCTTAAATTCAGTGCCACCTTAATTTTAGTGCTACCTTAGATGGTGTTCCACCTTAAATTCCATCCTTATAGGAAGTTCCACCTTAAATTCTGTGCCACTTAAATTTAGTGCTTGGTTAATTGCAGTTCCACTTTAAATTCAGTACCACCTTAAATATAGTTCCACCCTAAATTCAGTGCCACCTTAATTTTAGTGCTACCTTTAATGGAGTTCCACCTTAAATTCTGTGCCACCTTAAATTTAGTGCAAACTTAAATGCAGTTCCACCTTAAATTCAGTTCCACCTTAAGTTCAGTGCTACCTTAAAAGCAGTTCCACCTTAAATTCATTATCTCTGCTGTTATTACTGTGCATTAGGCTGTGAGCGTGTGAGTCTGTGTGTACTGTGTGTGAGTGTGTGTGTGAGAGATGTCCACTGTGACATCACGTGTGGCAGTTCATTTGAATGCCCCGAATATTCCACCCATTCATTTCCTATGGGAAAAAATATCGTCCTTGAACGATAATTTTACTAAAACCGTACGTCGGATCGCTTAGAAAAGCACAAGCACGCTCTGCCGGGTATAGGACCTATGATCCTGTTTCATGGTTCTAACTCGAAAACTGTGGGACAAGAAACATTTTATATTTTGAGTGTAGAATAATAAGAAGAAGATTACGAAGAAAAGTAAATTGGCTTTTTCAAGCCAACTTAATTATAAATAAAAAATCAAAAAATATTTTAACTTGGCTTCTGTATAATTTTCTGCTTTTTTTCTGACACTGAAAAATGAACAACTTGGTGAATTTAGACTAGACTTTAAATAAATGAAGGGCAGCCTCTGACTTGTACACTCTACTGTAAATATGAATGTAATGTAAATCTCAGTCAGCATATCCACTCCTCACAGACACAGCCAGTGTGAGTGTGTGTGTGTGTGTGTGTGTGTGTGTGTGTGTGTGTGTGTGTGTGTGTGCGCGTGTGTGTGGACATTACTAAAGACATTCTGTGGACATGGATGTTCAGTGCGATAGTGCAGACGGGACCTGAGCTTCCTTCCACATCACAGCCGTTAGGATGTGTGCGTGAGCGCGGGGGTTGGATGCTGGGGCAGGAAAGAGGTTTGAGGCTTAAAATAGAGAAGTGAAGATGCTGGAGACAGAAGCCTGGGTTTGGTGTGAATGAAAGTCAGAATCTCTCTAACCGCAGGCTGTCTCCTGCTTTTCATTCACATCTTCTGCTGAATTCCACCCTGCGCTCTCTCTCTCTTCAAAGCAGCTTGGTTTTATTTTCCACACTGCGATGTGTAGCCTGTTTACAGCAAAAGCATGAATCTTGGCTAAACCTTGAAAATGTTTTGATGTAATCTGATGTGTTGTAAAGGGTTACTAGGAATGAAGACAGTAGTTTTACTGTTTATAAACATCACTATATGTCCAAAAGTTTGTAGACACCTGCTCATCCAGCGTTTCTTCTGAAATAAAGGGTACAAATAAGGAGTTTGTCCCCCTTTACTGCAGTAACAGCCTCTACTCCTCTGGGAAGGCTTTACACTATATGTTGGAACATTGCTGTGAGGATATGGTTGTGTTCAGCCACAAGAGCATTAGTGAAGTCAGGTACTGATGATGGACAGTTAGTTCTGGATCACTACAGCTCATCCCAAAGGTATTGGATGGAGCTCCATCACTCCAGAGAACACAGTTCCACTGATCCACAGTCCAATGCTGGG